TCCCCCAGTCACACAGTGCCACCAGTGGTACGAAGGTCAAGGCTGGCACTCTCTTCCTCTGGGTCATGTGAAGCACCACTGCACACTGCCGCTAACACAACGTCATTGGAGCTCAACACGCTTGGAGGAGAACACTACCTGCAGCCAGCTGACAGACACCTGCGTCGGCTACAGTGTTACAGGGAGAGAGAGAGAGGACCACTCTACCCACCCAGAGACCGAGAAAACAACTACGATCTCCTGTACTCCCACTTAAAGAGGGCTGTGGCATCACCAAGGACAAAACTTGCAATCAGCTGATGGATTCTCACGGATCTCACTAAAACCTTTACTGATTGGTTAGATATTCTCATTTGCATATTTCTGCCTTTTAAATTTATCGATATTGCAAAGGCCAAATATCATGATAACGATTAGCAAACAGTATATAAGGGCAACCCTGATCTGTGGTCAGGAATCATGAAACAGTGTTCTTTAAAGCTTTTAGAACATGCTTCTTAAATCCACCTGTGCGGTTTTGACGAAGATTCTGACATTCACCAGTGTTTTCTTATTTGGGGTTTGTTCTTGGGTAAGAACAGAATCTATACACACTCAAGAGCACAAAGGTGAGAACAGTTCTGCGCTTTAAGAACACGTCATGAATCTGATGTTGACTTTTTCTTAGGATCTTTCTCAAGAACACATTTAAGTTGCAGATTAACAGTTACAAAAGACGTCTTTGTAATAATAAGAATATAAGAAGTGTTTAATATATTCATATGTACAGTGAGTTCGTTTTGAAACAGGTAAGGAATCTGGAGCTGGGTGCACTAGTTTTACTTCAACAAGTTTAGCATGCTAGGTTTCATGCCAAGGAGCAGAATTTGAACTAAACGTGTGTTAATTTAGTAATGGATTAAACTAACCACCTCACCTGCTTTATATCATTTTCATATTGCCCTTAAGTCGTTTATTAAATATGCTTAGCTTTGCTTCCAGTTTAAATCTCTAGAGAACCTCAATTTCGCTCTTGCGGTAACATTATGCATGTTTAAATTCAGTCCCGTGACTAACTTCATGATGTATAATAAATGGCTGATTTTTCCAAATTTTTCCGCTGGGCAGTTATTACCAGCCATACAAGACCAGACTCCTCTCTGTCTGAGTGAGGAGAGACCAAAACACTCAAACCTGAAAGTTAAATTACTGTTTAAAAACAGATTTCAAATCACTAATAAAATCCATCAAAAATTTCATAACTAGTTTGTAGCACTTGTCTCAATAACGCACAAAAAACATGATTTTTTGGGGGTGTTCTGGCTGCTGTACAGATCTCTACAATGAGGGGGGCTTCAGAGAACTTGTAGAGAGGAGAATTACCATTGAAATGTCTTCCGGTTTCTCAAACGATAGAGGGCGCTCCCGAGCGAGTCCAAAATGAATGGGTTAAGATAGAGCATTTGAGCAAAATCAGTTTATAAATGCTTAAACATTTTTAATGTAAAATAATACATTAATTTCCTGAACACTGAATAGCATAAAACATTTTAACACTGCTGTCATATTTTTAAAAACTTTTAAACTCGAGTTATGGTAGTTTAAAATGATGCCTTATGTGCGTTTATGTCGTCTGCGCGAACAGCCAGTGAGCTGCTCTGCTTGCCAACCAATCAGCACTCTGTAGCAGTAATGCTAACCAATCAGCACTCACTAGCAGTAATGCCAGCGTCCTGCTACCCAAAACCCGTTTGCTGTAGAAAAAAAGGAAACATACAGATAAGTTTTCTTTGCTTTTTTTAGTGAAATACGTCCTTCTATTTTCTAAAATTACAGGAAAGTGATCAGAAACTATTTTAACTTTTCATTTTTTGTCGTTTAGCTCCATTTACCCTCATCATTGAGGACTCACAGGCGTTTTGCAGTCATGTTTTTGATACAAGGGGGGAAACAGGAAGTGGCCAGGCTCCTCATAAACCGGCTCTAGGGGCTTTCCCCATTCACAGTATAACCAGCAAGCTGATTGGCTCTTTTTCCGGAATGGCGGGACTTTCTCTGTAAACAGACACCCTTTTGAGCGTTACTAGCTTTCATATACATATTTCAACTAGCGACCGTCTCTTCCTTTATAACGTCTCTGTTACAGTTTCCGTAAGCATTTCTCTAACCAATCAGAAGGCTGATGTGATTAGCCCCGCCCACTCAGCTTTAACAGAACTGTTTTGTCGCTGTTTGAAACTTGCAGAGAGAAAGCTAACGCTAACCTCACTAACTTAACAGAGCTACAGACCACCTGTCTGTCTAATCCAGCACTAAAGTGAATAACAACCTTGTTTAAGGTTCTCCATCCAAAAGATTCAGCAGTAAAGAGAATAAAGCGGAACGATGTGTTTAGTGAGTGGACTTAGTGGGGCTGGACTGAGGGCTGTCAATCACTGCTCATTAGAATATTAGGCCATGCCCACACTTCTCAGGGCTGCGGGTGTTTTGTTACACTGCTGGAAAAAAAATCATTAAAATTTATTGTTGGTTCCTAATGATTTTTTACGGTGTTCTGTTTTCCTGACTCTAAACAGGTGACCAGTGAATGACTCCAGGCACATTTGATGGTTTGCTAATAGGATTCAAAGGTGTCCTACCAAAACACTCTGATAGTAACCATTAAGCCAATTCCTTCTATGGTTCTAATGCTCCTTAGAAGGCCGGGTACATTCCTGTTTTTCTCACTCAGGCTTTGCTGGACTCAATTTTAATCTCAAGTCATATTGATTTATTTTAGTGATGTGCTGGGGTATGAACCGAGGATGTGTTTCTGCTGTTTGTAGATCTGTTCGATGTTTTTCTCTGATGCTCTCAACTGAATGGAGAGGACATTTGTGCCAAATTGAAATGTGTCACTGTGGAAGAGTCATGCATTCATTTCATTTCATGTTTTCTTTGGCAGCAACTGCATTTCAGTTTGGCATGAATTTCTCTTCAAACAATCAAAGTAAAGAGAAAACCTGTGGAGGGTTTGTAGTGTTTATGGCTCCCTCCTCCTTACATAGTGCACTTCATAGGGAATAATCACACTGTGGCTTCTGCACCCAATAGCGTAGTAAATGTTAGACACAGTGAGAAGCTTTGGCTGAGTAGAAGTGGCTTTATATTAGAAATATAATGCACTGTTTGGGTTGTTTCATGACCTACATAGTGCACTACATAGGTATTTGAGCTTTGAGCTATTTGAGATTTAGCCCTAGAAGTGTTCTTGTAAACTTTTCTGTAAATGAAAGTGTCATTGCTTTGGTGTGGATGGTTCAGAGTTGAGTTCTCGTTCTTTTCTACTTTAGTAGTTGAGGCAACATGCAACAGCATATTTAATATGAAAATAGTATTAAAATAGTTTATTGTGCGCTGTGGTGTGGAGCTGTGAGCTGCTGCTGCTGGTTTGGTGGCTGTTTCCTGTACACAGGTAACGAGAAAACAGGTGGAGAGATCAGTGGGGGTTTGTGACCACAGAGCAGCCGCAGTCTTCCTGCACAAACTCTGTGAAAACCTTTAACACCTTCATCATCATCATCTTCAGCCTGAAACTAGCCTGACTTACTACACTGCCAAAAACGATGTCTTGCCAAGTGAAATTATTCACTCTTAAAAAAGATGTTTCTTTAAGGGTTCTTTAGTAAAGACAACGGTTCTACATAGAACCATGAACACTCAAAGGACCTTTTGCATGGTGAAACTGACAGGAAAATGTGCATGAAAGTGCTGTAGATAGTTCTATATAGAATCCTTTTGAAAATGGTTCTATGTAGCACCCAAAAGGGTTCTGCTATTGTTACAATGTCAATGTGCTGTACAGAACCAACACATTCTCCATCAATCTGAAGAACAATATCACCATGCAGAAAACCATTTAAGCATGCAAATGCTTCATTGAGAGTTCATGGTTCTATTGTCTTTACTAGAGAACCCTTAAAGAACCATATTTTCTCAGAGTGTAGTATTAACTAAGCTTATTTAACAATTATTTAACTAACAATTTTAGATGTTTTACTTGTTTATAGTGATTTTTTTTAATTGAAGATTGAAGTTATTTCACTACATTGGCAGATAATTTTGCTTGTTGTAAGAAATATTCTTGAATCTGCCAATAGAGTGAGATAATCTGACTAATTAAAATTACTTAAAATGTTAAAATGTCTAGAAATAAGTTATAATCTTATTATAAGCTTACAGCCATCTCAACAGGAGGAGTACTACATACATAGAAAACATTTTTCGCAGTGTAGAACTAACACACACACACACTCTCACACACACACACACACAGAATGCGAGTTGCTGTAAAGCAGGGGTGTCCAATCTTATTTGCAAAGGGCCAGTGTGGCTGCAGGTTTTCACCTCAAACAAGCTGAAGCACACCTGATTCTACTTGTTCAATCAGTTAGTCTCAGTCTTCAAACATTTCGTCAGGTGATCTCCCGCTTTGTTGGAGTGAAAACCAGCAGCCACACTGACCCTCTGCGGATAAGACTGGACACCCATGGTGTAAAGCATCACTGCACTGCTCTCAGCTCAGACTGAATCAGACTGAAACACTGACAGATTTAAAGAAGCAGAAGAACCGGAGAGCTGATCTCGCTTCTGTTTTAGGCGCCTCCGTTTGTTGACATAATTCTCAACATGAACACACAGCAGTAAAAAAGTAGTTTGGCTGCTTTTAGTCAGGCTCAGAACTTTCTGAGTGAAGTCACTCCAGATTACTGAATCAATTTCCTTCGAATCCCTCCATAACTGAGTGTGTGAGATGTAAACAGAGTGATTCAGAGTGGTTTGGTGTGAAATGGTTCAGATTTCTTTACAGTGGTGGTGATAGGGACCAGGAGTCGCCATGACTACAACACAAATAGACATTTTATTCACTATCTAAAACCACCAGTGAACCTACACGTGTCTTCTGAGTTTTATATGGAATGTTGATGATGGGAAAATAGTGGAAAATCTGAAATAATAAGTTTTATTTGGGGACGATTTTGCCTTAAAACTATCATATAACAGTGTCTAAGACATCAGGCAGTGAATTCATAAGCATTTCATGTAGTACCTTTCTGTGAGGGAGCTTTTAGAGGTGGACGTCTGGTTCCCATCACCACCACTATGAACAATTCTGACTCAGTAAGTTTCACTAGAACAGAGCATTTCACACCAAACCACTCTGAACAACTCTGTTTACATCTTAACCCTCCTGTTATGTTGTGGGTCAAACTCACCCAATTCAAAAGAAAAATATTTTAATTTTTATAGGATTAAACCTCTTCTGCTGGACTTATGGCTCATTTAGTGTGATTTGATTTGAAGTGGTCAGAACAGAGCTGGTTTGACCCAGAACATGTTTCGTTTGTTTTAATGAACATAATGACAGAAAATATGTCAAAAATGTTGAAAACGTGTAAACAATGATAAATAAAATAATGTGCTGAATGTCTAGTTGTAATGTCTTTTTTTTAATGAAAAACAAGTGAATTATTATAAGTAAACATGATTTGTAAGGGGTGATAAACTTGTTTACACTCAATATTGATTAAATTTATATTAATTGAGCTAAAGATAATGTTTAAAATATGTTTTTAACTACTTTTGGATGGTTAAACATGCATCAGATCAATTTGACCTGGAACAGTACTACTGTTCTTCACAGCTGAACATAACAGGAGGGTTAATAATGCAGACATTTTGAAAAGACAATGGAATTTACCTTCAAGTACAGAAAAATGACTGTAAGCTCTAAAATATCATAGGGCTCAGGGATGAACACTGACACTAAACTAAACACAAACTGTGAGGTTATATTCTGACATCAGTCCTTCCTCTTTTTACTACTAGAAGCAGCTTCAGCTAATGTGGAAAATCAGCGATTGCACAGCATTAACGTGTGATTACACAGGTGGAATGACGCCACAGCACTTCTCTATCACAGGAAACTGTTGGAATGTACTGTAATTGCCATCTGCAGGCTCCGCCCACCAACACGCTCTTCAACAGTGACTGTTGTGAGGTTGTAAGATTATCTCAGTCACGAGCAAAATATTACGCCACTGTGTTAAAATGACGTAAAACAAGTAAACATGCCTAGAAATCAGTTAAATAATCTAATACTCTAATCTAATACACTCTTCTAAAAGATGGTTTTAACAATAGCAGAACCCTTGTTGGTGCTATATAGAGCCCTTTTCAAAAAGGTTCTACATTGAACCATATACAACACATTCTTAATCAATCTGAAGGACCATTTCACCATGCAGACGTTCTTTAAAATGTTTATGGTTCTAAATAGAACCATTTTCTTTACGAGAACCCTTGAAGAACCATCTTTTTTGAGAGTGTACATCAATCGCAAAATGAGAAATATGACATATGTTAATTAGATTTAAGATCGTCTCACTCTAAAACATCATTTCTTGCAGTGTTGGGATTTGGCGCCCCCTCTGGCGTAAACAGAAACTGTCCTAGAAATCCAGAATATGGGGTTTTAAAAAATAAAAATATTGATATTTATCAATAACTTTGTCCCGATTTATCAATTTTCGAAAACTGCTTGTCATGCCAGCTGTAGATTCTCATCAGCGCTCAGTAAAGCTCGTTCAGCTTCACAGCAGTAGCTATGATGGAGCACATCAGTGGGCGGAGTCTGGAGAGGAGAGTTACAGTGCGAGTAAACAGTTGATGTCCAGTGGAACACTGCTGGGCCGATAGCAGCAAATATCAGCAGGTCATCTCCCACTGACCCCTGAGTGACCGCTGTATCAGTGCAAAACATTTCTGCCCTTTAGCACCTGTGGAGAACGTCGGTCAGAACCGCTGAGGGTCAGACAGGCCTGACCATTACAATGTTAATTCATATTCAAATCGGCAATTGCTATAATATTATTAATAACAATAAGTGCTTATTATAAAAACTTGTGCATTTCCCTGAGTCTTCATACATTCAGGTGTCTGAAAGTTCCTAAAAGATCCTAGATGTTCCTGAGAGTTTCTGAATATTTCCTAAAGTTCCTGAATGTTTGTGAAATGTCCTTAAGGTTCCTGAATGTTTCTGAAAGTTCCTTGAAGTTCTTGAATGTTTCTGGAGGTTTTCTGAATTTCTTGAATGGTTCTGAACATTCCTTAAAGATCCTGAATGTTTCTGGATGTTTCCAGAAGTTCCTGAAAGTTTCTAAATATTTCTGAACATTTCCTAAATTTCACTGAATGTTTCTGAATGTTTCTTAATGTTCAGAAAACTTTTTAAATACTCTCCCGTGGTTCCTTCTTCTAATCCTGGTTTTATCTGCCTCTACAGGATGGAGCAGTGTTTTCTCTTTTTTCGGGCTTTTCGTAATTTCCGTCTGGACGCCAGAGCGATTTTTGTGGCCTCTTTGAAAATGTCCTCCACGTTCTCACGGTATTTGGCTGAACACTCTAGGTAAAGCTCAGCGTTCATCTGCTTCTGTGTCTCCTCCCCCTGAAACATCAGCGAGATCAGAAGAAACATTAATTAATTCACTATCGCTCCACTGACGCTCTGTGATTACATAAAAGGTAGCACAAATTTTATTCAGACTTAATTAGTCTTTTTATTTGTGTATTTAGTTATATGTTGTATCTCTCTCTCTCACCTGTGTGTAGGTGATTGGCGCTTGCTCCATCGCTCTGAGTTTCCTCGTCTTCTCTTTGTCCTTCCTCAGGTCAGTCTTGCAGCCAATCAGGATTTTGGGGGTATCTCGGCAGAAATGATGAACCTCAGGATACCACTGCAGAGTTAAAGAGCCCATACAGGACTTAAAGAGCTCATATTCTATCTCCTTTAGCATTTTTTCTCTTTTTAACTTACAATGAGGCAGGGCAAAACTGCTGTAGGCTGAATGGGTGGGGCTAAGCTGCTGTAGGCTGAATGGGAGGGGCTAAACTGCTGTAGGCTGAATGGGTAGGGCTAAGCTGCTGTAGGCTGAATGGGTGGGGCTAAGCTGCTGTAGGCTGAATGGGAGGGGGCTAAACTGCTGTAGGCTGAATGGGTGGGGCTAAACTGCTGTAGGCTGAGCAGGTGGGGCTAAACTGCTGTAGGCTGAGTGGGCAGGGCAAAAATGCTCTAGCCTGAATGGGTGGGGCTAAACTGCTGTAGGCTGAGTGGGTGGGGCCAAACTGCTGTAGGCTGAGTGGGCAGGGCTAAACTGCTGTAGGCTGAATAGGAGGGGCTAAACTGCTGTAGGCTGTTCATTATTGAAATGTTTATTGTGTTTTTTCCAGGCTGATTATCATTTCTGTCACATACAGACAGTCATGTTCAGATTTACCTTAATTAAGACGTTCTCGTAGCTGGTGGGGTTGGTGACGTCATAGCAGACGAGGATGAGGTCTGCATTCTGATAGGACAGCGGCCTCAGACGGTCATAATCATCCTGACCTGTACACAGACACAGAGAGTAATGAGAAACTGTAGAACAGACATTTAGAGTCAGTTATTCATTCAACCTAACGAGAAAATGTAGAACAGACTCAGTTTATACCAGTTGTAACATCAGACTTAGTATATAGCATAATCCCAAATCTAGAAAGAATGGTTGTTTTTGTTTGTTTTATTATCAGTTAGTTGATTAAGCTCAGTAATTGTCTCTAAATTTGACTATTTTTTGGTCTGTTTTGGATAACTAAAATTTTTTGGATTCTGTTTTAAACAGTTTTCATTCACTGAAATGCATTTTCGTTCATTTTTGTCCATTTTGTATAAAGCAGTAACTCAAAGAAAACACAGTTCATTGATTTAATGTTGACACATTTTCCGTTTGTAAGTCCAGCGGCCCTGCAATATTTCTGAGTATGCTCTGTTGTATGTCCTCCTGCACTGAGTCAGAAAGCGTTTGGGTGACGCACGCGACGTCTCTGTTGCTGCATTATTGCGTGTTTAATGCACAATTTTGGTATTAAACCACATCCTGCACCAAACTTCCTGTTCGGCAGCTCAGATAAAAAGCAGCCACAGGAACCGTCACTCAGTTTCACAGAAACGTCTGCTACACAATAACAACCAAACCCACTAGCGTGACACCAAGCGCTGAGGACAGCGTTTAGTAAAGGACTGCTGAGGACAGAAACTCAGAATTAAGCATTAAAAAATCTAGATTACACAGATTACCCTTTACTCCAAATACAGCCCATCTGACAGGAATTGTTTGAAGTTTGCTTCTTTAGTTTTAGCACTAGAGGCTAATGTAGCTAACAAATAAGGGATTAGCATGGTGCTAACTGCATGTCTAATCCATCAAGTGCAGCTGTTCAACAATTCATAATAGATTTATCGTCTTTTATAGATAATATATTATGTGGCTTCTGACTCTGACACTTTTATTAGGGATACAATATGTACTTATGTACGCATTAGCTTTGAGGCTAACTCTTTGTCATTTTCCACCCTGCATAATTATTCACGCTACACTCTAACTAAACTCATTAGGTTGAATAAGGCCTGTAACAGTTACATATTCACTTTAATGCAATTATTTGAGCTAATAGCAATTATTTCCCACAGTCGTTAGCTTTCACAATCCTATGTTTACACTGATCATAACAACGGAATTTAATTTGGTAAGATTTTAATCATCGGTTTAAGGCAAATTTATGTATGATTAGAAAATGCATTTATTGAATCTTCCAAAAAAAAAAACAAAAGAATTACTAACTTCTGACTTGATAGCACATTTAGTGGTGAGTAATGTTTGTTTATTTGAGCTTGAGCTGTTTCTGTCATCAACTGGGAGCTAATAAGCTAATAAGTATTGACTAGGAATCAAGATAGTTAATCAGCCATTTTAACCACTTTAGGCTTTACTTTAATACAGTTTAATTACCTTTAAATAAGACAATTATAATGTTAACTGCAATCTTATGCAACACTGCACCATTTAAGGAGAAATGGAAAATTAGAAGTGTGAAGCCAGCTTTACTCGCATGTTTGCAGTGACTATGTGATGATTTTGGCATGCTGTTAGCACCATGCTAATTGGTGGGGTATAACTATCGCTTTATGTGGAGGACTCCTCTGGCAGATAGTGAAAGGTTTTACAGCGTTATCTTTAACAGAGGAGGTTTAATGGTGTGGTTTTGTGTGAGATCTCTTCAGTGTGACATGTTCTTTAGTTTAAATGACTCTTTATGATGATCTTGTGCTTTAGAAGCTGATTAGAGTGTCAGGCTGTGAAACCCGAAAACTCTCCGGATGTTTGTGGGACTGCTGTGACTTTATCGCAGATTCAGTCTGAAAGAGCTGTTTCATGTAGAGGAAGTAGAGCTGTGAAGGTGAAGAACCACTTCCTGTTATCACACAGGTGACACATTCACATTCACAAGATGGGTTAGAACAGCAAAAGTGCAAATATTATACTGCAGCAATAAATGCACTCTGTGCATTTTAGCAGCTCCTTTATATACTAGAAAACAGGATTAACAATGAAACCTTTGATGTGTATCTTATATGTGTGTTTGTGGAAATGACGTCTCTTCATGCTGTTGTTTTTTATATGTGCTGAAAATATTTCAGTTTGCCAACATGATTTACATGTCTTAACTGTTTACACATTAATAAAATATTACATCATCACAGTTCTTTACAAAAGAAAAAAACTGAAAAACATTAAAACCCAGACTAAACCAAAGCAGACTAAACCAACCCAGACTTAACCAACACAGACTAAACCAATGCAGGCTAAACCAACACAGACTAAACCAACGCAGACTAAACCAAGACTAAACCAATGCAGCCTAAACCAAACCATAACAAACCAAAGCAGACTAAACCAACAGAGAACAAACCAAAGCAGGCTAAAGGAACACAAACTAAACCAATGCAGGCTAATCCAACACAGATTAAACCAACCCAGACTAACCCAAGACAGACAATGCAGACTAAACCAACATAAGCTAAATGAACTCAGACTAAGCGCAGGCTAAACCAAAGCAGAGTAAGCCAATGCAGACCAAACCAACACAGGCTAAACCAATCCAGACTAAATCAATTTAGACTAATCCAACCCAGACTTAACCAAAGCAGGCTAAACCAACACAGGCTAAACCAACTGAGAACAAACCAAAGCAGGCTAAACCAACCTAGAACAAACAAAAGCAGGCTAAACCAACCAACACAGACTAAACCAATACAGGCTAAACCAACCCAGAATAAACCAAAGCAGGCTTAACTAATGCAGACTAAACGAACACAGGCTAAACTAACTCAGACTAAACTAACTCAGACTAAATGAACACAGGCTAAACAAACTCAGACTAAACCAACACAGGCTAAATCAACCCAGACTAAACCACCCCAGACTAATTCAACACAGACTAAACCAATGCAGACTAAACCAACCCAGACTAAATCAACGCAGGCTAAACCAACGCAGACAACAAAGACTAAATGAATGTAGACTAAACCAACACAGGCTAAACCAATGCAGACTAAACCAACACAAGCTAAACCAATGCAGACCAAACCTACCTAGACTAAACCAACGCAGACTAAACCAACCCAGACTAAACCAGCCGAGACTAACCAAATCAAACTAAACCAATCACTGATTAAACAATCAGAGTCTAATCAGTCACTGGCTGACCCACTGCGGACTAACCCAATGTAGGATAAACAATGATAGGCCAACCTTTGCAGGCTAACTAGTCATAGGCTAACTGATCACAGGCTAACCAACTAAAAATATACATATATTTTAGTCTGAAATTATTCATTTTGAATTTATATCATTTTGAAACTACTAAATCAAAGTTAAAGTGAAATCCAACTTGTAGCAGCCTGTTACAGTCTCACAGCATTTCCAGCTCAACTCTGACTCATCAGTCACTGAGAACTTATACAGACAAAACTCCTCCAAATGCACAGCCTCACGGTGAAGATCAGAGAACTGAAAGTTCACTCTCACTGTTCACTCTGTGTTCACACCCAGTGTTCACTCTTAGTGTTCACTCTCAGTGTACACTCTTAGTGTTCACTCTCAGTTTTCAGTGTGTTTACTCTGTTTACTCTTCATGTTTATGTTTATGTTCACTGTTCATGCTCAGTGTTCACTCTCAGTGTTTACTTAGTGTTCACTCTCAGTGTTCACACTCAATGTTCACTTTTAGCATTCACTCTCAGTGTTCACTGTATGTTTACTCTGTGTTTACTCTTTATGTTTATGTTCACTCTTAGTGTTCACTCTTAGTGTTCACTCTTAGTGTTCACTCTTAGTGTTCGCTCTCAGTGTTCACGTTAAGTGTTCACTCTTCAATGTTCACTCTCGATGTTCACATTCAGTGTTCACTCTCATTGTTCACATTCAGGGTTCACTCTAAGTGTTCAGTCTTAGTGTTCATTCTCAGTGTTTACTCAGCCAAGTGTCACTAAACAGACTCCGATGAAGAATGAGGGGCGTGTTAGAGGAGTGAACTCTCACCCGCCGTGTCGTACAGGTTCAGCTGAATTTGTTTCCCTCCATGAGTCACCGTGGTTACGTACTTCTCAAACACTGAGGGCGCGTACGTCTGAGGATCACAGCGTCATCACAAACAGTTACCATTAAAGCCATAGTTAAAAGAAAAGATGACAACAAATTTACCCAGTGCTCCCTGCTTACCCACACACACAGTCAGCTACCGTGTCTTTAATTTTGGCACTGAACATTAATGTAGACTATGTGGTTTCTGAAGCTGTGATCTGCTCTAATCTGTAAACACAGGCTGAAGTACGCTGATATGTGATGATGTGTTTATTGAACTCCAGAAGAGCAGAATGTTCAGGTAATGCTGTGTTTCTGCACTGAAACATCTGCATTATATTAACTTTACTGCATCTGTAATGCCACACAAATAACATATTTCTCAGTAGTGCTAATGCAGGTGGAGTTAGGCCCATTTTCAACATTTAAATGTTTGTTATCAATGTCGACACTGGTCCACAATTCCCATATCACTGCATTCCTAACTGTGTTTTATAAATGTGGACTAAAGTACAGACTAAATTCAGGCTTCTAGCTGCTGCTGCTGTTTTTAGCTACGCTAATGTACTTTAGTCCATGTTTATAGATAACAGTGAGTCATACAGTGTCAGAAACCACATCATCAAGTCTGTTAGAGAAACTGAACAGCTCCACACAGTCTGATGATTCAGTCATGCAGTTAGCACCATGCTAATTGGTGGGAGATAATCTTCCATTACTCATTATAGCATTAAAGCAAAAGAAGCAAACTCGACACCGAACACGTTTTGGCTGATCTTTTGCGTGTGGGAAAGGAGGGGTTCTGTACATCTGCTTTTTCACTGAACTACCGCTTTAATATGCTGAGGCATTATGACAGTGTAAGAACTGGCTGAGGGCGTGTAAACCATCAGGACTTATTTTGCAATTGTGTTTCCTTCCCTGAGTTCATCATTAAGAACAAAGATTTCAAAACTGCCCCCCCCCCCAAACAGTTTATGGGAACTAAAATAAGTGATAGTAAATGGACTGACATTGAGAAAGAAACATTAACAAAACTTTTTAAAACTAATTTAAGCTGTTAAACTCTGATGGTCTCATAGCACATACGAAATAATAATAGTGGATACTGAATGATTCATAGTAGATACTGAATGATTTATAGTAGATACTGAATGATTCATAGTAGATATTGAATGATTCATAGTAGATACTGAATGATTCATAGTAGATACTGAATAATTCACAGTAGTTACTGAATAATTCACAGTAGATACTGAATAATTCACAGTAGATACTGAATAATTCATAGGAGAGACTGAATAATTCACAGTAGATACTAAATAATAAAGTGGACACTGAAGAATTCATAGTAGATACTGAATATTTCATAGTAGATACTTAATAATTCATAGCAGTTACTTAAGTCATCACAAATATTGAATAATTCATAGCAGATATTAAATAATTCATAGTAAATACTGAATATTTCATAGTAGATACTGAATAATTCATAGTAGATGCTGAATACTTCATAGTCTATACTGAATAATTCATAGTATATATTGAAAAATTAATAGTAAATACTGAATAATTTATCATAGGTACTGAATAATTCATAGTCAATACTGAATAATTCATAGTAGATACTGAATAGTTCATAATAAATACTGAATAATTGATCACAGATACTGAATAATTCATAGTCGCTACTGAATAATTCATAGTAGATGCTGAATAATCAGTCGAATATACTGAATAATTCCTAGTAGCATTAATATTAATAATCTGTCCTCTGACCTCAGGAAAGTCTCCTTTAGCATAAACCATCAGCAGGGAGGTTTTCCCGCACCCTCCGTCCCCTACGATCACGATTTTGAGCTGTTCTCCGTTAAAAGTCTTCTCAGCCGCAGAACCGTTCTGCATGGTGCACGCTGTAAGCAGGCCCTGGGGTCAAAGATCAGACAGTCAGCAGAGGTGTGGGGAGCGACCTTAACCGCTCCTGCAGTGGAACTACTGACACTTTAACAAAATAATGACAAAATTTCTGTTCTTTAACACACACAGCAGCAAGAACGTGGTCAAGCTAGCTAGCCAGACGCTGTCAGTGGATCAAACTGAATCAATGATTGACAAATATTTTTGATTATTACTAATAAAGAAGTCAGATGATGAGGTAGAAACCAGTTTATTATCAAGAATAAAAAGGAATACAGGCCAACAGGCAGATGTGTGTCTGTTTTTATTGTAATTTAATATAATTAATACATTAGCATAAAGACAGGAAATAAAATAGGAATTTAAAAAGAAAATCAATACTTTCTAAACTTCCTAGTTTAGCCACCCCTTAAAAGCTACCTAAATACTGAATAACTTATAGAACTTAAGTGGAACTTCCAGCATCTACCAAATGAATTTTTCTTCTCATTACAATTTTCCGTTCTACCTTAAATGGTGTGGCTGTTACATTATGGCGCCTGGCGCCAGAATGTAACAGCCGCACCATTTAAGGTGGAACGGAAAATTAGATATAGTACACACTTTCAGCCGCATGAAACTGAGTAATAGAGTGACAATAAAAGCTCCACCATTTAAGATGGAACGGAAAATTCAAACAAGAAGCTGTATGAACTTAGGTTTCTTCTCTTTTTGGATCTTTTTGGTCTAAAATTAATGACTAAATCTCCAAACTGAAAGGGCTAATCAACAGTAGAACAGTCCAGGAGCTGAACCGACACAACAGAATTACCTTAAAGCCCAAAGAAGAGAATTAGGAGCTAAACATTAATGATTAAAATGGAACTAAGCAAAAACTACTCACGATTAAACTTAAGTAGAAACAACGTTTTTATCATCATAGTGGAAATCTGTCTATAGTAGATGTAAGTGAGTGAAAAAAACGCACCTCTGGGGGTCAGAAGGTCAGCAGATCCGGTGGTCCGGCATGGAGCAGCTCATGTGGGAGTAGCACAGGTACCTTCTCACTGCTCTCAGCTTCCCCTTCCTCTCTGAGCTTCTTCTACACCATGTGTGTGTGTGTGTGTGTGTGTATGTGTGTGAGTGAGTGTGAACCTGCATCATTAAACCGCAATGTGAGTGTTTGTCTCCTCCCACAGTAGTGTGTCCAGTGCAGTGCCGTTTTCCGCCACACGAGGGCACACTGAGCTGCACTTTCCGTTACTGCACCGGTGAAAAGAGCTGAATGCGTGTCATCTTAAAGGGCCAATTTCTTGAATATCAAAAACTGAATTATCTTTGAGTTTCCTTTAATAAAAGAGTTTGATGTCATATGTAAACATTGCCAAAGTTTCAACATGCAACACTCCCCGGTCCATACAGTTCATATATTGAATGCAATAAAGCTGATATATGTAAATGAGCTCTGTTCTGATTGCCTCAAAAAGCATTCCAGGCTGAAACGCTTCTTATAACGTCAATGTAAATGGGTGGGGCCAAACTGCTGTAAACTGAATGGGCGGGCCTATACTACTGTAGGTTGAATGGGTGGGGCTAAATCGTTGTAGGCAGAATGGGTGGGGCTAATTTGCTGTAGGCTGAATGGGTGGGTCTAAATCGCTGTATGCTGAATGGGTGGGGCTAAACTGCTGTAAGCTGAATGGGTGGGGCTTATTTGCTGTAAAATGAATGGGTGGGGCTAAACGGCTGTAGACTGAATGGGTGGGGCTAAACTGCTGTAGACTGAATGGACAGGGCAAAACTGCTTTAGGCTGAATAGACGGGGCTAAACTGCTGTAGGCTGAATGGGGGGGCTAAACTGTTGTAGGCTGAATGGTTGGGTCTAAACTGCTGTAGGCTGAATGGGTGGGGCTAAACTGCTGTAGGCTGAAAGGGGGGGCTAAACTGTTGTAGGCTGAATGGTTGGGTCTAAACTGCTGTAGGCCGAATGGGCGGGGCTAAACTGCTGTAGACTGAACACAGCAGAATCATCAGTTCATACAGAACTCATCAGATAGACACTGTGTGTGTGTGTTTACTGTAATCCTGCATGTAACATAACATACATCAGTAAATAAAAATAGAGCAATGTAATAATTCATTTTGCTTTATTTCACAGTGACAGTAAAATATCAGTAAACTGTTGTTAATGTTATGTGACACTTAAATATCACCCATATGGAGAGTAAAGAGTTCATATGAGAAAAAAATCACCTTTTACACTCTCATGTTTAAAACTCTAAAAGTTAAACCACTAACTCCTACGTCTTAACCTTTAACCCCAAACCCTAACTCCATAAATCTCTAAACCTAAAACTCTAACCCCTAAATCTTAAACTGTAACAACTAAACCCTAAAGCTTAAACTCAAACCACTAATATCTAAGTCTTAAACTCTAACCCCTAAATCCTAACTCCATAAACCTCTAAACCTTCAACTCTAACTCCTAAACCCTGAACTCTAACCCCTAAACCCTCAATTTTAAACTCTAACAACTAAACCTGACCACTAATTTCTAAGTCTTAAATTCAAACCCCTAAACCCTAACTCCATAAACTCCTAAACTTCAAACCTTAAACTGTAACCAACCCTCAAACCCTAACTCCCTAAATCTAAACCTTAAACTCTAACCCCAAATCCTAAACCCTAACTTTAAACCCTAAACCCATAACCAAAAAAAGCACCTACATCCTAAAACTTAAACTATCAAACCTCAAACCCTAAAGGTGTCCTAAAAACCCAACCCCCTAAGCCCTAAGGGGTTTTTAATACTAAAGGCCTTTAGTTTAAAATAACTAGTGTACCTTAGAGATAGGACTTAGAATTAAGGTTTAAAATCACTCTGGTGTACTTTAAGGGTAGGGTTTAGGATTAAGGTTTAAAATCACTCTAGTGTACTTTAAGGGTAGGATTTAGGGTTTAAGGTTTAAAATCACTCTAGTGTACCTTAAAGGTAGAGTTTAGGATTAAGGTTTAAAATCACTCGAGTGTACTTTAAGGGTAGGATTTAGGGTTTAAGGTTTAAAATCACTCTAGTGTACCTTAAAGGTAGGGTTTAGGATTAAGGTTTAAAATCACCCGAGTGTACTTTAAGGGTAGAGTTTAGGACTAAGGTTTAAAAATCACTCGAGTGTGCTTTAAGGGTAGGGTTTAGGACTAAGGTTTAAAATCACTCTAGTGTACTTTAAGGGTAGGGTTTGGGGATTATTGGCTCTCTGCTGTTACTCTAATCACACGTTAGACTGAGTAGGAACAGAAAGTAAAGAGATAAAGAGGAACACAGCACTGGACTGAACACTGAGACGCCTCACTGCCTGCCTGACCTCTGACCTACTAAACTAAACCCACAGCAGCCTGAGGGGTTTAGGAGGGGTTTAACTCAGCCTAAAGCAGTTAAAACTCTCAATGACTAATTTCTATTCCTAACTGTAACATTAACTCACTCATTCTTCGCTGGTTTTGTGATATTAGCGTGTGAATCAGCAGCTAATGTTAGCAGCACACTGAGATAATTAGCCTTTAGCCTGTGGAGCTGCATTCTCAGAGATCACTCCCACTGAGAGGTGGTGATTGAGAGGGTCATTTAGATCCTCGTCCACTCCAGCAGCTCCACAGAAACTCTATTCCTGCTGATCTGGCGCTCGACTCTGTTTACAGCAGCTTATCTGTGTGTACTGATTAAAGAGGACGGCTGCCTCACTGAGGCATTTCTGCATTTTAAACAGTGCAGGTCTTTTCTCCACACACACATAAAAAGGGCTGAATCTGTGACCTCATAAAGGTGCGATTATGATTCTTTAGGAAATGATTCAAAGCATTACTTTGAATTTGATTGTTTTAGAATGATTCGGTAGGTTTAAAGTCAAGTCATGTTAGTTCATGTTTCTAGTCATAAAAAATATAATTAATCATACCATATCAGGCAGGGCAAATTGATATTAACCAATAATATCATGTTTCACCTTCCCACCCACTTATCATGAAGAGAAAATCCTCAGCTTGCTCACACACCCTCCCTGATACCAAGCTTCACATCACTGTATGGAAGCAGAATCAGTTATAATTTCACACTCATGATGACTTTGAAATACACACAACACACAAAAGTGGAGAAACTAATAAAGACAAAACAGGCTGTTTTTTTGTTTGCAAATAGTCTAAGACTTTATTTTTTTTACCAAAAAAGCATGCATATATTAATAAATATTATCATTGATTATAGTGGTTGATACTATTCCTAAATGGATCACTGACACTGAACAAGCATCATGGAGCTGTTAGTTTAAAAGGGGAATTCCATTCCATTTTTCAAATTTCCTCCATAATAAAGTGGTTAAGATGTAAACAGTCAGTCAGTGTTTTGGTGTGAAACGCACCGTTCTAGAGATAGAATTGTGCATAGTGGTGGTGATAGGAACCAGCATCCACCTCTAAAAGCTCCCTTACAAAGTTATTACATGAAATGGTTATGAATACACTTTCAGCTTTTACACTATTTTCAAATAATCAATATTCCACATAAAGCTCAGAAGACACGTAAAGGTTCACTGGTTTTGGATAGTGAATAAAATGTCTGTATTAGTGTTGTAGTCATGGCGACTGGTTCCTATCACCACCACTGTAAAGAAATCTGAACCATTTAACACCAAACCACTCTGAATCACCCAGTGTCTCACACACGTATGTTATGGAGAAATTTTTTTGAAACTTAGGTGGAGGTTCCCTTTAATTAAAAAATAAATAAATAATAATAAAAAAAAAAAAAAAAAAACAACAACCACAAAAGCATCAGCCTTACCAAAAGAAGCTCAAAAGTGGAGTTTAACTAGCTCTCCACACAGAAAGACCAACAAATGTTCTCCCTCTGTGCTCCAGTGTGCACGCAGAGCTCCTGCACGGAATGTTCTGGAACAGAGACAGAGAGAGCGCGAGCGCCAACACGAGCTTGCACACTGTAACACGCGCTTTGGGCGCGTTTTGCTGTTTTGCTCAACAGAGGGGAGGTAAACAAATGTCAGCCCTGAATTTTGGTACATTCAGTGCGCTGTGTGATATCTTAGTGGTGTTTATTTAAACATGCAAACCTCCAGAATCATTTTAGTTTGATTAAAGTCTAACTCTTCGGGGGAAAAAGCACCAAGATTGCAGTTTTTATTTTTAGCACCAATGCGCACCGCTAGCTTAATGTATTGCAGCAAGCTGGGCATTCAAATGATGCACGTTTAGCGTCAATTAAAGCAAACTGCAGTTTGTTTAAGCAACCATTTTACATTTTAATCGTGTCTGATCAGATAATGGAGAGGTTTTTTTTTTCTTTCCTGCTTCCTCTCTTCCCCTTTCTCTGTCTAAAACGAAGAGCAGACGCTTGAGGAAGTAAAAGAGAAAGAGTGGGGGATGGTTTTCGCATGCAACTGCTGTGCCATTTAAGGTGGAACGGACCAATTTGAAAAAGTAGTCAAATTCAGCCTCCTGAAACTAACAATAAAATAAAAGCAGAAAATGTGTTTAAAAGCATAACTAGTCCATATTTATGATCTTTGCTTCGTGTATATGTCCATAAATATGGATTTACATTAACATTCACTGTGAATCTTCTGCGCAGGCTGTGTGTGTGAGCTCTGAGGATGTGTGTCTGGGTGTGTGTGTGTGTGGTGTTGTTCTCAGAGGGAAGGAGCCATTTTGCAGCAGCACAGCAGATCCGCCATTAAACAGCACGCACCTCAAAAATGCAAAATTCAACACTAACATTAAGAAAAAAAGAACAAAAACAGAGCACAGGCTTCACTCATCCACCACTCTCACATGGATGAACACTTAAACTGTCAGCTATGAGCTTTAAATATAACCTTTATTGGAATAAACTGCATTTTGTTTACACACTACTGCTGGTTTTGATGTAAATTTAACAATGCAAATTAAACAGATGGTGCATATTGAATATGCAAGCTCAGAAATTAGGCTCTAGTTAAATGAGCACTGTCTTTTATTGTTGTTATTATTATTACTATTATTGTTATTATTATTATTATTATTATTACCTTATAAATAAAGGCAGTCCGCAGATGGAAACCTACAGTTCTTGTCTTTCTCCTGCTGAGTAAAAATGAAGAGCGAATGCTTGAGGAAGAGGGAGAGAGAGAGACAGAGAGAGGGAGAGAGGGGGGATGGTTTGCATATTCTCTAAAACTAAATCTGCTGAAGATTTGCAGCAGTTTCACTCCTCACAGGTGCAAAGCTCTTTTAAAAAAGACCGAAAGCAGGAAAAACTGACGATGTAGTGAAGGTTTGCACTCTTGTTTGTGCTCCTCAGGAGTTAAAACTGTAAAAAAGGGGGAAAAAAGCCTTAAAGGAGTTTAAAGGATCCGGCGATGGGAATGAAAACGTCCCTCTTTCTTCTGCCTTTAGGCCTGATAAAAATATTTCAGCAAAAATGTGAAGGTAAATATTTCATATCTCCACCGATTCTGTGCTTGTTGTCCATTCTTCAAAAAAAAAGGAGAAGAAAAAAATCTATCTAAATGATGTGCTGTTGGGATAAAAAAAAGAAAAAACTACAGATATGAAAACGTGTCCTTGACACAAGGTCAACTAGGCTTACACTGCATACTTAATAATGCTCATGCTTTAGGAAGAGAACTGTACGTTTGATATAACATTTAACTGTACTTTCAGCACTAAGTCGTGGCTTATTTTGCTGTGAAATGTCCTGCTGACTGATAAATTGTGGGGTCTGGTTGATGACCCACTGTTTTCTGTGAAAGCTGAAAGGTTTTAGTACCAACAACCACCATATTAACCTACCAACTATTCCTGTGATTCAGCATTTTTGCAAAAAGGCCAATCGTCCTTTATTTTCTCTCTCTCTCTCTCTCTCTCTCTTTCTCTCTCTGGCCTGCCGTGTTTTCTGAAACGTGAGAAACAATCAATTTAAAAATGGATAAAACAGCATGCAGCTGAATGTACTGAATATAGAAAAAGCCGTCTCCCTCTCTCACACACACACAGTGCCATGGGGGACCAGATAGAATTAAATAATAATAATAGTAATACTACTAATAATAATAATACTCAGCCAATCCACATAAAAATACCAAAGTTTAATTATATATAAGACATTCAACCTTTATACATAAGCAAAGACAATAAAGATAAACTTACTCAATGGCACATTCATACTTGGCCTTGCACAGTGTAGGGCCTGCAAAAGCAGCTGATCAGTTTTCATGTGTATTTCTTTTCTCTTTTTTCTCTCTTTAAAACATTGCTAAAGCAGTTAGTTATACACTCAGCTGTTTTATTCAGTAGCATTTCACTTTAGAAACAAAATGCTGTTATATGGGTGTGCCGTGACCTAGTTTGCCAGGACAAAGATGGATTCCTGGAAAAAGACAGAGTGAGAGAGAGAGAGAGAGGTAGGAAAAAAAAAAGAACAAGTTTAAAAAATGTCAAAGGGATATGGTCCAACATTTCTTCCTTCTTCTCAAATCCTGTACACAGAGAGAAGACTGTAATGTGTGATAGTCCATAAAAAAGGTGATGAAATGAAGCTTTAGATCCCTTTTAAGAACAAAGGAAACCCATTTTGGCCATTGAGGTCCAGTGTAGTAGAAAATGGCTGCAACCCTTCTTTCTGTCTCTCTGTTGGAGAAGCTGAAGGTTGTGACTCTAATAGGAGAGGCTTACACGGTATTTCCTTTCCCACCTCTATTCCGGCAGGTCCCGCCTTCTGCCAGAGGATTGGACGGCGACGCGTGTTCACACGCGGACCGCCTATTGGGCGAGGGTGCGCCGTGGACCAATCGGAGCGCAGGCGGCTGGCCAATCGGCGCGCAGGGGAGGCGGAATGTGGTTGAGAACGGGTGCGGAAAAAAGCACAACGGGCGCCGCGTTCTGATTGGCCAGAAACGGCTCTGCTGTTTAACCAGCCAACTGCCCGAGCACACACAGTATAAAACACGATTTAACACAGACGGAGGTTTATACGTGTGCTTATGTGTGCTTGTATGTGGTTATGTGGAGTAAGGAAAGGTTAAAAAGCCACATTTTAGGCTTTTGTAAACTTACAACCCCCAACGTTTGGTTTAATGTGTTTTACGCCTTTTTATCAAACACTATCAAACGATTGTCGTTATGTTACGCCAGGATGTACATCTGAGACCCCTCGCGTTTAAAACATACATGTAAAATGTATAAAAATGTATAAAAAACAGCCTAAAGCTGAAGCCCATGTCCATCTTGTATTTGTCGTCCATGTAAATCTAGCGCGCAGATTCGACGCGGCGTTTAAAGGCGGTTTGTTTGGGCAAAAGCAAGCGCAGAGGGGGATTATATAGACGAATAATGTGCACATGTGCTTCTGTAAGTGTGCCGTATTTCTTTGCATTTCTTCACGTGAGATGAGAATGTGATGCGGATTTTGTGTCTCGTGTCGAATGTGCGGGTGAGTCCGCTGTTGGAGGCTGTGATAGTGGTGTATTGTGGGAGAGACAGAAAGCAGAAAGCAGTCTGGAGACACACAATCGCAGAAAGGAGGCAGACTCTGTAAAACCATGTAATGCAAGAAGCGAAAAAAGACGGAAAACGAGCTCACTCGCGTCTCTCAGCCTTTCACCTTCAAAACGAACTCGAAGATAATGTCCCGATCAGGAGAAAGAAGCAGGGTGAATGAGGAGCACGGCAGAAGGAGTTCCAGTAAGAGCTTTCTCTCCCTCTCTCTGTCTCTTTCTGTCTCTCTCTCGTTTCTCTCCTCTCAAATGTTCGTTTACGGTCGGTGGGGTTCGCTTTTGTCCCTCTCCGTGCCCCTCTGCTCAGTAAACTGTGTTGCAGTGTTTATAAATACGCGTTCATCTTCTTGTTTTCGCAGCTTTGCCCAACGGCATGGAGAACAGTTCAGGAGAGAAGCGCAGTCACCACTGGAGGAGTTACAAGTTGATCATTGACCCTGCTCTCCGCAAAGGATCCCACAAGCTTTACCGATACGATGGACAGCACTTTAGTTCACCGGTCAGTTTTCGGTTACGGCGTTCACGTTACGTTCTGGAGGTCCAGAAGGTCCGACAGCGGTTCGGTAGTTGTACCGGAGGTCAGAAGGGTCCAGCAGAGGTCCAGTTAAGGTTCAGTCGAGGTGCTTGAGGTCTAGAAGCTCTAAAAAAAGTTCAGTCGTGGTGCTGGAGGTCTTGAAGCTCTAGTAAAGCTTCAGTCAAGGTTCTAAAGGTTTAGAAGGTCCAGCAGAGGTCCAGTAAAGGTTTGGTCGAGGTGCTGGATGTCTGGGAGGTACAGCAGAGGTCCGGTAAGGGTTCAGTGGAAGTGCTTGAGGTCTGAAAGGTCTAAGAAAGGTTTGGTCGAGGTGTTAGAGGTCTAGACGTTCTAGTAAAGGTTCAGTTGAGGTTCTAAAGGTAGAGAAGGTCCAGTAAAGGTTCAGTGTAGGTGCTGGAGGTCTAGAAGTTCTAGTAAAGGTTCAATTGAGGTTGTAGAGATCTAGAAGGTCTAGTGAAGGTCCAGCGAAGATCAGGTAGACATCCAAAAGGTTCAGTATAGCTGCTGTAAATCTAGGAGGTCCAGTAGAGGTTCAGTAGCGGTGCTGGACATCTGGTGCTGGAGATGTAGAAGGTTCAGTGGGGGTTTGGTAAAGGTCCACTAGACATCTGCTGGACCTCTGCCTCCTGCTGAAGGCTCCCTACTCAGCTTAATATTCACATTCCTTCACTGATAAGGTCTTAGAGCAATAGAACCTGATTTTGGTGCTGGAGAATATGCACTCTGGACTTGTTAGTGTTCCCTGTCCCAGGACACCTGGTCCAGCTTGACAGTCATCTGATGAGCTGGAGCAGGTGTGCTAGAGAGGAAAAATACTGAAGTAGACACTCTCCTGACCACACTGTGGGTCAGTTTGGTGCTCAGGGCTGATCGCTGTTGACATTGGAGCAGGTTTGTGAGCGCTTGTGTTTGTTTTTGTAGAATCCCGGCATTCCCCCAGTGGACATGGTCAGAGACCCCAGGATCGGTCGCCTTTGGACGAAATATAAGGAGACAGACCTGCCGGTGCCCAAATTTAAGGTAAGCTGAGCCTGTAACTCTGCGTTTTAGTGACGTTTCTGTTAAATTAGCAGGTTGGAAACAAAGCTGAACTTTATTCGGCTTTATTTCCTGAGAGACACCTGGCTCCATGCGTTCATAATCACTATAACGGGTCGATTCCTCCGCAGATCGACGAGTGCTACATCGGCCGTGTTCCTCCAAAGGAGGTCACCTTTGCCAGGCTGAACGACAACATCAGAGAGGGCTTCCTCATGGACATGTGCAAAAAGTTTGGAGAGATTGAGGAGGTGGAGATTTTGTACAACCCCAAGAACAAGAAGCACCTGGGAATAGCCAAAGTGGTGTTCGGGTCGGTGCGGGCCGCCAAGGACGCCGTGCAAAACCTCCACAACACCTCTGTCATGGGCAACATCATCCACGTGGAGCTGGACCCTAAAGGTGAGGGAGCTTTGGTCTGCCGGGCTCGTCAGTGTTTACACAAACACACGTGTTTATTTGTTTAGCTCACTTGTGATATCACGTCTGGCATGGAGATTTACATTGGTTGCCTAGTAACCGCCGTAACAGCAGGCAGAGCGCCGCACGCATCTTCATAAAAATGATGAATGGAGAGGAAAAGCAGTGACGGTTCAGTCCTGGACGTGTGCGTGTGGGATGTGAGGGACAGATCAGGAGTCTGAGCTGATCAGAAGGTCTATGTTATTGATTAGTGAAGGAGAGAGATGGTCAGCCTTATCTGTGACAGCTCAGTTCGTTTTGGAGGGAAACTGAAGAGCCATAACTCTGTACAAAGCCACAGTCTGAAGGAGTTTACAACCATACTGGCTCTTTTCGCTCTCTCCCCCTTCTCTCCCTCTCTCTCTCTCTCTCTCTCTTAAAGAGACAGTGACAGTCTAAAAGAGTCAGTCTTAGTATCTTATTATAGCTTTAACATGTGAAGTTTACTGCAGCTGTTATAATTTACAGCACAGATGGAGAATATAATTCACAAAACTTTTTACTTATAAGCAAAATCTGTTGATTCCTCAAACAAATCCCCATTAACTCAGTGTGAGAGATGTAAACAGAGTGATTCAGAGTGGTTTGGTGTGAAATGGTTCAGATTTCTTTACAGTGGTGGTGATAGGAACCAGGGGTCGCCATGACTACAACACAAATACAGACATTTTATTCACTATCTAAAACTACCAGTGAACCGACACCTGTCTTCTGAGTTTTATATGGAATGTTGATGATAGTGAAATAGTGAAGTCTGAAATAATAAGTTTTGTTTGGGGACGATTTTGCCTCAAAACACCCTGCATGTATTGAGTTTTAAGTTCTCTAAACTATCATAAAGCAATCAGACATCATGCAGTGAATTCATACCCATTTCATGTGATAACTTTCTGTGAGTGGTGGATGTCTGGTTCCTGTCGCCATCACTGTGAACAGATCTGACTCAGTTTCTCTAGGATGAAGGATTTCACACCAAACCGCTCTGAATGAACTTTGTTCACATGATGTAATTTTGCAGAATTTTTTGGCGGAATTGCCCTTTAACATTATAACTAGGGCTGTGGGTCATACTCCATTATATTGCTTTGTCACGGTTGTGGAATGTTTTGCAGTAAATTAAAACCCATAATGTTAAACATTTGCATTATTTTCACTAATAATTAAGTAATTTATTTTTGTTGAAGTATCTGATCATTCACCTTTTCAGGAGGCTCACATTACACAAAATAAAACGGAGATGATATGATATTTGGTGGCTCATTTTCACATCGAGCAGTTGAATATTGTGATGATAATAATTACTAAATGATACATCGTACAGCCCTAATTATATTCTTCCTTTCTGTTCAAATTTGTCATACATGTTGTCGTTGTCAGGACAAAACTTTGTTTTTTTTTTTTTGGAATAATTTAAATTTGTCAGCTGAACTTTACATTGTGTCACAGTTTTCTGAGTAGTGAAGATGCAGAAATCATCCAGAATTTCTTGAAATACGGTTTTAGCCTTTATTACAGGTAATAAAGCTGTTTATTTCTCCTGTAAGGTCACTTTTTTGGATAAACAGTGTTTCACTCCGACAGTGACATCATACACGAATTCACACTGTAAAATGTGTTCAGGCCTTTTTCAGGTGTATTAAACATTATATACAAAATATTTGTAATATTTGCAAATTCCATGCAACTAAAATTTCTGCAGTTTGAATCCAGTGTCTGACTGCACCTGCTGTGCGTAAGTTCAGACGTAGGCTGGTTGTAACGTGTTTACTAAGTTCAGGTTTGTCATCACTAAATCTGATCGAGCTGCACCACAAACTAGTTTAACACTGAGTTTAGTAGTTAGTAAATATTTACACCCCCTCAGCAGGTGTTCGTTTTAGAGAAACCATCAGAAACGACACAGAGAGCACAAAAAGACCAAATACAACATTTTTGTTTAACTAAGCTTAAATCTCTAAACGCTATATGCTGTGATTTTCCTCTCAGCTCTAATCATCGCCCTGGTTTAAACTCTGAGCATGAAGCTAAACACCCAAAGCTTCAGCTCAGAGAGGCTCAGCAGCTGCACAAACGGCTAAACTCAGGCTGCTGTTGTGTCGCTCAGCCAGAAACCGGCATTTAAAAAGCTGCGTATTTGGTTTCTTAGGGAAATGTTAAAGAATGATCATAGTTCATTAGTTTATTCAGCTGAACTTGTACACATTGTTCCCTTCTAGGCTGGGTGTTCAGTCAGAGCAGCTGCCGTTGCATTTCCATGACAGCGGGTTTACTGATCAGTTCTGAACATGTTATCATCATGTTAAAGTGATGTACACATTAGTTAGTTGTTACTTGTTCAGACACAACTTACGGATTTCAACCGACAGTTTAAACTAACTAGTGTAACTGAGGACTCAGTAAAGACTTCACACGCAGACTTTAGTATAAACTTATGTAAAGCCGGTGCAGCTCAGTCCAGGTGGTTCAGTCATTGATCATTGTGATCAATGAGCCATGATCATTAATCCTCAGCTGTTATTGATCTTCACACTTACCTGTGCAGGGGAGAACCGGCTGCGGTATTTCGAGCGCCTGGTTAACGGCAGCTTCACGCCGCTCACGCTGCCGGTGGGCGAGGAGCCGTGCGAGGTGTCTCCGCGCAGCCTGGCCGAAGCTCTACTGGTGAGATACGAGCAAGTGAATGTTTTTATCTGGCGTGCTGTACACTCTTAAAAAGATGGTTCTTTAGTGAATATATCTGAAAAAAAAATGTGAATGAATGTGACAGAGTTCTATATAGCACCCAAAAGGATTCTTCTGTTTTTAAAAGCTTGACATCGCAACAGTAGAAGAACCCTTTTTGGTGCTATATAGAACCCATTCAGCACATTCTCCATCTATCTGAAGAACCGTTTTACCTTGCAAAGAACCCTTTAATAATGCTTGTTCATGCTTCTATATAGAACCGGTTTCTTTACTAAAGAACCCTCGAAGAACCATCCTTTTAAGAATGTCGAACAGGTGCTCTGCCTGCAGTGCAGGTTAAACTGTTAGCACTTGTTCACTGGCAGAGTTTGATGTAAGTGTTTGTGAAGAGCAGAAAAAGCACCATCAGAGACTACATGATTCCACGTTTCCTCTCCTGATGGCGATGCTGGAACCTCAAGTACTACCTGATATTTATTTTTATTTACTTATTCATTTTTAAACTACTACTGTTCATTTTTAAGGTGAAGTTTTCTATGAGTGACGCCATAGAAGAACCACTATTGCTTCCCTTAAAAACCAAAGACCCTTCACTAAAACTTTCTTTCCAGTTGAAGTCCTCTTCCTAGAACTTTTAGAGGTTCGAAGTAAGAAATGTAGAAATATGGACCTTCTAAGGAGAACCACTGCCAAAGAACCATCCTCTGAAAGGTTTTTTAGGCAGCCAGTTGCCCAAAGAACCTAGTTTTAGCACCTTTATTTTATGGAGAGTGATTTTAATTGTTTAATTGAAATCAGTTTGAACGTGTTCCTCCCTGCTCCACAGGACGAACTGCATGGCCGTCACAGATCAGACGAATCTGACGGTCCTGCAGATGTTTTTGAAGAGTTCAGAGATGCTTCTGCTCTTCAGCGCATGCATTACACTGTCGTTCTGCGTCTCTCCTCTGTTAGTGTTCACTGTCCACTCAGATCACCCTAATCTAACCTTGACTCATACACGTGCGACAGCTGTGATCCTGTAACGTAAACAAACGTTTAACAACTTGTTAAACTTTTGGTGCTGGATTGCAGCAAACAAGGCATGCCCTCTCTAACAAGGCCATGCCCCTCTAAACCCCGCCCCCAAATTCCTAGTGTTTGTTATTTAACATCCAGAGTGCAATCAATGATGATAATTCTTAAATCCTTACACTGACTACCGGTCTGTTCCAGAACAGACTTTAAGGTGCTGTTACTGCTCTATAAATGTCTTAATGGTGCAGGAGCAGCGTATTTATCTGATCTGCTACAGCGATATGAGCCGAGCAGAACTCTCAGATCATTAGGAACTAGTCAGTTAGTCCTGCTGAAGGTGAAGACTAAACATGGAGAAGCAGCGTTTAGCTGCTATGCTGCTCTTAAATGGACTCAGAGAGCATTAGAAGAGCCCAACAAAGGACACTTTTAAATCAGCCTGAAAATGTTCCTTTTAGAGCAGCTTTCAGCTCAGTTTAAACACTGTTAGCTCTACTGCACTTCTCTCTTCTAACAACACTCTATTATCCTCATTTCAGCTTTAATCTGATTTTTAATTTAATGATTCATTTCTTATTATTTTAAATCTGTTGTTTGAATTATTTGTAAAGCACTTTGAATGACAGCAGTGTATAAAAGGTGCTAGATAAATAAACTTGCCTTGCTTAATAATAATACTAACAGTACTGCTACTAATAATAATGCATGAAACTAATATAGCGCTTTTGAAGAGCCCAAACAATTACAATACACTCTTGAAATATATGTGTTAAAAACCAACACATTCTATCTCTAACAAACATGTCGGCGTGTTCAGGTGGAGACTACACGTTTTGTGTTACTTTTAATATTTAAAACAATATAACGCAAAGTGTTAATGAGTAACACACTTACTTGTGTTGTTATTTAACACATCACTTTTTACGGTGTAGTAATAGAACACAGAACACTAGAAGCCGACAGCAGAGAAGAACGCAGGGTCCGGTTATAGTGGTTATGGCTCGGTGGTGAGCTGTAATCTGCCTTTTTGAGATTTATCTTAAATGTGGAGAGAAAATTAGACAATAACACAAACCCAACAAGCTAGCTATCGTAGCTAACAGAGCTGTTTATCTGTACTGTGTGTAATGTGTTCTACGGGCAGCTTTTTAGCCGTGCTAACTTACACCGCGTCCATGTGCTAAAGACAGGCTAGTTATCCGTCAGGCAATGTTAACAAGCGCACTGGCGCCCCTTCTGTGAGCTCTGCCTTTGGGGTGTTGGATGGGTTTATAAACTTCACTCTTCTTCTTCTTCTTTCCCACCCTTGGAAGTCTAGAGCTGCTTTTCCACTGCAGGGTATCATCTCGACTCATTACTTCTTCATTAGACAAATCTGGTACCTGGTACTATAGTTGGTATCACATCTGTCGAGGTTCCAAGCGAGCTGAGCTGATAAAAAAGGGGACATAAAACGCAGAGTGCTGATTGGTCGGAGAGAATTGCTAAACACATATGCTAACGCTAGCTACCAGGTTAGCGTAGCCTCTTGCATCATTTTTGAGCACCAGAATCGTTTCTGGTGTCTGAAGTCTGATGTTGTTTTTTTTCTCCAAACTCTCATGTTTTTCTCGACAGTCTTTTGTCTCGCTGCCTCTTCTGAACAGAATTTGTCTCCTTCACGTTTCATGTGACCAGCTACATTGAGGGGTCGCTATATCTGCAGTTGAAAACGGATTAGCTGGTAGCAGAGTGGGAGCTGTACCATGTGATGGAAAAGCAACTCAAGTTCTCCACATTTAGCCCAACATTTTGATGAACGTTGTTAAAAACACTGCACACTAACAGAGGAGAAAATGAAAGGACACTGTGATTAGGGCAATATGGCGATATTTATCATTACTGTGATAAGGTGTCACAGTGTGTTTTATCTCAGTACATCATTTACATCATCAGTTCTTTAAGAACACAAAGTAACAGGAGCACTTGATTAATTCAGAGAATTATTGATTAGATAAAGCAGGTTTTGGATAGGTAGAAATAATAGGTGGCTTTCTAAGGGAGAATGACATAAAATCACTACTTATTCAATATTATTTGTATTTATTCCATTATTGGTGCTTTTCTAAGCCAGTAAACTGTTCTTGCCCAGATAAACAGCTTTTTGATATTATTTTTATAGCATGTATATGTGTGTGTGTGTGTGTGTGTGTAGGCGTGTGAGCCCTTGCGGAGGCTCTCTGAGGGCAGTTCCTCGGCGGTGGGGGGACCCGTAACGCCGGGCAGCACCAGCACGCCCCTGAGTCTGGACACAGCGTACTCCAGCCTGAGGCAGGACACACCCCAGTCTCAGGGAACACCCCACACCCCGCGCCCCGCTGGAACACCGTTCTCTCAGGACTCCACCTACTCCAGCAGGTACCACAGCGGGTCGCTCTGCTCACTCTCTGATCACTCTGACACACTGTAGGATCACAGCTGGTGATCACACTGTGAAACTAGATGTTTAAAGCTGCACTGTGTAAGATTTAGTTGTTAAAACTGAAAGAAGTGTTGTTACTGAGTGAGGAAAATAAAAACACGCTAAGATATGGTGAGTGTGCGCTGCTGTGCTTCGCCCACGTCGTACATCTTTACATATTAACGTCACACACACAGACTCAAAAAGAAGACATGATGACAGTAGTGGATAATTCACTTACATCCTCAGAAGACGCATCCTTCAAGTTTAGACTGAGTTCTCTTTAAATTTTCTTTAAATTATCAGATTCATCCGCTCGGGAAAGAAACACAACTCACTACAAATGTTGTTGCAGTTACACATTTCCACCAGAGAGAGCTATAAATGCAGCTTTAACTAGTAGTGGGTTGAAATGTATGGGACGCACAGATCAGACAAATGGCTCGAGAAATTAGATGAAACTGAAGTTGCAGGGTCTAAAATTTTATTTGGGGGAATATGTGTATATTGGGGGGAAAAAAATGTTCTTGTTAAAAAGAAAAGTGACACCCTAGAGTACTACCACATCGTTAACCTACAAAAATAAGTTAACGAATTTACTTAAATATCTAAAATGGATATATATATTTATATGTATGTTACATATATATTTTGTTCAAATTGCCCAATTTTAAATTAATTGATTACCTTAACAGAATGTTTTAAGCATACAGCAAGAACAGATGTCTATGGGTGGGCGCACACTGTCTATGGGTGGGCGATATGGCAGTATGTTTTTATTATCATGATAAATTTAACCACAAAATACATTATATTTATGACTGATTTAGATTCAAGTTTGGAGCAGCCAGTGTGTAAGTAACGGCATAAACTGCAGACTAAGACGAAGCTGATTGGATGGCAGCCCATCAAATTTTATTACATTATTTTATTCCTTTTGCAGGTTTTCACAGGCTTTTTAAAGTGTAGTGTTGCGGTTTTGCTGGTGTGTTTTGTCTGTTCCAGCTTTTTCACAAGCCTCAGAAAAACTTTGTATCGTATTTCACATCGAATATCCTGAATATTCCTTTGAGTATTGAGTTGTTATGTTGCTGCTGTATCGTCCACTTTAATACTGTCCCGTCCTCCTGGCAGGCAGGGCACTCCAGCGTTCCAGCCAAACCGCGCCGAGGGGTCAGGGGGGTACAAGTCCAGACGGCACGAGACCAAATTTCAGGACGCTTATAACCGCAGACCGGAGAGGCACTACGTTCACGGAGTGGGTGGGGCTTATCGCGGCAATGCGGAGCAGCAAAGCAGCTTTAAACAGCACCAGCCACCTGAACCGCCTTCACCTGCATTTTCTAACACACCCCCTCCACCAGTCACGCCAAGCTTCAAACCCGCCACCTTCCAGCCCTACCAGCCCCCCTTACCCCCAGTGTACCCCCACACAGAACCCCCCGTATACCCCCCTCAGCCCCCACAGAGAGAGCTGGACTACAGGCGGCCGCCGCAGGCTCCGTTACCCACACCCCCTGACTACATGACGGTCAGGGAGCGCCCCGAGACCCCGCCCATACCCGAGCCGCCCCCGGAGCCAACCACACCGCCCTCCGCCTGCACCCCGCCCGCAGGCACGCCTGAAACGTGCCCCTCCCCCGCCCCGGAGGCAGAGCGGAACAGCCTGGACTCCAGAATTGAGATGCTGCTGAAGGAGAAGCGGACAAAGCTGCCGTTTCCTGAGCGATCGCGGCGATTCGGACGGAGAGGTGCGGATGGAAGGAAGCCCCATCTCCTCCTCCTCGTCTCAGCTTTCCCCTATTCCCCCCTGCCCGCCCCAGCGTCCCTCACGGCCACCCAGCACTGGCTTGGAGGACATCAGCCCCACCCCGCTGCCCGACTCTGACGATGACGAGCCCATTGCCGGCACCGCCAAGCTGATGCTCCACCCCCAGAGCACATCACCGCAAAACGCACATGGCCAGAGCATGACAGGGGGGCCACGGACCCCCACTGAAAAACCAGACTCGGTAAGTGCCTCTGATCTTCCACCTAAAGAACAAACTAAGAGTAAAATTTCTAAACCAGTTCAACACCTCATGAAGGCAGAGCTCACAGTAGGGGGTACCAGTGCGCTCGTTAACATTGTATGACGGACAACAAGCCTGTCGTTAGTATGTGGCGTAAGTTAGCACAACTGAAAAGTTGCCTGTAGATCACATTACATACAGTAACAATAAATAGCTCTGTTAGCTAACAGTAGTGTTTCGCTAGCTAGTTTTGTGTGTTATTGATTACACTATGATTGATTTCACTAAAGAGTCAGACTGGAGGAGTTTGAGGGCGGTGTCAGGTTGTTCCCAGATGTGTATTCTTGTTTTGAGATCACACTTGAACTGCAAGACTATGTTGTTTGATACGTGATGTTAGTTGGTGGGGTATATGCTTCCATTATTTGTTAGCTGTGGTAGCCTATTAGTTGCAGTGCTAACTAAAAACTAAAAAGCCTCAAACACCAAACATGTCTTGACTGCATTTGGGGGTGGGGGGTGAATTAGGGGAATGTTATGTTGAACTGAGTTCTTGCTGGTACTAGTGTGGCCAGAATAACAGAAACAGCGTTACTTTGTAGAGTTTCTCTAACAGGTTCCTTTTTTCTGAAAACGTAGATGATAGACAACACAGAGGAGCATGTGTAGGGGGGATGGGGTGGGGGGGTGCGGTGAGTTTGGATCTGACCACACGTGTTCAGTGCAGAGCGCTAAGCGAGGGGCCCCTGCGTTGGTTCAGCCGGCGCTGCAGGAAGTTGTGAAATCTGCTGTTAGAAATATTCCAGTTTTAAAACCTTCTACAAACTCTCTGATCACTGATCTCTCATCACAGACAGCTCACAGCACCGCTGACTTTAATATTAGCAACATCACTGCTCTGTTCTTAGAGACACAGCATTCATATTTGATAATACACTCACTTTCAATTGTTTATTATTATTATTATTATTATTATTATTTAATTTCTTTTTATGCACGAAGTATTTAACATGTTTAGGGACTGAAAGTGTGAAAACATTTTTTTTATACAAAACATTCTATGATGTTAAAACGATGACAGCACACTGTCAGATCTTAAATCTGCTTAATGTACCATCACAGTTGGAATAAAACCCTATATCTCTAAAACGGTAACTTTACATGAGAAGGAAAACATTCTGTACTAAAAGAGATTAAAAGAAGAAGAAAAATGATAGAACTGCGGACCCAAGGTTTTGTTCCAGCAGCAAGTAAAAAAGTTGTCGCAGTGAAACCTCCAAAAATTGTAACTATACAGGAAAAGGAAAAAAAATCTACACTTATAGTTAATATTTTGGACCCTTCTTGAATATTTTGGACCATTTTCATGATTTTTGAACACAATGTAAAGAGTTTTTTCAGTGCAAAAAAAGCAGAAATGACTGTGTGTGTGTGTGTGTGTGTGTATATGTGTATATATATATATATATATATATATATATATATATATATATATATATATACACAGCTCTCCAGACATCACATGGCTTTATGGATTTGCTAGATTCAATCAGCAGCTCCTGATTTAACATAATGAACTGTTCATTAGATAAAGTAATCATTTTTATGATAAGTACAATTATTATTGGAGCAGGGCAGGAAGCAAACACAGTGACACAGAAATTCACTATTTACTGTATGAATGTTATTAAACACTTACTGTAGCTGTGCTGTAGTGTTATTATAGATGTGTAGCTGTGCTGTAGTGTTATTGCAGGTCTGTAGCTGTGCTGTAGTGTTATTATAGGTCTGTAGCTGTGCTGTAGGGGTATTATAGATGTGTAGCTGTGCTGTAGTGTTATTATAGGTCTGTAGCTGTGCTGTCGGGGTATTATAGATGTGTAGCTGTGCTGTAGTGTTATTAATGGTCTGTAGTTGTGCTGTAGTGTTATAGGTCTGTAGCTATGCTGTAGTATTATTATAAGTCTGTAGCTGTGCTGTAGTGTTGTTACAGGTCTGTAGTTGTGCTGTAGTGTTATTGCAGGTCTGTAGCTGTGCTGTAGTGTTATTATAGATGTGTAGCTGTGCTGTAGTGTTATTATAGGTCTGTAGCTGTGCTGTAATGTTATTATAGGTCTGTTGCTGTGCTGTTGTGTTATTGTTACTGGCCTGTTGCTGTGCAATAGTGGTGAATTTCTGTGTTTCCTCATTTAAATCACACGCTCTTCAGTGTTGAATGAAATGAAAACAGAAGCTGAAGTGCTGAGGTTTTCCTCCTTTCCCCAGAGACACACATCTCCACACCACATGCCCTCCACTCACTACAGTCAGAGTTTATTCATCCACCAGCACACTGTAAAGTTCATATTTACTGATGCTAGTTTAAAGGGGAATTCTACTCATTATCCAAAATTTCTACAAAATTAGATACAACCCGAAAATGTAAATAAAAACAAAATGCAATGATGTCCCAATCATTTTAACCCTATATTTAATTGAAAATAGTACATATCATATGTTAAAACTGAGAAATTGTATTGTTTTTTGAAAGATAGATGCTCATTTTGAATTTGATACCAACAACACATTCCAAAAAAGTTGGGACAGTGGAAAGAAAAGGCTGGTAAAGTTGTGTAATGCTTAAAAAAAACACCTGTTGGTTAATTGGCAACAGGTCAGTAAATTGATATAAAAAGAGCATCCCAGAAAGACTGAGTCTTTCAGAAGTAAAGATGAGGAGGAGCTCACCACTCTGTGAAAGCCTGTACGAGCGAATAGTGCAACAATTCAAGAATAACATTTCTCAACATAAAATAGCAAAGAACTTTTGCTTTTCATCTTCTACGGTACATAATAACAAAAGAGAATCTGGAGAAAACTGAAGACAAGGCCAAAGACCAGTATTTGCTGGCCATGATCTTTGGGGCCTCAGGTGGCACTGCATTAAAAACAGATATGGTTCTGAAGTGGAAATCACTGCAAGGGCTCAGTAACACTTCTGAAAGACACTGTCTGTGAACAGTTCGTCGCTGCATCAATAAATGCAAGTTAAAACTCTAAAACGCAAAGAAGAAACTGTATATAAACAGGATCCAGAAATGCTGCCACCTTCTCTGGGCCCAAGCTCATTTAAAATGGACTGAGTGGAAGTGGAAAAGTGTCCTGTGGTCCGACGAAACAAAATTTGAAAGTCTTTTTGGAAATTATGGACACTGTGTCCTCTGGGCTGAAGACCACTCAGCTTGTTATCAGCATACAGTTCAAAAGCCAGTATTCCTGATGGTATGAAGTTGCATTAGTGCACATGGCATAAGTGGCATGCACATCTGTGAAGGCACCATTAATGCTGAACGATATTTACATGTTTTGGCAACATATGCTGCCATACTGATGACTTTATCAGGGAAGGCCTTGCTTATTTCAGCAAGACAATGCTAAACCACTTTCTGCGTGTATTACAGCAGCATTGCTCCATATTAACAGTCCGGGTGCTAAACTGGCCTGAAAGCATTTTGCGCATTATGAAATGAAAAATACGACAAATGAGCCCCCAAACTGTTGAGCAGCTGAAATCCTATATCAAACAAGAATGGGAAAACATTTCACTTTTTCAAAATTACAGCAGTCGGTCTCCACAGTTCCTAAACGCTTACAGTGTTGTTAGAAGAAGAGGTGATGAAACACAGTGGTAAACATGCCACCGTCCCAACTTTTTTGGAACATGTCGTTGGCATCAAATTCAAAATGGGCATATATTTTCAAAACCCATAAAATTTCTCAATATCAACATTTGATATAATGTCTTTGTAGTATTTTCCTTTAAAAATATGGTTTACATGATTTGCATATCATTGCAGTGTATTTTTATTTACATTCTGCACAGCGTCCCAAATTTTTTGGAAATGGGGTTGTAGTTGTTTTTTAATTGGAGTAGTTGTTATGTACTGGTTAATGAAGGCTAGGCTGTACTGGAGTAATTACAGGTCTGTAGCTGTGCTGTGTTATTACAGGTCTGTATCTGTGCTGTGTTATTACAGGTCTGTAGCTGTGCTGTAGTATTACATGTCTGTAGCTGTGCTGTAGGGTTATTACAGGTCTGTAGCTGTGCTGTAGGGTTATTACAGGTCTGTTGCTGTGCTGCAAGGTTATTACAGGTCTGTTGCTGTGCTGCAAGGTTATTACAGGTCTGTAGCTATGCTGACGTGTTAATATAGGTCTGTAACTGTTGTAATGTTATTATAGGTCTGTAACTGGGTTGTAATGTTATTATAGGTCTGTAACTGGGTTGTAATGTTATTATAGGTCTGTAGCTGTGCTGTAGGGTTATTATAGGTCTGCTCTTCAGTGCTGAATGAATTGAAAACAAGCTGAAGTGCTGAGGTTTTCCTCCTCTCCCCAGAGACACACACCTCCACACCACATGCCCTCCACTCACTACAGTCAGAGTTTATTCATCCACCAGCACACTGTAAAGTTCATATTTACTGATTCTTGTTTAAAGGGGAATTCTACTCATTATCCAAAATTTCTACATAATTAAATAGTTAAGATGTAAACAGAGTAGTTCAAAGTACTTTGGTGTGAAATGCTTCATTCTAAAGAAACTTACCGAGTCAGATTTGTTCACAGTGGTGGTGAAAGGACCAGACATCCACCTCTAAAAGCTCCCTCACAGAAAGTTATTACATGAAATGGTTATGAATTCACTGCCTGATGTCTGAGACACTGTTTTGTGATAGTTTAGAGAACATAAAATCCATAAATGGTGGAGGGATTCATGCGGGGTGCTGTGAGGCAAAATAGTCCCCAAAGAAAACTTACTATTTCAGATTTTCCGCTTTTTTCCATCAACATTTAATATTTAAATTCTCCTGTAATATTTACCTCTTGGTGTATTGGTTTGTCTCATAACAGAAAAACAAGATACAGCAGGAAACACATTAACAGTTGCTACAGTCAAAATAATAAAACACAGGTGCACCTAAAGGGCAATTCAAGCAAAGTCTTAAAATTCCTCCATAATTCAGTGTATGAGATGTAAACAGAGTGTGGTGTGAAATCGTTCAGATTTCTTTACAGTGGTGCTGATAGGAACCAGGAGTCGCCATGACTACAACACAAATATAGACATTTTATCTACTATCCAAAACCACCAGTGAACCTAAACATGTCTTCTGAGTTTTATATGGAATGTTAACGATGAGAAAATACTGGAAAATTGTAAAATAGTGTCTCAGACATCAGGCAGTGAATTCATAACCATTTTATGTGATAACTTTCTGTAAGGGAGCTTTTAGAGGTGGATGCCTGGATCCTATCACCACCACTGTGAACAATTCTGACTCAGTGAGTTTCTCTAGAACAGAGCATTTCACATCAAACCACTCTGAACGACTCTGTTTACATCATTTAATTATTTAACTTTAAAAGGTTTGGTGGAGTTCTCCTTTAAAGTGGCAGTATAATCAGTACAGTCTGTTTGTAACTGAACTGCACGTGAGCTGCATTCTGATTGGCTAACCTCTGAAAACTTTCACTTCCTCTTTCGCGCTTCGCAACAGAAAACAATGAAAAGTTGGCAGACCGAGACCTTAACGCCTCACTTCCTGCTTCTGCACAGCCGGACTGGCCGCATTTCACCTCCCACTGACCAAACCTGCACCTATAAGCCTGTGCAAAAGTTTGTGCACCCCCAGTCAGATTGCTCTGAGTGAAAGTTGGCACCACATTTGCAGAGGACAAACAGATGAGTGGCACATTTCTGCAGACTTTAATGTGCAGTTATGGTTTATTTACTGAATCAAACACTTTGGGAGAAAAATTAAACATAAAAAGTAGAATCTGCATTCATTTTGGCACCCTTCCAGTCAGTGCCTCCCAATGTTTATTGTGGTCAGTCAGCGGTCTTTCTGTTATTGTTTTGGGATTCACAGTTATTACATAGTCACCTAATCGCAATTATTTGAGATGATTGCCGTTATTTAAGCTGACTTGCAATCATTGGGTGCGTTTGGTTAAGGCAAAAAATGTAAATAATAGTAAATATTCCAATAAACACAAGTAAATGCATTAATTGAGACATCATGATAGACAAATGTTTGCTCCACACCTGCTCCTCAATATACTCCACATCTGCGCCTCAATATACTCCACACTTGCTCCTAAATTTACTCCTTACCTGCTGTTCAATTTACTCCTTACCTGCTCCTCAATTTACTCCATGCCTGCTTTTTAATATAGTACACATCTGCTTCTAAATTTACTCCACACCTGCTCTTAAATATACTCCACACCTGCTCCCTAAGTTCCTGCTCATAACTTTACTCCACACCTGCTCCTCAATATACTCCACACCTGCTTCAATGTTTACTAACCTTCACTCATGTTTACACTTTCTTTCAGGGCGGCCAGTCATCGGGGGAGGATATGGAAATCTCTGATGATGAGATGCCAGGCACCCCGATCTCCGGCAGCGACTGTGCGAAGGGCATCGTGGTGAACTCTGCCGTGTCCCCATTGGCTCCGCAGGCCATGGGCATCCCGCCCCCTGGGTTCCCCCCTCTGCCCCACCACCCTCAGGCTGGGTACGCCCTGCCCCCCCACCATTTACCCCCCCACTCCACCGTCCCAGCTCCGCCCCCTCCTCACCTGACGGCCCACCCGCTGCTGCACCCGCTCCACCCTTATCCGCCAGGCATGGTGCACATGGTGCCGGTGGACCTGATGAGCTGCCTGCCACAGTGGGGCAGCGTCCACATGTCTTTCCAGATGCAGACGCAGATGCTGAGCCGGATGGCGCAGAGCCAGCGCCCGTACCCGTACCCCCACTACCTGAGCAGTGCCACCGCTGCAGGCGCCACCGCCGGGGCCATGCAGTTTGGGGGTCCGTACCCGCATCTATCTCTGGTGGGTGCCCCCTCGGGCACGGTGGGGCATGGCCAGCACTGGCCTTTACCAAGCATGCCCAAGTTTAACCCTACTGTGCCCCCGCCCGGGTACGAGACGCAGAAGGAGGACCCCCATAAAGCCACGGTGGATGGGGTCCTGATGGTAATTGTCAAAGAGCTGAAGGCCATCATGAAGCGAGACCTCAACCGCAAGATGGTGGAGGTGGTGGCCTTCAGGGCTTTTGATGAATGGTGGGAGAAGAAGGAACGTTCGGCTAAGGTGAGGATGTTTTGTTTGGAAATAAACATTTTTTACATATATGAACTCATTTTTTGCCTTGAATTTTAAAAGGCAATTAAAATGCTTTTTGCTTTAAAACTGTTGTAGAAATAAAGTAGGTGTTTCCAATAAAGAGGCCTGTAAGTGGAAGCATAAGGTAGATGTTTCTAGGTGGGGGAAGTTAAGGCTAAAATATGCACTATATGACCAAAAGTATGTAGACACCTGACACACCTGTATGAGCTTGTTGGACATTGGGAGTTGGTTGGTGTGTGTGTTTGTGGAATTTGTGCCCATTCAGTCAACAGAGCATTTGTGAGGTCAGACCCTGATGTTGTATGAAAAGCTCCAATTCATTCCAAAGGTGTTCAGTGGGGTTGAGGTCAGGGCTCTGTGCGGGCCACTGGAGTTTATCCACACCAAACTGGTCAACCATGTCTTTATGGAGCTGCTTTGTGCACAGGGGCTCAGTCATGCTGGAACGGGAAAGGGTCTTCCCCAGATTGCTGACACAAAGCTGGAAGCATATAACTGTGTAAAATGTCTTTGTGTGCTGTAGCATTAACATCACCCTTCACTGGAACTAAGGAGCCCAAACCTTAAAAACAGCCCCAGCCCTTCATCCCTCCTCCACCAAACTTTACTGTTGGCACTATTCATTCTGGTAGGTAGTGTTCTACTGGCATCCACCAAACCCAGATTTATCTATCTGACTGACAGATGGTGAAGCGTGATTCATCACTCCAAAGAACAGTCCCATGGTGGCGTGCTTTACACCACTCCAGCCAGTGCTTGGCATTGCACATAGTGATCTTAGGTTTGTGTGCAGCTGCTCGACTATGGAAACCATTTCATGAAGCTCCTGATGCACAGTTCTTGTGCTTGTGCTGATGCTGCTTCTGTAGTGAGTGAGTCGGCGGTCCCACTCTTTTTTTTTTTAATTTTTACCCGATTTTCTCCCCAATTTAGTCGTCTCCAATTCCACCTGCTAGTTAGGACTCCCCCAATCACATGATGCTATCAACGCTAGGAGGGTGAAGGCTAACACAGGCTTCCTCCGAGAACTGTGAAGCCAACCACCGTTTCTTTTCGAACTGCCGCTCATGCAACGTCATTGGACAGCCAAACGTGCTCGGAGGAAAGCGCCAACCGCCAGATCTGTTACGTCAGCTAACAGACGCCTGCGCTGACTAGCATCGCGCTGAGTCCCACTCTGTGAGTTTGTGTGGTCTGGTGCTTCGTGGCTAAGCTGTTGTTGCTCCCAGAAACCTCTATTTTATAATAATAGCACTTAGTTGGCTGGGGCAGATTTAGCAGGAAATAAAATTTACAAACTGACTTGTGGCAAAGGATCCATCCTATGACATTTCCATGTTTAAAGTCACTGAGCTCTTCAGTGCAACCCATTCTACTGCCAGTGTTTGTCTATGGAGACTGCAAGGCTTTGCTTGATTTTATACACCTGTTAGCAATGGATGTGGCTGAAACACCTGAACTCCATAATTAGGACTTTTGACCATATAGTGTAAATTTCAAAAGAAAAACTGTATGAATTTTGAATGACATAGTAAAGTAACAATGTAAATTTGATCACCAGGCTACCTCCACCCCTGTGAAGCCCGGCGAGGGTAAAGAGGAGGAGAAGGAGCGAGCGAAGCCGAAGGAGACGTTATCGTCCAGTCTGCTGGAGAACTGGAGTAAAGGCGAAGGTCTGGGCTACGAGGGCATGGGCCTGGGCATCGGGCTGCGCGGCGCCATCCGCCTGCCTTCCTTCAAGGTACCAGCCTTCAGCTCTGAGTCTGAGTCACTGTGTGCTTTACAGATAAATAACTGATGATGATGATGATGATAATGATGATGTTGTTTTCAGGTGAAGCGGAAAGAGCCTCCTGACCCCACCTCCACTGCAGAGAACAAACGAGCACGACCATCCACTCCTGTAGATGATGAGCTGGAAGATGAAGGTCAGATTGAGCCTCTTCATCATCTTCCTGTTAGAAGTCTTTATAACTTTGTTCAGACTGAACATGACCGACACCAGCAGATTTTGCATAAGCATATTCAGTGTTTGCTCTGTATATATTCTGCAGTGGTGGCCCAGGACTTAAAGATTATTGCCGCCGCTGCTTCAGAATTTTTTGATGTGTTATAAAGTCTAGGGTTAGAATTATAAAACGCTGCAGAAGGCTTTTAATTTAAAATGGACGGATTCAGGAAGTCTTGCTATGGAGCTCTGTGTCTGTGCACCCTTAGAGAGGGAAAGAGCGATAAAGCAGGGATTGCACTACACGACTATTTCCCTGTTTTGTCTTGATTCTCAGTATGAGTCTGAGCTGGTCGGCTCTAGTCTGCTGATCTTTCCAGAGCTGAGTTTCAGGCACAGTCAGGTTTATGATCATTTAAAACTCCCACATTGATCACATCTTTACCTCCATGAAACATTTACCTGCTGCTTCTTTACTGTGTCAGTGCAAACCGCAGCAGCAGCTCCACGTCTGTTCATCTGCATCTCCTACTGATGAGAGATCACACGAGTTCCGTTCAACAACTTAAAGGTTGAGTAGTGTATAAACCCCAGTATTATAATCGCCCAAAACATCTGCAGTGAGCAGTCAGACTGTGTGAGACACCCAGACTGTTATAGTCTGTTAGAACTTTAAAAGCCTATAGTCAATCCGAGGCTTAAAGACAGAGAGAGAGAGACAGAGAGAGAGAGAGAAAGAGAGAGAAGTAGAACATTCGCAGTGTAACATTATTCTTACAACTTATTATTATTATTATGTTGTGAAATCATGGTCTAGCTAAGCTAACATTAGTGATTTTAGTGAATCGTTGTACTGGAACTTTAATAAAGTGAAATATTTGCCAGCAGTGTTTATATTGGGAAGGTTACAAATAAGCTTCATTTGTTGATATGTTGGTCAGAGAAACAGGCTTGGTTCTTCTGCAGTTCCAGAATTTATTTTGTTGTTAGTGTTTTTATGAACAAATAAAATACATACAGTCCAGATACAGTTTTCATTCACCTGTCGAGATAAATTAGCTTCAATAAAATAACGGCTAGCAGTATTAAATAAGCGTAGATGCTTACAACACCCTCATACTGAGATGTGAAATATTTTTATTAGATTTTGCAGACCAAGAGATCAAATATTCATTATTTTTTTTTGATCAGATGTTTATTAGTATTTATTTTTCTGAGCAAATAAACAGCTTTAAGTATGACTCATGTGTGCTAAGATTTTTTCACACTGGTATAGATCTTGTAGACTGTGGTTTAGACCTTCTCTGAGCCTGTAGTTACACTGAGTCTGTGTATTTTCAGAGTCGGAACGAACTGAGCTGCCAGCAGATGGCACCAGACTGGATGCTGAAAACTCCTCTGCGAAGCGCCGGCACGCCAGACCGGTGGAGCTGGACAGCGAAGGAGAGGAAGAAGAGGAGGAGGAGGAGGAGGAGGAGACGTCTGGCAGGGAAGAGTCGTCTCTGTCCGATCGAGAGGAACCTGATGCAGAAACATCAGAGAGGCTTTCGTCAGGCAAGGTGAGAGAGCACACCACCTGCAACTGGTAGTGAAGGAGCGATGAACAGAGCTCCGCTGCACCGTATCGGTACCGTATCAGCACAGCGCTGTGGTTCTGCTGATTCACACTGAGATTTCCTTTGAAATACATTAAAACTCATTAGTTAATTAGTAATATTCAAAGACTGACCTGCTTTATTTTAACCAGAATGATTCCTTTTGTTGCTGTACATGAAAAAGTCCGGCAGAGAAAAGTGGTTGAAAATGGTTCTACACAGCACCAAAAAGGGTTCCTCTGCTTGACATCATATAAATAGCAGAACACTTGTTGGTGCTATATAGAACCATTTACACCACATTCTCCATCGAATCTGAAGAACCATTTCAGCATTCAGCGAACCATTTAAGCATGCAGAGGGTTCTTTGAGTGTTCAAGGTTCTATATAGAGAAGAGTCTTTTTTAAGAGTGTAGATAGTTTATCTTAAGTAGAAAATGGATAGAAATCTTTTATTCTGATGGCCTTGTAATGTATTGTTTAGGTTTAGGATGATTTCACTGACCAGGAGATCAAGAGGCTGTTTATTAGATGTTTATTTGGATTTATTTCAAAGTTAGCATTTGTTCAGAGCATAAACACTTAAACACTTTCTGCCCAGATAAACAGATTTAAGTGTAATTCAGGTGTGCTAAGACTTTTTCACAGTGCTTTAGGTCTTTTAGACTATGAGTTAGAAGAGAGTCGAGGTCTGTAGAGTTAAACAGAGTCTGTGTTTATAGCAGAGCGGCCAGCAGAGGGCGCCAGACTGGAGTGAGTCAAGTCAAATTTATTTATGTAGCGCCTTTTACAACAGATGTTGTCACAAAGCAGCTTTACAGAGAATCCGGGTCCACGCCCCCAGTGAGCAAGCCTTGGCGACAGTGGCAAGGAAAAACTCCCTCAACAGGAGGAAGAAACCTCGAGAGGAACCAGACTCAAAAGGGGAACCCATCCTCCTCTGGTCGACACCGGATAGCAGCACAGAGACAAAACAGTATTAGTGGATACAGTTGTACACTTCTGTGCAGTGCGCCGGCCGCATCAGTCACGTCAGACCCTCTTAGGACGGGCAGCCGCTCAGCTCAAGGAAAGAGAGGGGGATAAGGGGGACAGATAGTTCAGCACCAACATTCCCAGATTACCATGGGACTTTCTGTCTCAGATCTGCGCCTTATTCTAACAGGAAAACTAATTAACCAAAGGCTTGACTAAACAGGTAAGTTTTTAGCCTAGACTTAAAGATGGTGGCTGTGTCTGAGTCCCAAACACAGACTGGTAGGTTATTCCAAAGCTGGGGGGCGTTGTATGAAAAGGCTCTTCCCCCTGACATAACTGAGGTACTGAAGAGCAAGGCCATTCAAAGCTTTATACGTCAGTAGAAGAATTTTGTAGCGAGTGAAAAACATTAGAGAATATAAACAAGCAAGCAGTATTAATAATAATAAATATATAATAATAAATAATAAGTAATCTCATTACGTGTTATTAGCATGTAAACAGTGTGGAGCTCATAGTCGTTAAGCTGCGTCTGGTTTCTGTTTGGCCTTTTTCAGGAGGCAGGCGATGATGACGATGATGAAGAGGACAGTGAGTCTGAGGCCAGTTCTTCTTCTGACTCGTCTGATGACGGTAATAACTGAGAGCATTAATGTGGGTTTAATTATGCCTCTGCTCAGTGTAATAACAGTGTAATAACAGCATCTATTTCTGCTGTCTGCTCAGAGCCGGGCAGTTCTTCCTCCTCTGAATCCGACTCTGACTCGTCTGCGTCTGAGAGCTCCTCCGAGTACGACTCTAGCTCGGAGGAGGAGCGCGAGGAGGAGGAGGAAGAGGAAGAGGAGGTTGCCATGGAGATGGTTGAAGAGGCGGAAGCGCGGACGTCCTCGTCTTCCTCATCTTCGCCCTCATCATCGTCCAATGAGGAGGAGGAGTCTGAGCTGAAAGCCCCAGGAACCCCACCGGCGCCCCCGCTAGAGGAGGAGTGCGAGTCCGGCCGGCTGGAGGCGGAGGAGGCTGCGCGATCGGTTAGAGCGGCTATGGATGACCTTCGACCTCCGTCGCCGAAAGGACTGCCAGGTAATTAAAGCTGGTTTACATTATATAATTATATACTCAAATTTATATCAGTACTGTTTATGTTCTCACACTGTAAACATTCACAATACCGCTGTTCAAATTCACGATCAGTTCACATGTTAATGTTTATTACAGAATGTAGATTTAGACACTTAATTCTCTACTTTTTTGGGAACGATTAGAAATTAAGATGAATAATACACTGTAATTATCTTCTTATAGTAGTTTGTCAAGTTTCCTGCCTGAGATTTGATCACTTTTAAAATAATAAGGTGTTCTGGATATTTTTTAGAACTTCATTCTGTATATTAATTTATTAGAACTTCTTTTTGGATATTTATTAGAACTTCATTCTGTATGTTAATTTTATTAAAGTTTCATTCTGGATGTTAATTTTATTAGAACTTCTTTTTGGATATTAATTTTACTACAATTTAATTCTGGAAATTAATTTATTAGAATTTCATTCTGGATATAAGTTTATTAGAACTTTATTTTGGATATTTATTAGAACTTTGTATATTAATTTATTAGAGCTTCTTTTTGGATATTTATTAGAACTTCATTCTGGATGTTAATTTTATTAGAACTTCATTTTGGATATTAATTTTATTAGAACTTAATTTTGGATATTAATTTTATTTGCATTTCATTGTAGACGTTAATTTTATTAAAACTTCATTCTGGATATTAATTTTATTAGAACTTAATTCTGGATATGAATTCTGTTAGAACTTAATTCGTCCTTTACTTGTCCAAGTTGTGCTAACAGCGTTCTGTCTTGGTCTCAGTAGAGGAACCGGATATAGACTTGGACGTTCCGAAGGTGGAGGCGTCTCTGGAGGATGTGGGCGTTCTGCGGCCCCCCACCCCGACAGGTTCTCTGGCCGACAGTGACTTAGATGTCCGGCCGAAGAGCCAATCTGAAGAGGAGGTCCCACGGACCCCCGGGCGTGATGGCCCCGCCCCCTCAGAGCTGGACACCAGCAGCCAGATCTCCTCCTCAGGTCAGTCTGTCCACCTCGCTTTGCCCCCTGGTCACGCCCTCCTGCCCCCGCCTCCCGACTCTTGCAGCCGACAGCGGCTGCAGACGGACGAGGAGGTCCCGCGCACGCCGGGCCGCGACCTGCGGAAGACTCAAAGCACCGAGACGGCCCCCTGAAACGCCCGGTGGCGACGCCCCCCTCACAGGTAACAGCTTGGCTCTCAGCTTGGCACTCAGCTCCCCCCACGTCCCCGGCAGCCCCTTCTCTTACCCTGCCCAGTCCCCCGTCCTCAGTGCTGGCATCCCACGGACGCCGGGCAGGGACCTGACCTTCGCCCCCGTGTTCCCTGACCCTGCTGTCCCCGCCGGCCCCCCACACAGGAAGGCATCATCTGAGAGTCTAGAGGAGAAACCTGTGTTCAAAGAGCCGGTGTTTAAAGAGCCGCCGCTCAGCACTAACCTACCTAGCACTGCTGCTTCACCCCCGCTCCCCGCCGCTGCTACTGCCGCTGCTGCTGCCTCCCAGGAGCTTCCCGCAGCCCCCCAAACCTCGCCGGCCCCCTCTATAGAAGGCTCTGCCCCTACCGTGCCCCCCGATCTTCCTGTCCCACTCATAGAGCTTCCTGTGCCCCTAGATGTCACTCCAAGCAAGAAGAAACAGGCACGGGCCAAAGCTAAAAAGCCCTCAGCAGCTCTCAGTCCAGAAGATACTCCTCTAGAGCCACCTCCAGTGACCCCCACGCTGCCCTCGCTGCCTCCAGAGCCTGCAGTGAGGGACCTGTTTCCTGATCGGCCCAGTGATGCCACTGGGAGACAGGACGCAGAGTCCCGGCCGCCAGAGCCGGAGGACGATGATCTGGATGACGTAGGTCAGACGGTTCTGCTGTCCAGCCCAGGAGTCCACGACGACCTGCTGTTTGAGGAACCGGTGCAGAAGACCCGACGTCAGCGGCGTAGCTGGGAGGAGCTCCTGCTCTCCATGCACTCCCCTGCCGCCTCACCGCCACGGCCCAGCTACCTGCCCCGCACTGAATTTGAGGAAATGACCATCCTCTACGACATCTGGAACGAGGGCATCGATGAGGAGGACATCCGCTACCTAAAAATCACCTACGACAAACTGCTGCAGCAGGACAACGGCAACGACTGGCTCAACGACACGCTGTGGGTCCATCACCCTCATATCCTTCACTGCTGCCGTCCACAGCTACAAATAACTAATAATTATACTGCTACAAATAATGATTGTCTCTATGACTGATTTGCTGATCAGTCATGCTTCTCTTACTGCAGTGTTTTATAATTATAGGTTTTTTTTCTTGGGACCAGAGAGGGGTGCATATGCAGTGTTTTATTTTTTTTTGATCTTTTTTAATTTTTCAACTCATCTTCTTTAGTTAAATGTTTATTCATTGACTTAATTTGTTTATATCTGCGCTCCTTTTAACAATGTTCTTAAGTGTTTTTGGCTTGGGGGTTAGGGCTGGGCGACATGGCCAAAAATGTTATCGCGGTAAAAAATTCTGTATCAGTGAATATTGAGATAATTGTCACGATAAATGTCAAATTATTACTTCTTTCAAGTTCAATTCTTTACTCCTGAGTGGTTAATTGTCGTTTTAAACCATCATTTATGGTCAGAACATGACAAACACTTGCCAAACAGTGGAACATTTCACAAATCTGTCATGGCATAGTGGGAGAAAGTTAGCTGTTTTTACCAGCTAGCACAGCAGGGCCACAAATTTTATATTTATATAATAACATTCATTCACGATTTAAAAAGAAATCAGATTGTTTTTAGCTTTCTGGTGTTGAGTGCTAGGCTACCTGGTTACAAGTGCTAAACTATTTAGTTTCTCAACAACACCAGCAAACATTAGCTGGCTCGGTTCATCAGTGATGGATCGTAGTATTCAAACACAAGCTAGCAGACATTTGGATTTCTCTATGCTCTCGCAGTAAGTTAGTTTTAGGGGTGAAAGAACCACAATATATCTGACGCTCGCTGTGTAAAAGCTTGAACTGCAGTGTGATTTTCCCACGCTAAACAACGTCTTCCTTTTAGGTACGTTTGAACTGTTATCAGTGCTTTTTTTTGGCTTGTTTGTTCTACAGTAACATCAATTCGCCGTGCTGTGCGAGTGACGGAGCGCTGCTTCAAGTTAGCCAGTTGCTAAAAAACAGCTAGCCTGGGAAACTAGCATTCTCCCACTCTCCAATGCCACACAGCATCCTCAGTCTACTTTCGTTTAAATCAGTGCTGTAATTTGAGTGAACCCACTTCTTTCTTTCACCTTTGTTGTTTCAGAATGCACTATTACTAAAATATGACTGTATGAGCACTGTAACAGCGCTGTGTTTCGCTCTAGCACAGTACAGTTATGCAATTTATCTCGTTGCTCACACTTGGTCACAGGAGAACAGATCGCCAATCGCTCGCCAAACGTTTCAGACATCGCCAAAGTGTATTTGGTGACCCATTTTACTCGTCACCCCTCCCTCTAATCATGTTGAAAAACTCAGAAGTGCGCCCTCTTGTGGCGACAGCAGGGTAGTGTCACAGTACACCAGGGCTGTCGCTAGAATGTGAAAGTGTGAGAATGCTCTATTATATCAAACATTTAGCCAACATTTCTTATATTTCTCTCGAGGAAAGTTATATCGTGATAATTATCGTTATCGTTTCATCGCCCAGCCCTACTTGGGGTCATATAAAATCAAGGACTGGAATCTGGATTCAGAGTGTGGATTTGAAGATCTCTATTCTAGAACTTTCTTCTTTACTAAGGAATCATTGAAAACCATCTTTTTTAAGAGTGTACTAACACAGGCTGGATGATGTTCCAAGTGGACAGAATGTTTCAGGAAGCTTTATATTTTGGGCGAAATGCAGATGTTTTGGTGCACCAGTTGAATTCCTTGTTGTTGTTGTTGTTGTTGTTGTTGTTTATTGTCTAAGTGAAAAAATGTTTTCACACCCTCTACAGTGAACACAGTTTAATGCACAGGTGAGCTGATGAGTTGGTCATGTGAATTAGTGCAGGTCAGCAGGTCTGGAGAAGGAAACGCTGCTTTAGTCCTCATATTTAGTGTAGAATGTACACACTGTGTATTTCCCTTAACTCCCCCCCACCCACCAGCGGAGGCAGTCTGCCCGGCATGAAGAAGAAGCGGCGTGAGGACGGCATGCGGGATCATGTGACTGGCTGTGCCCGCAGCGAGGGCTACTACAAAATCGACAAGAAGGACAAAGTGAAGTATCTGAACAGCACGCGGCTGCAGTTCGACGAGCCCGACAAGGACACACAGGTACAGCAGACCAGTATGACCCCATCAGCACCACCGCACTGCTGTGATTTCTGAGGCTGTATGACAGACTGTTTATCTGTCAGACTGAATTATAGACGAGTGTGTCAGTAATTGATGATCAATAACAGTGTAGGTCTCTAGCTAAAGAGTTAATGAATGACAGTGAGAGCTGTTCAGTGTTTGACTGAACAGTGTGTCTGTGTGTGTTTGGTTAAAGGGGAGGAGCATTCCTGCCCAGCCGCACGCCTCCACCAGAGCCGGATCAGAGAGACGGTCAGAACAGCGCCGCTTGCTGTCCTCCTTCAGCTGCGACAGCGACCTGCTCAAATTCAACCAGCTTAAAGTGAGAGTGCACTCACACACACTGAGAATTGCTAACGGCTAATGCTATCACCGCCGTCATCACCGTATTTTTGTTTATTAATTTATTTCACCTTTATTTATCCAGGGTAATCATATTAAGATTAAAAATCTCTTTTACAAGTGAGCCCTGAACAAGACAGCAGCACACAAAACAAATAAAGAACTCAAATATGTATTTGAAAACAAGAACAAACAGATTAGTTTTCCTTAACAGTTATCTTTAAATCACTCAAGGAAAGAAGCTGCTCCAATTTGAAATGTTTCTGCTGATCATTTCACGCAGTTGGAGCGCTATGACTAAAAGTGATGATAATAATATTAATGATAATCTGTTTATACAGCACTTTTCATTAATTTACAAAAGAGCGCTGCACACACAACAGCTATTACTGTGTAAATGAAAAAGTTGGATGAATGAAGTAGCAGCACAGCTACAGAGTAAAGAAGAAAAACTAAAATACAAATGTGTAAAATACAATTCACCCCGAATTCACCACGTCTGATTCATTCACTCTCTTACTGCTTAACAAGCATCTGCAGTTTAGATTTAGTTTGGGATCAGTAATATTAAAGCTGGTTTGCAGACCAGAGTATAAATGATTGTAAAAGCTGAAGAACACGAAAGTTCTAGTAACATCATATTTCACATGTGGAGATCAAAGTTCAAATATGTAAATATATGCATTATATACAGTGTAATATTTATTCTGTTCACGTCTTGGGCACAGAATGTTTTGAAATATTGAAAAAAGCACCCAAAATATGCTTTAGTGAATAATCATTTTTAAATCCACAGTTATTGTTGTGTTTAAAATAAAGAGTGGTTTTAATCTTTGGAACAGTGGTGTGTATCTTTGCTTAAGAACCTTGTAAATGTCTGTCGCAGTTTATATTGTAAGAATAATGTAATAATATAGTATCTGTAATCCTCTCAGAGACTCTACTCTGTAGAGCTCATTATATTGTGTGTAAATGTGCTGTTGCTGTTGTAACTGCAGTCTCCTTCAGAGTTAACACGTCTGTTTGTTTATTTGATTGTTTATTTGTTTGTTTATCTCTGTAGTTCCGTAAGAAGAAGATCCGCTTCTGTAAGAGTCACATCCATGACTGGGGTCTGTTCGCCATGGAGCCCATCGCTGCTGATGAGATGGTTATTGAATACGTGGGTCAGAATATCAGACAGGTAACGACCTCACCTGAGCACATTGTTTAAATTGCTTTATTGTTTAATCTTAGCTATAAGTTTGTGCTTGTTAAAATCACCATCTGTCAGTAGAATAAGTACAAATAAACACCAATTCAGTAAAAAGTAAGAAGAACCTCCTGGTAACGTTTACAGCATTTAGCAGACACTCTTTTCCAGAGTGACTTACAAAAAGTGCTTTGTTGTCTATTCAGAGAAAGTATCTTTGCTAATTACAAATAGGTTAGAAAGAAAGTTAGTCCTCAGCTCACATACTGCTAGAAAACAAAAGCCCATGTTGGTACTTAGAGACAAAATGAAAAATAATGCAATACAATACATTTCCATAAGTGCAGTGCAGTACAGTACATTTCAATAAGCACCTGGGATACCATTGCAACCACCTAGTAACCACATGGGATACTATGACAACCACCTAGCAACCACTTGGAATACTATAGCAACCACCTAGCAACCACTTGGGACACCATAGTAACCACATAGCAACCATCTGGAAATTACATAATTTCACTTTATTAATGTACTTATTCTAATATTAGCTCTTTCTAAGCAAATAAACACTTGCTGCCCAGATAAACAGTTTTGAATCAATAAAATGTGTTACTGGAGTTTTTAAACACTGTGTCCACTCACTGTCCACTCTATTAGACGCTCCTACCTTGTTGGTCCAACTTGTAGATGTAAAGTCAGAGACAGTAGCTCATCTGCTGCTGTACAGTTTGTGTTGGTCATCCTCTAGTCCTTCATCAGTGGTCACAGGACGCTGCCCACAGGACGCTGTTGGCTGGATGTTTTTGGTTCTCAGCGATACTGAGGTGTTCAAAAACTCCAGCAGCGCTGCTGTGTCTTATCCACTCGCACCAGGGCAACACACACTAACACACTACCACCGTGTCAGTGTCACTGCAGTGCTGAGAATGACCCACCACCCTGTTCTGTGGGGGTCCATTGGGGTCCTGACCGCTGAGGAAGGGGCTGAACACTCTCTGCTCTGAGCTGTGAGGTAAATGTGTGTTTGTGTGTGTTGGTGTTGTGCAGGTGATCGCTGATATGAGAGAGAAGCGATACGAGGAGGAGGGAATCGGGAGCAGCTACATGTTCCGTGTGGATCACGACACCATCATCGACGCCACCAAGTGTGGAAACTTCGCTCGATTCATCAACCACAGCTGCAACGTAAGAATTCAGCACACAAACACTTTCAAACACAGATTGAAAGCCTGGTCACCTCACAGGACACACCTCACTACAGACTGACAAAACAGAACCATTGAGGAGTGTTTCACTCTCATTCAGGAGATCACACTGTATAATCGGCACAGAATAGAATCCATGTAAACACCTCAGTCGGAATAGACTAATCCAGTTGAGGCCATTCGGAATACAATTTCTATGCGATTGAACGAGATGGGTAATCCTGTAAATAATCTGTTAAATAGAAGAATAATATCTGTGTAAACACCTGTATCTGATAACATTCCCAACCGGAAGGTTTAAGTACATTCTGCACATGTGCGTTCATGTCAGTGAAAGTTTATAACGTTCAACATGGCGGGAGCAGAAACTGGTCTGCAGAGGAGACAAAGTTTATATTTTAAACTTTAAATGGTGGTGGGACGGGCGTCCAGCTTATGTATCTCAGAACATGACATCTTCCTCTCAGCCTTCTTAAACAAGTACAACCCAATTTTCAAAAAAGTTGGGACGCTGTGCAAAATATAAATAAAAACAAAATGCAATGATGTGCGAATCATTTAAACCCTATATTTCATTGAAAATAGTACAAAGACAACATATCAAATGTTGAAACCGAGAAATTTTATTGGTTTTGAAAAACAGATGCCCATTTTGAATGCAGTTGGGACGGGGGCAACAAAAGGCTGGTACAGTTGTGTAATGCTAAAAATTGGTTAATTGGGAACAGGTCAGTAACATCACTGGGTGCAAAAAGAGCATCTCAGAGAGGCTGAGTCTTCAGAGGTGAAGATGAGGAGGGGCTCACCACTCTGTGAAAGACTGCACGATCAAATAGTGCAACAATTCAAGAATAAAGTTTGGGCCCTCAGGCGGCACTGCATTAGAAACATTGATTCTGTAGTGGAAATTCAGTGGTCAGTATTCATGATGGTGTAGAGGTGCATTAGTGCACATGGTGACACATCTGTGAAGGCACCATTAATGCGGAATGATATACATGTTTTGGCAACATATGCTGCCATCCAGACGACGTCTTTTTCAGAGAAGGCCTTGCTTATTTCAGCAAGATGATGCCAAACCACATTCTGCATGCATTACAGCAGCATTGCTCCATATTAAAAGAGTCTGGGTGCTAAACTGGCCTGCCTGCAGTCCAGACCTGTCACCACTGAAAACATTTGGCACATTATGAAACGAAAAATACGAGCAAGGAGAACAGCTGAAATCCTATATCGACAAGAATGGGAAAACATTTCACTTTCAAACTGCAGCAATTGGTCTCCTCAGTTCACAAACACTTGTTGTTGTTAAAAGAAGAGGTGATGAAACACAGTGGTAAACATGCCCCTGTCCCAACATTTTTGGAATGTGTTGTTGGCATCGAATTCAAAATGAGCATATATTTTTCAAAAAAACAGTAAAATTTCTCAGAGTCAACATTTGAAATGTAGTTGTACATGTAAAGTAGGTTTTCCTGAGTGACATCATTTTAAAGAAATTAAAAACACAAGGACTACTTACTGCTGCTCGTTTCACTCTAACTGGACTCACGTGATGCTGGTTGTCATGTTACGTCTGCACTAAGAGGTTCTCCATGCATGCGTGTAATTTTGGATCTGATTACTTGTAGTGTGCATGTAAACGGAGATTTTCATCAGATTGTTGAGTAGAGTGAGCACATAAACACCTCAGTCTTAATCTGTAATCTGAATGTATTTAATGAGATTGGCAAAAATGTTTGCATGTAAACACAGCCCGCAGTGGTTGGAGTGAGTCCATGTTGTGTGTGAAAAGTGGCAGAGAGTGATTAGAACTGCCTTTTTTTAATTTTTATTTATTTGTTAATTTTAACCCAGTCATGAGTGAGGTGTCGCACGTGTTGGAATAGATTTAATCACCAGTATATTTTCCAGTTTAATCATTCATCACGTCTGTTTGTGTTTCCCTCAGCCGAACTGCTACGCCAAGGTCATCACTGTGGAGTCGCAGAAGAAGATCGTCATCTACTCCCGACAGCCGATTAATGTGAACGAGGAGATCACGTACGATTACAAATTCCCAATCGAGGACGAGAAGATTCCGTGTCTGTGCGGAGCGGAGAACTGCCGGGGAACATTGAACTAGCCTGGAGGAACAGCGGCGCGGTCAGAGTGCCCAGACAGGCGGGCAAACTGCAGAAACTGCTGCCCTGAGGAGCAGCCACCCCCCTACCTTCCCACCCCCCACTCCCTTACCTGCCGGAGTGCTGAGGGCTCTTTAATAAACACGTCTGATGATTGTTTACGATTTACAGGTGCTCTTTCAACCACGTTAGGATGAATTTTTCTACCACTCTTCCATTCAGCTTTGTATGGAGAAAGAAAAAGACTGTAGCCCCGCCCCCTGCCACCCCCCACTGTAGCATCTAGGTTACTGGACACCCCCAGTTTTCTCCACTAAACCCCCGTCCCATTTCTCTATGTCCAAGCGCACAAAAGGCCTCTGCTGCACACCCGCACAGGGAGAACCAGGGCTTCACAGTAATAATCCAGCTCACTTCCTCTTCATTAAGTGTTCGGTGGGTTTGTTTCACCGCTCGGCCCACTTTTCCCTCTAATTACGGTTTTATTTTCATGCTGTTTGTCTGAAAGGACTCTCTTTTACACCGAGAGCTTAAATCTCATCATATGTGTAAAAATATTATTGTGCAGTCCACCTGTGTGGCAACTAAACAGAGGTTCAGGTAAATTTGCTCTTCTGCTCGTGGTCACACCTCACTGCTGTTTCTACCGCTGACTGCTTGTTGGAGTGAGTTCGCTGCCCCCTGCGGGCCGTACACTGTAACTGCAGCCTTCAGGATAGCAGTACAGCCCTGAAAGGGGAACTCAACCATTTTTTTTTTCACATTTTTGCATATGTGAAATGGTTGATTGTAGAGACTCAGTGTTCTTTCCAGTGGTGGTGATGGGAACCAGGGGTCACCATGGCTACAACACAAATACAGACATTTTATTTACTATCCAAAACCGCCAGTGAACCTACAAGTCTCTACTGGAATGTTGATGATGGTAAAATAGTGGAAAATAATACGTTTTTTGGGACTATTTTGCCTCAAAACGGCCTGCATATTATGTATCCCTCCACCATGAATGGATTTTAAGTTCTCAAAACGATCATAAAACAGTGTCTCAGACATCAGTCAGTGAATTCATAACATTTTCATGTAATAACTTTCTGTAAGGGAACTTTTAGAGGTGGGCATCTGGTTCCTATCACCACCACTGTGAACAGTTCTGACTCTAACCAGATGATTGAAGCCTGTGCACTAGCAGAAGAGGTGATGCCTGCTCCTGTTGAACAGTCCTTACTTTGGGCTTAAATTATCTCCTGTTGAGTCTTGAATTTGAGAAGTGGCCAAACAGCAGGTGGTGCGTTTGTGCTCTGATGTCACAGAGAGTCCAGTCTGCGTTTAATATGTTGTGTAATGACCCCACTGGTTATGATTCCTGATCCTCAGAGCTGCTCTAACACTCTTTAAGCTAAACCTTCTTCACGAAGCTGAGTATTAACACCATCTACATTCATTACTCCACTGAAAGCTTTTTTCATTACTGGTGCTGTATTAGTTATGATGGAGGGCTCACTAATGCTTCGCGGCACTGCTGTGTAGCTTCATGCTGAAGTTGTTCTGTAGTTGACGCCCATATAAGGAGCTCTGGGTCTGAGCCGTTTATCTCTATGGGGAAAAATGAATAGGGTTTTGGAAAATCGCTGCTGTCTCACCTGGTTATGGTCAAAAATGTTTCAAACCGGAGACGTTTTGTCATTCATACATTTTTTTCCCCACTGGATCCTCTGAATTATGAGGTCGTTGTCATGAGGTCTGGGTTCACATGTTGGCGGTAGGCAGATGATGGCAAACCGGATATTCCATTGTTTACAACAGGGCTGACATGGAAAAATCTGCGACAGTCTGCGGAACGTGGCAGCAGTAACATTCCGTCAAGAGTTCGGTTTTCCAAATTTTGGCGTCAGTGGCAACAGTGAAATGAACTCTATGTTGGTTTTTAAGGAGCTGTGGATGCCAAACATCTCACTGTTGAATTCCAGATGAACTTAGTATTACAGAACACAAAATAAGAGCATGGAGTCACCATGCCAACGTTTGCGTGGCTTATTGCTGCTGTTGGACGTGTGCTGCTTCAAAGCACAGAATCATATTATTATTTTTTTGTTTATTTTTACGCAAACATGTGAACGCAGCATCATGCTACAAGGACGAACTGCACACTGAAATGACTCAACACTGTTATACACCAACACCAGCTACTCAAAACTGCCAAACGCCGCTGAACTCCCACGCTGGACAGGCTGCTGGTCTGTGTGGGGGATTTTGGTGAGGTCAGTTCAGTTTCCAGCAGTGTTAGCTTACGGGTCACACTGTTCACTTTTCGGCTCCGTAATGAGCTCATTTGGTCAGAGGTGGGGCTGGACGATATATAAGATATGTCATGATAACCGTTTTTTAGCTTATAGTGGATATTGTCCGTACTCAGACATTTACGAAGAGCCGAATTAGTCCTGCTTTGCTGGATTTAGTGCAGCAGCTTGTGAAAAGCTGAATATTAATCACTGCATTCATAGTTTTTGATAGTTTTTTTTTGTTTAAATGTGCCACTGCAGAACATTTCAGTTCACCACAGACTGAAAGCAGCGATTAAACTCTGTTAATGTTCCCCATAAAGATAAACACCGCAGACTGGGACTTCCTTATATGGGCGTAACTGCTCCTCCTGCTGGTTACCTTTAGTATTGCGCTCTCTCTCCCTGCTTAACGCTGTATTTCTGAACTTGGAGAAGCTTCTGCTGCGCTTAGTGCTGAATCTCCACTAACGGGATGTTATCAGGTGAAGAGAAGAGACCAGATAATATAATCGTGCCAAACTTTTGCATTTTAAACAGCTCGAGCTGTTATTACAGAGCGAGTGTGTGTTTTGCGTTATTCTAAGCCTGTTGGTGCTTCGGCTGAAACAGCACTGTATTATTCCTCAAGTACTCAGTGTTTAAAGTGATGGTTCATTGAAAAATCTGATTTACTCCCAGTTAGAACCACTTTTTGTTCCCTAATAGACCATAAGTAAAAAAAAATAGAGCTTTCACATAATGTGAAGATTCTGCACCAGTTTAAGGGTTCTTCCTAGAACCTTTATGTTCTTTTAAGCTTTAAAAAGGTTCTTCACATGCGCACAACACTTTTTTCTGAAGAACCAGTTTTTTAGGGAACTAAAAGTTGTTCTTTTAATGGCAAAGAACCTTTTGTAGCACCTGAAGTGCATTTTTAGATCAGCCAAGATCTGGTGTAGCTAACAAATCATGGAAGCCTCGAGTTAGCGTCATGCTAATTGGTGGGGTATAGGCTTCCATTACGTGTTAGCCACATTAGCGTCATAGGTTAGCATCACCAGGCATGTCTAAGTTGATCAGCTACATGTAGAGCAGATGGAGTAAACTGGGAAAATCAGATTTGTTGCTGAACTGTGGCTTTAATAGCAGTGAGTTTCCCTCTAAAGCTGCACTCACGTTTACTCTAGCTGTGATCCTGTTCAGCCTGCATTTCTTCTTCTTCTTCTTCTTCTTCTTCTTCTTTTTGGTGGTTTAATTTGAACACTAGAGGCTTGTTGTTGTATTTTCTTCCCATCAGGCCATCCAGACCTCCCGACACCCCCCACCACTTACTCTACAGTCACACTGCAGGGGCGGAGCTTTTTCTTTCAAACGTGTTTATATTGTACAGGATCTGATCATTTGTATGGAGGAACTGGGCTTTTTATCATGATAGGGAGTTCTGAAGACGATGCATCTTTTTTAATAAGCAGAGATTGAGTATCTGATATTTTTCAGGGATCATTAAAATAAAAAAGGGTAAAATATATATATATATATATATATATATATATATATTTGAAAGTGATGCATCTTGTACATAAAAGCGATCTGTTCTCCCTTTGGAAAGATTGTTTCTTGTAGAAACGTCTTTTTTTTCCTGCCCGCTTTCCTTTGTAAACTTATGTGTAAATACGTAAACTGTGAATATATAAATATATAAATATATATTATATTTTTTGTTCCTGAGGATTTGCTACAGATTGGCAGCTCAGAGAGGTCTACAGAGCGAGTGTGAGGAGCTGAGGGCAGTATTTCAGCTTGTGTCAAGCTTTATTTTTTATTTTGTGTTGTAAATTCTATGAAAACTTGTTTGCAGTGCGTGTGGGGGGAGTTCTGATGCAGAATCGGCGAGGGGAGCCGCTGGCTTTCCCCGAGTCTATTTATTACCACAAATGTATGAAAAAACAGAAATCATGGAAAAAAATAAAGGATTTTTCTTTTCGAACAACTTTGTGATGTTATATTTCTACGTCTGTCTAATTAATCTTGCATGATGTTCTACAGGACAGAGCTACGGGTATTCAAGCGTTAGTTCAACCAAAATGTACACCGCCCCCCCCCAGCTGTAGCCAAAACTATCAGCCATGCAGTTTATTTCTTTAGCCGTAAGCTAATATAGCTAGCAGGCAAAGAGCTTATACTCCACCAGTTAGCTACAAGGCTAATGTAGCTAACAAAAAAGCTTAAGGCCTACTCTTTAGCTATGAAGTTAAAGTAGCTAACAAGTAAACAAAGTTTACAGCCAACAAGAAAGCTAGTCACCAGCTAGGAAGCTGATGTGGCTAGCTAACAGGTGAAGGAAGTTTGCAATCTGTCAGGTAGCTGTGAGAATGCTAATGTAGCCAACAAGTAATGTAAACATATACCTCACCAGTTAGCACCGCACACACGCCTCAAACTGTGTTGAGCTGATAACCAAATTTTTTGTTCCACCTTAAATGGTGCAGCAGTTACATTTTGGGGCCTGAGGTGCCAGATTTAACTGCAATACCGTTTAAGGTGGAATGGAAAATTCCACTAAGAAGTTGGTGAACAGGAAGCCAACTTCATTAACATGTTTGAGAAGTGTGTAATGAGTATTCACCATTCATAATTGGTGGGGTATGAGCTTCCTATACCTGTTAGCTTCCTATACATTAACCTTGTAGCTTCAGTGCTAAAACTAAAGAAAAAAACTTCAGACAGCAAACACGTCTCAGATGATTAACTAGATTTAGGGGGAAATTGTGTGAATTAGAAACTATTGCTTTAACTGTGTTCCCTGTACTGCTGGTGTTGTGAGTGTAAACACAGAGTTTTACAGAAACACAAGAATACTGACGCTGAACAATCCTCAGCACTTTCCCACCATCCTCACTCTCAGTCCCTCTCAGAGTGACGGAGGTGGCTGGTACTGACTCCCAGCACGTCATACGGCTCAGACGCTGCTGTTCACTCACATTCACTTTATTATCATCTACAATAAGAGATCTTGGTCTCGGGGGAGTGAAAACACGACTGTAATCTGTTTAGAGTTTTCATTACAAACAAACAGCTTCACTGTGTGTTGACAATGGTGGGTCTGCACGATGCACTGAATAGTTTCCTAAAAAATCAGAATCAAATCAAATCAAATCATCACTGCTGCTAAGAATATTTTTTTTATTTCCAGTAAGTTCAGCAAATAAACAGAAATTGTGCACTAAAAACCTCATATTTACCTGTCTGTCTAGAGAGTGTGTGAACTTGTTTACACTTAGAAAATCCACAAAACATGTTGACTGGGGTGCCCAAACCTTTGCATATCACTATATCTATATATAAATGTTACACCTCATAATATATATAATCATAATAGTAACCATCATAATTCAATAGTGTTAATGCAGTAAGTAGTGATTTTGTGTGTCTGTGATTTTGTGTTTCCTGTCTTCTGTAACTATTGATCATCCAGCACCTTTTTTATCTGATCAATACTTCATCATGTCAGATCAGGAGCTGCTGATGAAGTTTAATAAATCTTTGTTGCTGGAGGAGAAATCAGGAACCAAACTTTGTTCTTCAAACCAGCTCACAAAATATTAGCTACATTTCTGAAAATTAATACTTTACACTTTAGTGTATTTACAATAGTGATCATCTGTTTTTTAACAACAAAAACACTGATTGCCCAGATAAACAGTTTTAAACAGTTTGACTGACGCGCCTGGTTTGCTGTGCAAAAGTTTGTGTGCCCCTTGTCAAATTCCATGTTGTTGATTTACTGAGTGTGAATAAGTAGACACATCTGTACATTTTAATACACAATTTCTGTTTATTGGCTGAATTTAACACATTGGGGAGAAAATAAAATATAACATGATATGACTTTGCATATCTTAAATTTTGTCCAACATGTTAAATTTAATAAACAGTTATTGTGTATTAAAGTGTCCAGTCCTGGATTTTGTGGTCACTACTCTCAGTGGCCAATCAGTTACATGAGCGGTTCAATTAACTAGCAGTTATCACAAAACCAAGGACTGGAATCTGGATTCAAAATCTGATTTAGTCAAACCCTTTTGTTCTGTGTTCAAAAACACAGTGAAGAAAGGTGGTCAGAGCGCCCCCTGCTGTTTGACCAATTGAACTGAACTGAATGAAACCGATTGGGCGAAATGTGAGATTTTATGATTCACCGAATCGTTACCTAAACAATCACAATCTAATAAAATCTATAATCGATCATTTCCGTTGAAATGTGATCTCTGTGTATCAGGAAGTGGAGTCTGCTCTGTTTCTTCACTGGAGCTCCTGACCTTTGACCTGCTGTTTCCCTCATTCCTCCACAGGTTCTGCTGAAGGTTCCTCACTGAAGATCAGTTTTATCAGCTCAGTGCACTGAAGGCTGATCTGAGAGCAGTGAGGATGAGGAGGAGGGGGAGAGTGGCTGGGCAGGCGGTGAACAGGGGGGCACTGGAGAGCAGGCGGGCATGTTTGGAGGCGTAAACGTGGCTGTAGGTGGGGTGGATGTGTCTGAAGTTGTTCTGCAGAAGAGCTGCGGGTTCTGCTCCCTCCTCTGTGGAGTAAATCCCACTGATGAATGGCTCAAACTGAGAGAGGAACACAAGCAGAACCACAGCAGATCATCAGTGACCTCCTGAAGAAACACGCTGACTTTACAGGATTCATTTGATCACCACAGGTCAAAGACGTGGAAGTAGTCAACGATGTTTAAAATTTTAGACATATTTTACAAATTAAAGTTTATTTACCAGTAACACCGCACAACATGTTTATCACCATCTAGTTCAAACAAAGAAGTGTTTTCTGGAGGACTCCGTTATTGATTCTACCAGTTAGCTGAGAGGATAACATAGCTAACAAGTAAAGGAACCTTATGGGTAACCAGCTATGATGCTAATGTAGCTAACAGATGAAAGAAGCTTGTTGCCCACCAGTTAGCTGCCAGGCTAATGTAGCAAAAAAAGTGAAGAAAGCTGTAGCTCACATTTATCAGGCTCCAGTCCTTGCATGCCAAAACTCTGCAGGCTTCAGCACACTGCCTCATAAAACACACCTGATTCAGCTCATCAGCTAATCAGCAAGGCCTTCATGAACTGAATTCAGAGTGTTAGATGAGGGTAAAAGCTAATATCTGCAGCACATTGTCCCAGAAGTTCTCCAGTTTGACATGCCTACTGTAGCTCATTAGGTTAGCTTACAAGTAAAGGCAGCTTGTATTCTGCCAGGTAGCTGTGAGAAGGCTAATGTAGCTAACAAATATTGTAAGCATATACCTCACCGCACACACTTCAAACTGTGTTCAAATCCAATTCTCTGTTCCACCTTAAATGGTGCAGCAGTTACATTTTAGTGCCTGAGGTGGCAGTTTTAACCACTGTAGCATTTAAGGTTGAACAGAAAATTCCAGTAAGAAGCTGGTGAACAGGAAGCCAAATTAATTAACATGTTTGAAGCAATTGTGTAATGATTAGCACCATGCTAAAAATGCTAATGGGTGGGGTATAAGCTTCCATTCCTTGTTAGCTGCATTAGCCTCATCGCGCCAGTGCTAAAACTAAAGAAGTAAACTTCATGACATGAAACATCTCTGAGCTAATCACCTAGGTTTTTGGGGAAAATCTGTTTTTATGGAGCGTCCCATTAATTATTCTAGCAAATCCAGTTCTTGAATCCAGATTCCAGTCCTGGATTCTGTGATCACTGGTAGGTATGACTCATGGGGATGCCAACATTGAGCCAGTTATTACAAAATCCAGGACTGGAAACAGGATTTAACCCTTTTGGTCTGTGTTTATAAACATACAGTGACGAAAAGCAGTGCTGCCTGATGTTCACGTTTAAAACCTCGATTATGGTTGAACTGGAGGGGTGGTTCATTATAGGTTGTATATCAGTGTGCTGTGTCAACCCTACGATCACTTATATGACTTCTTTCTGTAGCGCCCCCTTGTGGCTATTTCACCAGTGGAACAGAGTCAGATATTTTAAATTAATATGATCAAATAAAATAACTATGTTAGATGATCCTGGACTCTTTTGTCTTGCTGTGTGAAATGCTGTTGAGCTGCTAGTGAGCAATGGATGGTGAAAAGGGTGAGAACCCCTGCTGTGAAGAAAAACTGACAGTAAAAGAAAGCCACGATGACACTAAACCACAGGGTTAACAGTTCAATCATATTTTAATCTTCAGTAATAAGACTCAGTATAATATTCTGCTGTGATACTTTATTTCTTGCTGTTTTGTTTTAATGGTCGCAAAATGACTGTTTAATAAAGGTTCCAGTGTTTTTTAATGTGTTAGAAAAATTCCTTACTGGAGAAACGATTGAGACTCAAAATGAACTCAGCCAGCAGAGGGCGCTATTCTGCACTTTGCCTCTACATCGCTGCCTCAGTATCTCTATCATGTTTAAAAAGAGTTTTATTTTAAAGTGTTTCAAGTGTTTAAGAGTTTTAAGGGTTTTAGGTGTTTTATGTGAGGATGGTGGTCTCTACCTGTGCCCAGGAGATGGAGATGGGCACCTCATACACGGTCCACAGCACAGCCTGTGAGCAGGGGGGTGTGGTCAGGCTGCCATGGTAGCGGTAATACTGAGACAAGTTAGCCTGCGGGCAGCAGGGTCAGCAGGGGGAATGGCCTGATGGACTTCTCCTGACCTGGAGGTGGACAGAGAACAGATCAGAACCTTCTCCTGGACACCAGCTTTTCACTGACCAGTAACGACCACTGAAAACCTCCTGACCGACCATCTCAGATCCAATAAATATTTTCAGGAAATAACATCACTGTGTCCGGTAGAGAGTGTGCAAAATTACAGGCTTGTATCTTCATTCGTTTCTGAGATACAAAGGATTTAAAAAGTGGGTGTGGCCTTAAATTTTGCCTTAAAGGGCCCAAACAATGGACGTCTGAATTTTACACACTTTCCTGAATGATAAAACACTCATGTGTACAGCAGTTTAGCCAGGCCTATTCAGCCTACCCTCTCACAATGAAGTTTAATAGTGTTTCAGCCCAGACAGCCTATTAGAACAGAGCTCATTTACATTTAATGATCTTAAAGGTACAGTTTGTTTAACTGCAAGAGAAAAGAAAGAATATGAGATGAATGCGTGGGATTTATTTCTGAAATCTGTTGAATTGAGGAGGATTTAGTAACAAACCTCTATAGGTGATGAAGGGCAGTGCGCTGGAGATTGGCTGGAAGTTCTCGTTGTCCATGTAGCTCAGCTGCAGTCAGAGACGTGAATAAATAAACTGAGCTGTAAAATCTCAGAAGAGCTCAAACTATCAAACTTTAATGTGTATTTACATCAATGAAGACGGCGAGTACAGCAAGACCGGTTGGGTCGCCCAGAGCAGCGGTCAGATTCGGGTGAGAGGATTTAATACTGACAATATGCATCTGTAAGAGAAGAGTTCAAACTAATTAAGCACAATAATACGGATAAAATGATAATGAACAATAATAACAATAACAAAAATTGGATATGATAATAAATAACAATGCATTAGTGCACATCAGAAAGCCATCAGGGGAAACATTTCAGCTAAGTCGTGTTTGGTGTCTAAAGAAGTTTGGTTCTTTAGTTCTAGCACTGGAGCTACAAGGCTAACAAGCAATGGAAGCTTATACCCAGCAAACAGCATAATGCTAACTGCATGACAATCATCACACACTATTTTGACATGATACGCTATATGATGACTGCTATCTATAAACACAGACCAAATTAAAGCTTCAAGGTGACTGTGTTCTAATGTACTTCAGTCCATGTTTATAGATAACAGTGAGTCATACAGTGTCAGAAACCACATCATCAAGTTTATTAGAGATACTGAACAACTCCACACACTTTGAGACCATTGATGATTTAGTCATGATGCTAATTGGTGGGGTATAAGCTTCCATTACTTGTTAGCAACATTTGCTTCATAGCTCCCGTGCTAAAACTAAGGAAGCAAAGTCATGGCTGATTGACTAAAGGGGAAAACAGGGTAGTAGAGAACCCTGACTTTCAGATGTCCTCAGTTTGGGCCACCTCTAACGTTCTACAACATTGTTAATTATTGCTAGCACCCCTAGCAGATTTCTAATAGCATGTTAGCTCTAAGCAAATGTTAGTGCAAAAGACTGCTAAACATGGACATATAAATATGTAAGTCCTTCAGTTCAGCTCCTGACGTCCTAACCAATGGGAGAGCAGCTTGGCTTGACTTACAGCATGTATATACAAGAAGACTAATGATTCTATTACACAGAAACTTTTATAAACTGTTTTTGTAGGTCACAGAAATCATTAAAACCTTCTCTGAACAACCTGAGAGTTCCACACTGGGTCAGGGTTAAGGTCAGGTAAGTGAAGTTTAGGGTTAGGACCGTCTCAGACCTCCATGGGGAAGCGCTGCAGGAGGAGTGTGTGTTCGGAGCCGTTGGTGGACGTGCTGCCCCAGTGGAAATGCAGCTGGACAGTCCGATACAATCCGGGAAGACCACTGCCGCTCACCGATAGCCCACCGCCCACCTCCAACACAACTACACACACACATACACGCTGTTAACATACTCAAAACACTCAAAAACATACTCAGCTTAAAAAACTGCTTAAGCACTGAGTAGCTTCATTCATCATTCATGCTCCCTTTATGCACGAAAAAGAACACGTCCGTTTCAAACAATGTGGCGGTCACTGCCCACATACTTCCAGGCGTCCTTTACGTTGGCATGGATGTTAAGCTGTACATCCACCAGAGGGCAGTGCAGAGTCAGAAGTTTCTGACAGCGACAAACATGGCAACGGTGGAGGAGGCTGCAATAAATAATGTACCAACTACAAAAGAGTACTTAAATACTTTGTGATATGTGGACGGAGAATTCTTTACACTTATATTACCAACGAGAGAAACTGGTGTCGTGTCTCGCGTGGACTATTAGCTACACTGCCCCCCCACGGCTTCCGGTGGTACTGCTCCGCTTCGTCCGTATCAGTAAGCTTTCAGAGAACGTGTACAAATATGGATGAAAAGAACGCAGAGTATGGAGAGAAGCTCTGTCTGTATCCATATTTAATGTTGAGCATAAATGAGCCCTTTAGTAGAATTTTGTGTTTCAATTTAAATGGTGCAGCTACAAAGTCCTCATAGGAAAGTCTGTTTGGCGGCCATTTATGTAACTCTGCTGGTCAGTTATTTTCTTCCATACTAGTCCAGACTCCTCTCTCTCTGAATGAGGAGAGACCAAAATACTTAAACTTGAAGGTTAAATTTCTGTTTTAAAAAAAGATTTCATATCACTGATAAAATCTGACAAAAACCTAACAAATAGTTTGTAGTGTTTGGCTCAGTAAAACCTAAAAACGTGATTTTTCAGGTTGTTCTGGCTGCTGCACTTGTGCACATCTCCACAGTGAGGGGGGAGCTTTCCCTGCTCAGGCATAACCGGCAAGCTGATTGGCTCTTTTTAATGAGGGTGGGACTTTCTCCACATACAGACGCCATGTTGAGCATTATGAGCTTTCCTGTTCAGATTTCAACAAGTGACCGTTTCCTCCTATATAATGTCTCTGGTGTTATTTTTGGCAGAAAATGCTTGAAATTAATGGCTTTACTGTGGATGTTTAAAGACAGACAGTTCATTACGTTTGATCAGAACAAAAAGGGAATAAATTAGGCGTGTATCTCAGATCAGGTTATCAGAAGCTGGTTAAATTCAACTTTTCTACAGAAACCACAAAATTTTCTTCTGTGTCAGTGTTTGAAATCGGGATTCAACATGACGGTTCACAGAATACTGCAGCTTGAAGCAATTTTCTTCACTTTAATACAGTTAGCTAGCCTCGTTAGCCTTTTGGCAAACACTGCTAGCATAGTTAGCAGTACAAAAGTTGCAAAAACAGCTAGCGTTACAGTTTTGTGCCAGTGTGAATATTCCAGTTACAGCACTGCTGCTGCAAGACACTTTCTTCATTTAAGCAAAAGAACACGAGAGGAAGTGTGTTATCGCGAAATAACATCACAGCTGTGATTTGCATGAGCCGAAGGCGAGTGCCTTAGATCATCATAGCTGTGATGTTATTCGTGACAACACACGACCTTGAGTGTTCTATTGCTTTTATACAACAGTTAAATAAATAGAGTAAGAAATAAATAAACTCAGTCGTGAACGTGGCATGTAATATATTTTAATTTTAGCGGTTCCTTCCGCCAAATTATAGTTCCCTGACAAGCAGCTTGTTGCTACGTCACAGTAACGAGCTCCGCTCACTCGCTGCACAGCCGGCAGTTCGTTCTCCAGCTCCTTACACAGACCAACTGACGTTCAAATAGCTTGAGCGTCTCCTATCAAAGTCGTTGCTTAGCAACGGCGTCTCGGCGGAATGATACAGTGTTGTGAAAAACTCGTGATGTTATGGCGAAATAACAGCATGGTTAGAACGCTTCTCAACCAATCAGCTTGCATGGCTGGAACTAACTGTTGTAAAAAAGAAAATAAATGAATAGTTATTCATTTAATTACTGGGCTAGGGTAGTTAGCCAACACTAGCGGCCTGTTTAGGGCTAGTAAGGCCTAGCTGCAGAACTTACAGGTGCTATATCTCTTTGACTAACAACTAGTTGAACTGACAGGCCTACACTTTATTTCGCAAAATATTAATTTGCACTTTCCTTAATAAAAATGTACCAAAGCCCAAAATTTGCAATTTTTTTAAAAGAGTGACAAAATATTCTTGGAAATATTATTGACAATAAATAAGAAAGGGACATCATTTAAAAAGATAATTTGGAAAAGACAATTCTTAATTTTTTACGTTGAAACGTCATAGTTTGCTCATGAATGTTAGTGTTTTTATTCAAAACTTTAGTACAAAATTAACTCTATGCCAACCTTCTCTTTTTGGATCTTTTGGTCTAAAATAAAACAATAACTGAGCTGAGTGATGAGCAGTAAAGCAGAATAGAAGCAGAATCAGCACACCCAAAATAGAGAATCAGGAGCTGAACATTAAAACAACTAAAATGAGGAGAAAGTTAAAATCACTCTCAAAAATCCTGCAGCAGAAATAACAGCACAGTGTTGGTGTTGTTTCCACACGTGTGTTCTGAGGTGGCGAGTAAACTGACCCGAGTGGCCCTGGTTGGTCAGTCTCCACTGGCCTTTAGGAGTGCTGTTGAATCCGGAGAGCTGCAGCTCATCCAGCTGGGCGTCTCTGACCTGCTGCCAGCCGAGGTCGATCGGGGAGTGATGAGCGTCCAGCAGGGGGTGACAGGACGGAAACATGTCCCCCCATGCGTACGGGTCTAACAAGCACAACAATGACCTCATTTACATCACTGTAGAATAGATTAATTAATAAACAATCAGAATATAAATGACATAGTTAATCATTTCATACTCACCACACTGACCATCATCATAACAGAAATCTGACACAAAAATCAGAGAAATTACTCATTACCACACTAAAAACATCAGAAACCACCACAAAATCTGACCTTTAACCCTTTGAACATTTAAAGAATTCATTCAGAACTGCATAGACAGCAAAAAAAAAATCATACTAGATACTGAATAACTCATAGTAGTTACTGAATAATTCACATTAGATACTGAATAAATTGTAGTGGGCACTGAAATATTTTTAGAAAAAACTGAATTATTCTTAGAAAACACTGAATAATTCATAGTGGATACTGAAAAATTCCTTTACTGATTCATTTACTGATACTGAAGTATTGAGATGAATAACCTAATAGTAAATCTGCAGTTTCAGAGGTTAAGAGTGAAAATCCTGACCAAGTTTAGTACAAATGTGGTTTGGAAATTAAATTAAAACAAAATAAACAATATATTATGTTTAAAAAGAAAAATAAAACAATAAAAAATAAGACCAAAAAAGACAAAATAAAACAAAAATAAAAAATGAAAATAAAAAAATAAAACAAAGGAAAATAAAAATTAAAATTAAAACATAAAATTAGTGAAAATGAAAGGAATAAAAAATACAAACAAATAAAAAACTAAAAGAGATATAAAAAAATAAAAATAAAACAGTGTGGTGTGACTCACCATCGTAAGTGAGAGTGAGCGTGAGGACGGTCTGGAGCAGAACCAGCAGCAGCAGCAGCAGCATGATCTCTTAGTGTAACTGACCCTGCTGGACTGACCCGCGGGTTTAAATAGAGCTCCTGACCCCTGCAGGACGTCCGGCTCGCCGCCCGCTCCCACTGAGCTCATCACCAACACAAGCAGCATTTATAACTGCAGAGACAAAGATGGACACGTGAACAGTGACCACCAGCCTGTGAGTGTCGACCACTGAGTGGACCAGAAGAGAAGAGCAGAAATGGGCTGTCAATTATTCAGTATGAATTATTCAGCAATTACTATGAATTATTCAGTATCTACTATGAATTATATAGCAATTACTATGAATTATTCAGTATCTACTATGAATGTTTCAGTGTCTACTATGAATTATTCAGTAACTACTATGAATTATTCAGTGCCCACTAGAAATTATTCATTAACCACTAGGAATTATTTAGTATCTACTATGAATTTAATTAGTACCTACATAAGAATTATTCAAGATCTACTATGAATTATTCATTAACTACTATGAATTCTTCAGCATTTACTATGAATGACGCAAAATATACTATGAATTATTCAAGATCTACTATGATATATTCATACATAGCTACTATGTATTGTTCAGTGTCTACTATGCATTATTCATTAGTTACTATGTACTGCTCAGTGTCTATGAATTATTCATTAGCTACTATGAATTATTCAGTATTTATGAATTATTCAGCATCTACTATGAATTATTCAGTACCCACTATGAATTACTCAAGATCTACTATGAATTATTCAGCATCTACAATGAACGATTCAAAATATACTATGAATTATTCAGCATCCACTATGAATTGTTCATTAGCTACTAGGTATTGTTCAGTGTCTACTAGGTATTGTTCAGTATCTACTATGAATTGTTCAGTATTTATTATGACTTTTTTCAGAAATGAGTATGAATTATAGTTGATGCTGAATAATTGACTAGTTGTGTGAATGTGGTTTTCCTGAAACAGGCTGATGTTAGAAGTTAATTTATCTGTGTGTAATCCCGCAGTGTGTGTGTGTAGTTGCTCTCTGGTTTCTCTGGGTTTGTTTAAAGTGGTTCTTTGTGTCCTGCTGGGGTTTCCCTCTGACTCACACTGAGTTCAGGTGGATGGATTTCCCGGCGCTCAGACGAGTTTCCGGCGGCTCCTTAAGCTCCAACTGTTGGAGTGTAATCTAACCGGCCGGGTTTAATCTGCATCCGGAAACTGAAACACTCTGAGATGTAGTGGACACAGAGTGACCATTCAAGACCAGATGATCGCAGTCCAGTCTCTCTGATATTCCCCCTTGCTGGACCTTTAACACTTCACCGTGCTGGAGTAAAAGAATCAGGAGAAGATCAGCACAAAAACAACGAGGCTGAAACTGGATTCATGTTTGGATTTTCCTTCCACCTTAAATGATACAGCAGCACCGTTCACAGAAACTGAAGTTTGTTCAGCTCTGATCCCTTTTTAGAGCCTCTCAGTCTAAAATAAAATGATAAAGCTCCGCTGAGAGGAACAGAATAAACACAAGAGTGAAATTAAACACAAAAAAGAGAATTAGGGACTAAACAGTAATGACTAAAATAGAACTAGATTACTGTATTTGCTAATATACCGAAGAAAAAGTGACAGTACTGACATTTAAAAACACTCAGTAAACAAAGCCCCTCCCCCAAACAAATTCAACCCACTTCAGTGTTCTCTCTAAAGCCCCACCCTAAAAAAACTAAAGCCCCTCCCTTCAGTGTTTCCTTCAAGGCCCCAATAGCAAATAAACTAAACCCCTCCCTCGCTCACTGACAGTCTATTACATTAGCTAGTTAGCTAGTGAGTATCAACATCCTGTTTCAGCCGCAGTTTGAACAGAATCCGCTACTAAATAATTAACTGCCCAGCAGCTACAGAGCAAGTCGCTCTTCAGATCTCACTGTCACTGTCTCTTCAGGTTATTATTCTGTTATTTTCTCTGCTTTTATTTCTTTCAAGTGCTAATAATCTGCTGCAGTGAGTCTGAGCATTGTGGACAGTTAGCTATATGCTAAAGCTACACAGCGCTGTGGTCAGAACAGACCAGCCTCTTTATTCTGAGTGTTTGAACGTTGCCTGTCGACATCATTTATTTTTATTCTAATTCTTTTCAATAAGGAATGATTAAACATATCAGGTGTGGACTTAACTCTTTAGCTGCAAAACTCACAAAATCTCCAGCAAGATGGCTAAAAACACTAATTAGCAAGCATCACTCATGATTGCTACAGCATTAGCTTTATGTGCTAGCTAACTACTAAATAACTAAACTAAAACAATCTGACAACATAATAGTTTAAATCATGGAGGAAAGTCATGACATCTAATTATATATAACAGAATAAGTAAAGCAATATCCATTAAAGGTATATTCACTGATTTTGGTGAAAGTTTTTGATTAACTTTTTACTACATTAATGACCTTTTCAGTTGTTCAAATTGAATATCTCTGTGGATTAAAAGCTAAAACTGTAGGAGTATATAAAATGCAACTTTATAGCTCCTAATATACAAAAATAACAAAAATAAATAAATAAAACAAAATAAACTCATCCGCCTGATGACTGCTGGGATAGGCTCCAGGTCCCCCCATGACCCAGAAGAAAATTAACTCAAAGTTTCAGCTGGTATAAATGTCACGAATGGCGCCATCCAAGAAATTTCTAAATCAGTAGAGCGTTATTATTCAGTAAATGCTGAGATCAGATTTAGCCTCATCATTGTTTAGAAGAGAAAATAATTTTCTGTTAAAAAGAAACTCAACATCACTCAGCGTGGCCTTCACCATCCTTCACTGGAGTTTATTTGGCTTTTGATTAGATGTACATCTATATCAGAGTAAAACGTGAAACCCCTGACAAAAACAAAACAAACAAAAACCAAAACGAATTACATTAAAAACTGAAATAAAATAGAGATTAAACTCATCAATTGTAGCATTTTTACATTAAACATTTTTTTTTATTGCATCACTACAAATGATCTACTTCAAACGTTTCTGCGGCTGAGCGGTGAGGGAACCGGACAGAATAAAACTCTACATGCCAAAAGAGCGAAAACATGCACAGCAGCTACGAAAACAAAGTTTAAAACCGTTTCAGTGACTCTCAGTTTTGTACAGACTCCATCGCAGCACCGTGCACTTCATCACCACCGAGGAAAAACACCATCTGCTGAAGATTGTCTGAGCTGACCGGTCAGAGGACGTAGAGCAGAAGATGAACAGTAGTGTCAGAGTGATGGACAGTAAACAGGGCAGCTGGAGGGAAAACGTCCGTCGTTTCAGTGCTGGTGCCGCAGGAGTCCAGCCCGTGGGTCAGAAAGCCAAACGCCCCTGAAATGATTGTCCAAGTCCAATGAAGTCCAATTTGTGATTTTCTGTTTTTTTACAAATCAATCAGCATCCACTCTTCTATAAAACCAGGGACTTTTAAACTGAAAAAAGAAATCTCTCTCATACAGAGACTTTTAAACTAAAGAAATAAAAAAACAGTCTCATACAGGGACTTTTAAACTGAGCAAGTAAAAGCCAGTCTCATAGGAGACTTTTAAACTGGAGAAACAAAAATCCAACTCATACAGGGACTTTTAAACTAGAGAAACAAAAATCCATCTCATACAGGGACTTTTAAACTAGAGAAACAAAAATCCATCTCATACAGGGACCTCTAAATTGGAGAAATAAAAATCCATGTCATACAGGAACTTTTACACTGAAAAAAATCCAAATTTGACTCATACAGGGACTTTTAGGAGAAAAAGATTAATTTCTATATTCCTTTATAATTATTATAATCATTTCTAAAAATGGGAAAGGGAAGTGAGGGGCAAGTTAACTCCTGCCCAAAACTTAAAAAATTCTGAATTTTGACCGTTTTCTATCCATCATAATCGTGTGTAAATATATGTACACTTAATGACAAGTAAGAAAAAAATGCTGAACCGTCTGTAATAAACATCAAAACAACTACAACAACGTTTTTCTAAAACACACAAATTAACGCTAAACCTCACTCATCACAAACCAGACCAGACTCAAACTCTGCGGCTCCGTCCCAAATGGCTCTCTGCTCCCAACGAAGTGCACAACACAGAACCCAGAATACAGGCTTCTGAATCCGAACAGCGCAGACAAACAGCTGTCTGGGCTTCAGCAGCGTTTGCACAGCTGGGCATACAGAGCGCTTCCTAACTCCTACAGCACAATGTGAAGGGAGAAGAGAGGAGCTTCAGATTCAGCCAATGTCTCATCAGGTCCTAATCAGCATTAGAGCATGACTCCACAGAGCTCATTCAGACGGCTTCAAAAAGCTCCAGATCTTCAAAACTGCTTGAAAGCTGCTCTGAATGCTGCAGTGTTGGAGTCTCCTGTGTGAATCAGTGCAGGTTCTGAAGTTTAAATTAGTGTCAATCAAGTCAGTTAAAACTTTTATGTACCTCCCTGTCAAATTTCCAAAGCTCCAGAGGCAAAGATCAGACGTTATATAGCTCTGGAGCTGAAGCTTCAAAGCTCTAGAACTCTCCAAACCTCCAAACCTCCAGGGCCAAAAATCCAAAGTCATAAAGCTCCAGAGCTCTCAGAAGCTCCAAAGCTTCAGGCTGAAGGACTTTTACCTGGTGGTGATGCTTCACTGCTACAGTGTTTGAATTCATATTTGTACTCACTGCAGATCCAAACCCACCTGCTTACCCACAACTCCACTGTGCTCTTCACCTGAGGAGGATGTGATGCAGAAAGAGACGTAGCATGCAGATGCTGAAGCTCTGTTCCAGAAACAGGTTGTCCCAGGTGGAGGGTCGGTAGGAGGAGCAAGAGCACAGATGGAGACAGTATGAAGGTCAGGAGATGCAGCAGAAGGCATGGTCAGTGTTACCATTAGCAGGGTCAGTGTTAGCATTAGCGGGGTCTGAATGGGCAGGTCAGTCTGGGTCAGTCTGGTCAGAGCTGCAGAGAAAATATTCCAGGTGTAGAAACAAGCTTCAGAATGTAATTTGTTCAAGATCCAGCAGGGGGTGCCATTGCCACATGCTCAGATGAAAACAATGAAAAATGGGTAAACTGAGGAGCAGTGACTGTATTTACATAACAAGCTGGAGGCCACGCCTCTGAAAAGCCCCTGTGCTCAAAATCCCCGCCCCCCAAATCCCATCATGCTCTAATGTTCGAGTCTGTAGTGTTTCCTTTCTGAGCACACTCAGTCCGCTCATACTGTTCTTGAGCTGTTAAAAAGCTCTGCCCCAAAAGCCCTGGCCCTTCCTGCTCCTCACACCACCGTACTGAGGGAGGTGGGGCAGGAGGAATCGGGGGCGGAGCTGTGGGTGATGTCATGTGTCTCTGTGGGCGTGTCTGGAGCCACCAGCAGGGTACTGCTGTCAACAGACTCCGCTCTCTCCTCCAGGGCGTGGTCTGGTCGCAGAGACAGGACTGGGGGCGGGACTTGGAGAGGTCTGCAGAGGCCGCCCCCTTCTCCACCCATCTGAGGTGCAGATAGATTCAGCCCAGTCCGACCTGAGAGAGAGAGGAGAGAGAGAGAGAGAGAGAGAGGAGAGAGAGAGAGAGAGATTTATTGCATATCCATATTCATTTAACGGGTACATGTAGAGCTGGGCGATAAAAAAAGTTTCATATCGTTCGATATCGTTCGTTTGAAGGCTGATTTTTGCTCCTGAGTGGTCAGTTGCTGTTTTAAACTATTCTTTATGGTCAGAACACGACAAAAACACTTGCCAAACAGTGAAACATTTCACAAATCTCTCATGGGATGGTGGGAGAAAGTTTCTGGTTGGCTGTTTTTACCAGCTGTAATTTTTGTAACAGTCATAATTTAAGAAAGAAGAAAAAAGAGAGAGAGAGAGAGAGAGAGAGAGAGAGAGAGAGAGAGAGAAAGACTGTTTAATCTCTCAGTTGTTTATCTTTCTCCTCTTTTAACTGAAATGTTTCGGTGCATCTCTATTAATGACTACTGAGATACATTATGTGGTCTGATCAATAGCTGATCAATGTCTGATCAACAGCTGCTCCACTCAGGTTTCTTCAGTTTGTATCACAGGACCTTCATTTAGAGTGATTTACAATGATATTTATGTTGTCTGTGTGAAAAACGTCACTGTCAGGACAGACCAGGTGTCAGATCATCTATCAGGGTGATATAATGTTAGTGTGGGCGGCAGTAACAGTGCCTCTGTGGGCGAAGCATTAATTTATAAGATATACCCAATGCCCCGTCCACTTCCCCTCTATCCCACCCCATCGAACGTACCGAGGTCCACGTATAGGATGCTGTCAGGGTTGATTGACGCCTCGTATGGAGGGGGCGGGTCGTCTGGGTGCTGGATGTCGGGGTATTTGTACGCAGCATAAGGGGGCGGCGGCTCCTGGAAGTGGAAAGCCCCGCCCTCTCCATCATCAGACAGGTGCAGCGGCGTCAGGCCCGTCCCGAACGCATCCGGACCATAATCGAACCCGGCCACGCGCCGGCCCAAGTTAAAATGATGCACTGCAGAAAAAAAACAAAGCAGAGTTTTTAATGCTTTTTCTTTTTTACTTTATTGTATTTTAATGTCTCTATCTCTTTACTTTTGCCAAAATATATGTGATTTGTTCACTCGTAATGTCTCTGTCATAATGTTTTATTTGAACTCACGGTTTCCTCCGATCAGCGTCTCTATCCTCTCTCGTCTGCGCTGCCGCAGACGGTGCACCATGAAGAGCAGCAGGGAGAGGATGAGGAAGGACGAGATGCAGCTGACGATCAGACGCATCCCACTGGCCATGGAGTCGAACAGGCTGCTGCCGTCTGAAACACACAGCACCGTCACTACCGTTAAAACAGAGCTCACCATCAGCAGGGCACGCCAAGAGCACCACCTACCATCTACTTACAATTACAAATACCATTAAACGAAACTGCACTGTCATTATACACATACAGTACAGCGAGACACACTCGCTCTGCCTCTCTGGTGCACAAACATTAAGAAAAGGACCTGAGTGCATATGGACTAATGCGTTAACAGATGACATACACATAGTAAGTACAGAAAACAATAAACAGTCAATAAATACAGAATGAACCAGAGACAGAAGTGTACTGATGTGCATTTGTGCAAAATGTGCAAAAATACGTGTGGGTTTCTCAGAGAAAGATCCTGAGTGTAAATTATGATTAACTGTTCAGCTAGACCCGCAGAATATATTACAGGGTCTATGTGTGGAGGTTACTGGGTCTCTGCGTGGAGGTTACTGGGTGTCTGTGTGGAGGTTACTGGGTCTCTGTGTAGAGGTTACTTGGTCTGTGTGATGGAGGTTACTGGGTCTCTGTGGGGGTCACTGGGTCTGGATGGAGGTTATGGGGTCTCTGGGTGGAGGTTACTTGGTCTCTGTGTGGAGGTTATTGAATCTGTGTAGAGGTTATTGAGTCTCTGCATGGAGGCTACTGGGTCTCTGCGTGAAGGTTACTAGGTCTCTGCGTGAAGGTTACTGGGTCTGTGTGAAAGTTATTGGATCTCTGTGTGAAGGTACTGGGTCTCTGTGTGGAGGTTACTGGGTCTGCGTGAAGGTTATTGGGTCTGTGTGAAAGTTATTGGGTCTCTCTGTGAAGGTACTGGGTCTCTGTATGGAGGTTACTGGGTCTCTGTGTGTAGAGGTTACTGGGTCTGCATGGAGGTTACTGGGTCTCTGTGGGGAGGTTTCTAGGTCAGTGTGGAGGTTACTGGCTCTCTGTGTGGTTACTGGGTCTGTCTCGTAGAGGTTACTGTGTGTGTGTAGAAGTTACTGGGACTCTGTGGGGAGGTTACTGGGACTCTGTGTGTAGAGGTTACTGGATCTGTGTGTAGAGGTTATTGGGTCTCTATGGGCATCACTGGGTTTCTGTGGATGTTCTTGGGTCTCTGTTTGAAGGTACCAGGTCTCTGTGTAGAGGTTACTTGGTCTGTGTGATGGAGGTTACTGGGTCTGTGTTTGGAGGTTACTGGGTCTCTGCGTGCAGGTTACTGTGTCTCTGTGTGGAGATTACTAGGTCAGTGTGGAGGTTACTGGCTCTCTGTGGAGGTTACTGGGTCTGTGTGGAGGTTACTGGGTCTGTTTAGAGGTGTGATTGTTACCTGGATCAAGGCAGGTGAATTTGCAGCACTCTTTGGGGTCTTTGCGGAAGTGTGTGCACCCCTGCGGTCGGTCACACAGCGCAGCCACACACATCTCGGGCTCTCCGTCATGGCAGGTGCAGCTCAGACACGGATCATCTCCTTTAGGAGTGAAGTAATAACCCTCACTGACCACGTTGTCCTTTATATCCACGCACGTCTGCCCTACAGACACAGGGAGAAGGAGAGAGAGAAAGAGTGAGGCTTTCAATACTGACCGGCCTGCCTACCTTCATTGTTCGTATATAATTGTGTCATTTTTGCTCTCGGCCCACTACAAAGTCTGTGCACCCCTGGTGCACAGGTGTGTGTGCGTCAGTGTGTGTGTGTGTGTGTGTGAGCGTACTCCTCTTGCAGAGAAAGGGGAACTTCTTGTAACAGTTCTCGGCGTGCCAGCTGTGCAGACCGTGCTCGTTAATGTTTTTGTTTTGGAAGCGCTGAAGCTGAGCGCAGAACACGCTCTCCTGCGTCGGACTGACCTCCGAAAAACTGGTCAAACCCTCCGGGGGCAGGAACACCTGCAAAGAACCTGGGAGACACATTGACATCATCGTTATCATCATCTTTTTGTCACAATACAACATCACGCTACGATACTGTGATATTTACACCATGATACATTTCGTGCCAAATTTATGTAATGACGTTTATACTTCATTCACATGACCTCAGTCCTTTTCACTGTGACTCAGACACTGACACTCCTGACTGAAGCCTCAGCCTCACCGCAAATCAACATCTCAGCACCCTCTTATGGACTGAGAGGGCAATGGATTTAGAAATCCAATAAGTCTACCAATGGGCTTAAACATAACAATAAAATAATAAAAACAGATACTCAGGCTTCTCCAGGCTGACACTATCTTCTCACCCAAACTATCACGATGTTCCATGTATGGGACTTTATATAATGAGGAGTGAGCAGTATGTTTTTAATTTAAACAGTGTTTACATACCACATCAAACCAGAGTTACTATTGTCCACTAAAATGGTCACTAACGTGAATATTTGCATATAAAATGTGCTTGTTAACTGTAATAAAATTAATAAGATATTTCTCAAAACAACAATTGAATCAACACTATAACGTTAATTGACAAATGGAAAACCAATAGAAAAACAGAATTAAGTTTTTTTTTCAGTGAATGAAGAGTTTATAAGTGTGTTTGTATGTTTAGTATTTAAGGAAAGCTGGAGCCGAGCTGAGCTCAGGCACTGAGTCACTGCTGTGTTCATTTTATTATGCACTTATTAAATACCACAGCTATCAAAGCGTTCATCAGAATACTGAAGACTAAACCTGAATATAAATTAAACTAAAACTATTACAGTTCAGAAAATACAAACTAAACTAAAACTGTTACTGTTCAGAAAATACTAAAACTATCACTGTTCAGAAAATTAAAAACTAAACCAAAACTGCTACTGCTCAGAAAAAAAAACTAAAACTGCTACTGTTCAGAAAATAAAAGGTAAACTAAACCTATAAATACATAGAAAAAACTAAACTAAAACTATTACTGTTCTGAAAATAAAATCTAAACTAAAACTGTTTAGAAAATAAAAAAATATTAATGCACCTCTAAGAGTAACCGAAACTAACTGAACTCAAACGCCAAAACAAAAAACCTAAATAAAAATAAAATCTAATGAAAAATTCAGAACAATAAGCCTTCATCAAACTCCCTTATTTAAAAAACATAAGCTTTAATGAGAGCTCCTATCTCAGTAAAGCATGAGATGTTAAACACCAGCACTGACCTTTGTAGGCCACCTCCCAGCGGCCCTCCAGGGAGCGACTCTGGTTAGTGATGACGTACTGATACCCCACCCAAAAACTGCACAGATAAAATACACAGAGAACATCATCACTCACGGCAGTTTACATAATAACACAGTTACATTCTACACCATTTAAGGTGGAACGGAAAATTCAAACGTGAGGCGCCAGAATGTAACTGATGCCTATTTAGGGTGAATGGAAAATTAAAACTGCGTGGGATTGAATTTTGTTAAACGCGGTGCTGCTGGTTGTTTATTGGCTGTTCCAGCTTAGCATAGCTCACCGTTCTTCCTCTGTTTATATCGTGTGCCTCGTGTGAAGTGCACTTACTTGCACTGGTCTTTGCGTTCACACACTTTTTCGTCAAAGTCCACCTCGATCTTGAGGATGAACTGCAGCTCCTCGTTGGTGACAAAGGTGGCGAGCGAGCCGTTCACTCTCTGACACGTTTCCACCGCCTGCCAGTAGTTCTCATTCCGCAGATATACTTTATAACAGCTCGCCGTCTTCTCGTAGTGATGCCAACCGCTCGGACACTTCTCTGCAGGACACAGCAGAATCAGAGCTTAGAACAACTAAACAACATTAACAATGACAACAACACCACCACCACCACCTTTTTTTAATTAAATATTCCAGCAGTATACAACATTCCTGATAAGAGATAAACACTCTGAGCTTTACCGCATATAATCTGTCAGACAAAAAACTAAAAGGATAAAAAATAAAAAAGTTGTTTCCTCTGTCCATTTTTTAATTTAACCCTATTAGACAGTGAAACAGCCTTTAAACACTACACAGCGCAGAGTTTAAGCGACAGTCACGTGCAGAAGTTTGGGTGCACCTGGTCAAATAACAACTTTCTGCTAAATTCAGTGCACTATTTTTGCTAATTTGACTTTAAATATAAAATTTAAACCCAGTAAATAAACAGTTATTGTGTACTAAAATGTGCAGAAGTGTGCTTTAAGCTACAGTAGAGCAACGCCCCCTGTAGGACTCACTGTTGAAGCGCACTGGCTGAGCCACGCCCATCACATCCTCCACCTGCTCAAAACTGTTTCCATAGCGATAACGCGCCTCCTTCATAGCTGAGGACAGAAGAAACACAGTTAGAAATATGCAGTAGCAGGTTTTGTGTGTGTGTTTATTCAAATGCAAATTTTAAAATGCTAATTTAACTGTGTATTTATAACTGCATTATGTAAGATATATTTTAAATTCAAATACAACATGTGTTTGTATTTGCATTTGCAATCCTGATTCACTTTGTTTGAATTTTCACTGCCAATCAGGCACTCCTGTCAATCAAACGCTGTATTCTAATGATATATTTTGCTTGTATAAGCACAAACACTTTCTGCCTATCTGTGTAGAACAGACTTAACAGAATCAACATTTGAACACAGAAAACTAATAGTTACATCCCTAATGTAAAAAATGCTGAAACTTTAAGAACATACTCAAATAGCTGAATTATACATACGTGGACAATCCAGTTCGTCACTTTTGTCCTCGCAGGCAGTCCAGCCGTCACACTGCCAGGCCAGCGGGATGCACTGCATCTTCCCACTGCGACAGGCGAACTGCCCGGGGTTGCAGCGCTGCTCTAGTGTGCACACAACGACATATATCGTTATATACAGGTTGGAAACAAAAGGGTTAAAATCTTTATTGTAACTTCACTGTAAAATCAGCAGCAGTGACGAGTCTCTTACCTGAGAGCAGCCGTGCTACAGCTACCCGCCCACCTGCGGGAGAGATCAGCACACAGTCATACAGAATTAAAGCAACATGACCAGTTACAGTCAGTCGAGACGTTTGGCGATGTTTCCTTGTGTAGCTTTAGCGCTGAAGCTAATGCTGCTAACAAGTAATTGAAGCTTTTACCCCACCAATTAGCATGATGCTAACTGCATGCCTAAATCATCCTACTGATTACTGATCTGATTACATTCCCAGTCTGAAAGTTTAAGTATGTTCTGCGCATGCGCGTTCACGTCACAGTGAAAGTTTACAGCATTCAACATGGTCTGCAGAGGAGACAAAGTTTATGCTTTTAAAAGATGGCAGTGGGACGGGCATCCAGCTTATGTGTCTCAGATCATGACGTCTTCTAGGGGTGCGGGAAAAAAACGATTCTTAGATGCATCGCGATGCGGACGTGGACGATTCTGAATCGATTCATTCTACGTCAAGAATCGATTTTCTAAATATTTAATTTATAACGTAATGTTGACGGAACGCAAAGGGCGGAACTTGGAAGTGGGTAAGTGCAGCGCCCGGACAGCCTGTGGCGGCACATAACAAAAACACAACTGGATGAGTGAGAAATCCGACCGGCTCCCTCTGCATTAAAAGCCAGGTTAGGTCAGGAGTCACAACACAAATGTTAAGAAGAGCCATTTTGTCCTTTCAACAAAAATCAAACCACCTTGGGGGCCACAACATTTAATGTCCAGTATGTCTCAGTATGTGTTAATGTCCTAGTATAGACTAAACAATATAAACGAAAACGCGGACTTGCTCTGTTCTGCTTTAAGCTTCAGCTATAGCTGCTTTTCTTCCATCTCCGCCAGAAAACTTTCCTCAAAAGTTGAATAGTTTCTTGTAAAATGTCTTTTAGCTTTCGGCTGTTTTACGAGGCTGAATTCGCTTCTCACTCGCCGGCTTCTTGCTGAACTTTCCCGTGCCACCTTAAATTATGCCTGAGGCGCCGAAGGTAAATGCGGCACCATTTAAGGTGGAACGGGAAAATTAGAAAGAGAAGCGACTTCATCTTCGCAGCATTTTAAGTGTTTGACAGTCTCTCGTTGCAGATTTAACGTATCAGGAAACCAACTGCGCTGCTTATAAATCCGAATAAGTCCATTCATCTCCAAATGTTCGTCTGTCTTTCTCTTTTCCTTTTTCGTTTGCTACTAGCCAAGCGAAACCTCGTTGCTAGGTGACCTGCAGTCTGCACGCCAATTCTCAGTCGTTGAAAAACAGGGCTTTCACGCTATGTTGCACACGCCCTGTCTCGAAGATATTTTACTGACAAAGCGACCCCACCCCCCCCCAACTCTCTACCACGAGACCAAAAGCAAAGTTATAAAATCACTAAAGAAAACGGGCAGGACGGCTATAACGTGCTGCATGGTCATCCATTACCACTGGATCTTATTTCACCATAACAGCGCATTTTTATCACAGATGAGTGGCAGCAGCGTCTCCAAACAAGAGCAGTTAATAAGAGCTTTCCAGTTCACTTGCCACATCACTTCCATTTGTTTTATTAATAAAAGATATTGGACATAAATGCATTATGGATCATTAAAAATACTTTGCTTTAAAAGTACCAGGTCCTCACACAGTGAGAAAATAGAAATCATGTATAGAAAAAAAAGATGCATCGAGATGCATCGATAATCTTTTTATAATCGCATCGCAGCCCTCTGAATCGTAATCAAATCGAATCGTGAGGTGCCTAGAGATTCCCACCCCTAACGTCTCCCTATCGCCCTTCTTTAAACTACATTAACTACTAATTACATGTGAAGTATGTTTTCCTGAGTTTGACATCATTTTAAAGTAATTAAAAACACAAGCACTGCTTACTGCTACTCGTCCCACTCTGACTGGACTCGTGATGCTACGTGATGCTACGTCATGGTAACGTCTACACCAGTGGTTGCAACCCAAATGTTAAGAAGAGCCATTTTGTCCTTTCAACAAAAATCTAACCATCTTGGGAGCCACAACATTTTATGTCTGTTTCACCATCTTAGCTGTAAATATGTCATAGCATGTGCTAATGTCCTAGTATAACCTAAAAATATAAAATAAACGAAAACGCAGACTCACTTTGCTCTGTTTTAATCTTTAGCTCAGCCATAACCACTTTTCTCGCATCTCCGGCAGGAAACTTTTATTGTAAAAGCAGAGCTTTATTTTGCTGCAGAGGAGGATTATTTTATTTGTACCTAAAAATCTAATTCTGCTGTCGAGCCACAACAGGGCAGTAAAAGAGCTGCATGTTGATGTCCCCTGGGCTACACTAAGGCTGCATTCACATTGCAAATGAAAGTGGCTCAAATCTGATTTTCTCACTGAATCACAGAAACATCAGCCTAAATGTTTATGAGGTCTCAGCAGCCCAAAATTATGACGAACGTCGAGTTGAATTGACGTAAAAGTCGCATGAATTTCGATCTGGCTGTTCAGACTGAGTCACACTGCTGCACATCAGATATGTAACGGATTTCAGTACCACATATGAAAGTGTCCCAAATCGGAATTGAAAGTGTCAGATTTTTGCTGTTCACACAGACACATCTCTGTCACATATAAAGAAAAAGATCAGATTTGGGCCACTTTTACCTTCTGTGTGAACAAAGTTCTCTACGCATGTGCCTAATTTTGGATCAGATTACTTTTAGTGTGCATGTAAACAGAGATTTCTATCAGACTGTTGAGAGTGAGCATAAACACCTCAGTCTTCAGCTGTAATCAGAATAAATTCAGTCGGATCAGCAAAAATCTCTGCGTGTAAACAGACTCCGTTCTCTACAAACATGGACTGAAGTTCAGCTGACTGATAACAGTAGGTCAGAACTGTCAGGGTCAGAGCAGACGTGAGCAGAACGGCTCCTCCAGAAACAGGAGACGGAAAGTAAACAGCAGCAGGCTGTGTGTGGTTTTGTGCATGACCCTGATGACCTCACCACCTGTCCGACTGACCACACGGCAATCTGACCACTCAAAGAACGCTAAGTTTAGTCAGGGCCTGCAGTTCGTCCTGACCGATATAACATTTATATAAAATCGATAAAATCGAACGATACTAGAACTGATATCCAGTTACTTTAAACCTGGGGCTCTTTAATAAAGACAATGGTTCTATATAGAACAATGAACACTCAAAGAACCCTTTGCATAATTAAAGGGTTCTCTGCATCATTGTTCTTCAGACTGTTGGAGATTGTGCTATAGATGGTTCTATATAGCACCAAAAAGGGTTCTGCTATTTTTATGATATAAAGCTTGTTACAATAGCAAAGCCCTTTTTGGTTCTTTATTTAGAACCCTTTTCGAAAAGGTTCTATATAGAACTACATACAACACATTCTCCTTCAACCTGAAAAATCTTTCCACCATGCAGAGAACCATTTAGTCACACAAAGGATTCTTTGAGTGTTCATAGTTTTCTTTATTAAAGAACCCTTGAAGCACCATCATTTTTAAGAGTGTACTGTATGAAATCAGGAGGAGAAAAACACTGAAAAGGGGAAAAAAAAACAAAAAAAAAACAACACTAAAGACCACCACACACTGGACGCGCTGTGCGCTTCACACATTGTAGCGTCATGTAGCAGATTTCCACAACATACACAGAAAAGCATACTCTAATTTATTATGGTAAGGACAAATACGGTCATATTGCCAAGCTGTATTTCTGAGTATATTACAGATCTCGTCAGTAGGTAAAGAACATTAAGTGATTATATGCTTCATTAAGAGAGAAGAGAAATCTGTGCTGCTTAATTAGTGCCGAATGTGAATGTTGAATAGAAGTCAATGCAGTCAGAGTTTAATCAGTTTTATATGTGGTTGTATTACTGCACTGTGTCAGAAAGTTATGATAAGTATCGTTTAGCGTGAAAATGTCTTTAAATATCATTCAGCCCTGCTGGATCTTAAAACAGCAAATGTCTTTCAGCTGGTCTTCAGCTCAGTTTGTGTTTGGGGTGTAAATCAGAGCCACTGTTCTGTCCACTCTGGGGGGGCTGGGTGGAGTGTGAGGGGGGGGCAGTATGTGGATTAGACCCATCAGCCTTAGAGCTCAGTAACTGCAGCAGACACTAACACCACTAACCCTCTAACCTCCTCACTCACCAACACCTGTTACACTGACCACACACACACACACACACACACACACACACACACACACAACAGTGTACAAAAGTCCAGGCACCTCTAACAAAACAACATCTAGTTCAGTAAATCTAAACTCTCTCATCTCCTGGATTAGATCATTTGAGAGTTAGTGTGTCCATGTCATAAGCCACGCCCCCTCCCCACCCACTTTACTCTGATGATTATGTGGTTTCAGTGAAGGACGGCAAATGAGAGACGCTCTGTAAGGAGTGAAAGTCGAATCAAACACACAGATTTACATTTACATTCACTGGCTGTATACAATCATTTATGCTGTTTATTAATACTGAATGGAGTGAGTGCAGCGTTAACTCTCTCAGCAGCGAATCTTAAACAGCAGAATCAGATGGTTCTGGTAGAGCTTGTTATTCTGGTTGAACCCAACACACCAACCACAACGTAAATATACACACACAATAACGTACATAACACAGATACTGACCTTCTGGAAACACCTTCTGTGAAATACAGAAAACGTGGAGAGACTCTTTCTGTTATTCTGCTTCTAAACTGTGGAGCTCAGTTCACCTTTTATTAGACAGTCAAGCTCAGAGCTCACTTTTAATAAACATCTGAAAACGCAGCTCTTTAACTCAGTGCTTCATTAAAAGTCTATGTCTCTTTGTTCTTTATCTCTTTAATATGATCTGTGTTATTGTCTTATGTGATTGTACATCAATACTCATAGCTTCTTCTGTTTATGTTATGTTTTATCTCCTGTCTGTAAAGCACTCTGAGCTGCCACCAGCATGAAAAGTGCTCTATAAATACAGATATTGTTGTTATTATTATTAGGGATGCACCGATAACACTTTTTCCTTTCCGATATGGATACCTGATACCTGATTCCAATACTAACTCTATCTAATCTATACAGCAGTGATGAAACAGTTACTGGTTTCTTAGTAAAACTACAGATTTTTATTATCATGAAAACTGTGGCTGATTACCACACTTTGAAAAACACATGCTGAATTCTGTCCACAATTGGCATCAGTCCCCCAGACACAGCATACAGTGCGGGTTTATTCTGCATCAGAGAAAACCGTATCCCACCGGAGCGCATATCTGTAAGTAGCTCCGTACACAAAACTGCAGAATGTTCTGACAGCTTAATTCTCAATCAAAAATACTACCAGCATTAAAACTATGAAGCCTCTTATTCACCAGTTTCTTGTACGAATCTGCCCATTCCTCAAAAGGTGCGGCAGTAATTATAACGCCTGAGGAGCCAGAATGTAACCGCTGCACCATTTAACATGGAATGGGAAAATCTGAACAAGAATCTGGCGAACAGGAAGCCAACTTCAGCTTCATATTAAAACTGCAGGTAGGACAGTTTGATAGTCTAAATGTCCTGATCAGAAAATGTTTCCACCATTAAAATAATAATGAGGATATTCTGAGCGCCTAAATCAGCTCATCAGGGGGAAAGCAGTGATAGTAAACTGAGACTGAACCAAATTAACATTAAAAACATTAAAACATTTGACCCCTTCGTGGTCACATGGTGCCAACTTTGTTACTGCACATTTAATATCGTTTACATCTGTTTACATTAAGTATTGGCTCTGTCAATACTTTAATGTTTAGGCAAACAAAAACAGCTGCAAATTTTATTTGTGGTTTTCAATATAAAAAAAGGAAAGACAAATGATTTCAGTTTGTGTATCAGTAGTTTTAGAACATTTTCAGCACATTTTAACAATACTGCAATAATACTGATAACTGGGATAGTTATCTTTTGAGTCCAGATATTTATACATTTCCACTTTTCACTAATAAGACAGAACAAGCTTGAATGAATGGCATTGACTTGTGTGTTTAATATATATAATATATATATATATATATATAAATAAGATTCTACAGACCAATCTATTTTTATAAACTTACTATAAATAATTAGTATTTACTATTATATAATTATTAATAAAGACCATCATCATTAGTCTTATACATTTGTCCCTAATTATTATTATTATTATTATTATTATTAATCACAACCACGATTTAATAAAGTTATAACAAACATATTATACTTTATAAACATATTATATTCTCTTAAAGCTGCAGACAGCATGTTTTCTGACAATACAGTATGATACATTACAACACTGTTCAGTACAGTACAATACATGATGACACATTATGATATTGTACGACACTGTATGATACATTAAATATTATACAATACTGTATGATACATTACAATACAGTATGATACAGAATGATACTGTATGATAACGTAGCTACCCCTAACATCGGCCGTCCCCCATTATCAGCCACTTGCACGTATTGCGCAATTCCTCTCTCTCTCTCTCCGCCAATTGCTCAGGCGAAATTCAAAACACATAAGCTTGCGCCTTACAAGGGCATTTAAACTTTATTCTAGCAAAAAATCATATCTGAAAACAATATTTAAGTATTACTAATAACGTTGTAATTCTGCGTGTACAAAACCGCATGGAACACAGCTCATTTTCATTCCGTGATGGATATTCGTCTGTGCAGAAAGTTAGCTTATCGGTTAGCTTTCTCTTCTCTGAGGTAAAAAAAAAGTTTGCCACCATGGTGGTATTACGTATATGGCGAAGGGTGCCCACAGAGGACAAACTTAACCTCACTGTAAACCATTGTAAAGTATTGAATCTGGTAGGAATGATGCATAAACGCAATTTCTCATTTGACTGGCACAATCAGGCATGCAGCAAAGAGCTGTGCTCTATACTTAGTTAAACAAGCAAATCAAGCTGAATAATGAAACAATACAATAACATCACCTTTTACTAACGAATATATACATATATTTTATGTTTTTTACAATTTTATACGCTGAATTTTAGGCTGAAACATGAGATACGGAAAACCGGAAGTGAGGTGGCCGATATTGGGGGACCCCCATCGTTCTAGTGATACTAGTGTCAAAGTAAACAAAAACGTTATTATTGAAAAAAACGTTTTCTCATCATGTCAAATGACTCTTGGACATTAATCTACACACGTATCTCTCCCGAAAAACACTGATTTGGGTGAGTAAAGTGCTTTCATTTATTTACAGTTTGCTTAGATTCCCGATGTTTTGTTTTGAGGTGGCCGTTAACAGGGGTACCTACGCTATAGTACAATACTGTATGATATATATTGGAATACAATTTGACAAGAGTACAATACAGTATGACACTACAATATAGTTCACTACAGTACAATACTGTATCATACATCATGATACTGTATGATATAGTACAATACATTATGACACTGAGATACATTATGACACTGTGTGATACTGTACAATACAGTACAATACTGCACAAAACATTATGATACTGTATGATGTAGTACAATAAAGTACAATACTGTGCTGTAAAATACAGTATGATACCATACGACACAGTACTATACCGTACTACAAAATGATTAAGTACAAGACATTACGATACAGTATGATATTATTAATATTATTATTATTATTATTATTATAATATTTATTTGTATAGCACGGGAGTGATATGATCTCTCTGTATTGTGTTTGTTAGGATGTAACAGCTTGTAATAAATGCATAAACAAGTTTCTTTGCGTTGTAAAATATGATACTGCATCATACTGTATGATACATTATAATAGTGCACAAAGTGTTATATTAGGGATGTGTACAGCTGCTCTAGTAGGGTTGAAAGAAGAATCATTTCATACTGAAACCACCATTTCTTGAAATCACAATAGCTGCTATTTTCATTATAGAATACATTATCAACATTTTTGGGGGAAATTTAACCTAATAACACCGAGGTAGTGAACAATCAGAAACTACCAAACACCTCTGTGCTGTATATGTGACATCACAACCACCAACAATCTGGCAGTCTGGCGCTTTCAGTGTTCAAAAAGTGAATATTCTGCTCCTCTTAGCCAAAATGTATTTTAATGTATGCATTTTACAGAAATTAATTTATAGAAAACAACTGCATTTAAATCCCAATCATAATACTGATGAGAGAAATCACAGTATTTTCCCCAAATTGTTCAGCTCTGTACTGGAGTCCTTGGTTCATCATTCACAGTGTCAGTATTCGTAAACTGAAATCGTTACATTCCATCACAGGAAGATGGAGTAAATACACAAACCGACAACTCAGTCAAATGACACTTTTCTGTTGTAACAGTAAAATTATATAATTATAAATTATATGTGAAACACGAGTGTCTGAACACGAGCACTAACAGGGACGCTTTGCTGCGTTCGTGACTGAGGAGAGGCGGCCCGACCGGTTTTGTGCTGCTTTAGCACAAGCTAGGCTAACTACTCTAGCTGATTAATTTATCACGTTCAGAAACAGTGGAATCACAGTCCTGTGATAAACTAACATGCTGTACAGAGATGACAAGTCTTCAAACTCTGTGTCAGGTGTAGTTCAGCTCTTCAGCTCATCTGAAGACGAAGCCTCAGTTAAAGTCTCACCAAAACCAGCTGATTTACCTTGGATGTCTATCGGAACACCAGCACTTTCAGCTACAGGCGAAGTGACAGCCCTACATTCACTTCAGCTGAAGTTTACGGTTTTTAACATCAAGTTTTTAACCCTTTATGCATTCATTATACAGTTCACCACACTGTACGATGTGTTATGACACATGACGTTATTATATGTTGTGATACCATATGTTATGATGCAATATAATAATATGATACATTACGATACATTGTTATGATACTGTATAGTACGATATGTCACTATACAGCACAATGTTATGATATGGTACAGTACGATATGTTACAACACGGTACAACATTATGATATGACAGGACAATATGTTCTGGTATGTTACAATACAGCACAACTTTATGATACGATACACTACGATATGTTACATTACAGTATAATGTGATTCGATACAGTACGATGTTACAATACAGTACAGTATGTTACAATATAGTCCGATGTTAAGCTACGACACAGTACGATATGTTACACTACGGTACGGTATGTTTTAAAACAGTACGATGTTAACATACGGTACAGTACAATATGTTACAATACGACGTTGTGATACGATACAGTACGATGTGTTACAATAAAACATGATGTTATGATACAATACAGTATATGTTACAATACTGTACGATGTTAAGATACGACACAGTACGATGTTACACTACGGTACGGTATATTGGAATACAGTACGATATACTGTAAGTGTTACGGCACAGCCTGATGTTATGACAGTTTACATTGCTTGTCTGGCTCCTACAGTGAGTGTGTACTGAGTGCTAAGTGTGTACGGAGTGCTAAGTGTGTACTTAGAGCTAAGTGTGTACTAAGTGTTGAGTATTAAATGTGTACAGAGGGTTAAGTTAGGTTTTAAGTGTGTACTGAAGGTTGAGGGTTTCTGTTCTGGCCTGCTGTGTTAATAACAGACTCAGCTCCACTACAGGACCGTTTACTTTCTAGCCGTGCTGCTAACGGGCTGTACCTGCTCTCGGTTACCGGCCAGCGGCGCTGCTGCCTGTCTGTGCCCTGGGAGTAGACTGCCCTGTACGCAGGTGTAGACTGCCCTGTACCCGGCGGTAGACTGACCTGTGCCCGGTGGCTCCGTGATGATGGCGCCCAGCAGCGCGATGAGCAGCAGCGGAGCGGTACAGCGCGCCTTCCCCCACATCGAACGCTCATTCCGGGCTCCGGGGGACAGAAGGGCCGCGGAGAGACTGCCCTCCGCCTGGAGCTCCTCAGGACACCGCGGGGTCCGACCTGCTGCGCCTTGGTCCTGCTGTTGCTGTCTGCTGCACTTGTTTGCTTGCTGTGTGTTTTGTTTGTGTTTATTAGTCTGCGTTCCGTCTCTCTCCGCTGCAGCTTCAGCTCGGCCCAAAACACAACAAGATGGCCGCGCTCTCCTCCATCAGCCTCAGCGCCCTCTACCCCGTAGCCAATCAGCGATCAGCGAGGGCGGGCCTACAGTGGTCTTGGCCTATCAGTACACAGCGGGGGAAGAGCTACATGAAGAACAGCCTATCGAAAAACAGGAGGGGGCGGGACTCTCTCAGCTGCTCGGCTGCCATTCAGACGGGGTCTTTTCTAGTGATTCGATTCTTTAAATGATTCGAATCCGTGATGCGTTCACGAATCTGTAAACAAACTGAGCAGATTTATGTCATTTTAAAATGTGCACATTTTGTCCGTTTTAAGCTTGTTCTGAGGCACTCGCGGGAGGGAATGTCATATTTAAACCCTGTCATGTGATTTAATATGTAAAATACATTTCATATTCAGTAAATTAAAGTGGCTCATCAGTTTATTGTAACGTGTACAATAGAATAGTGGAAAAAACATTATTTAGACTAAACATAATCAGATGTAAGTCCATAAAACTATATAAAAACTATTCAAGAGGGATTGAGGTCAGAACTCGAATTCTCTCACATACTCTTAACAGTACGTAACATACCGTATATGTATTTTATTTATAGTATTATGTGTATATATTCATGTATATATAATTCATAGATATATTTATAATTCTAATATCTAATATCTAATATCTATCTATCTATAATCTATCTATATTGACTGGAAAAGATCTTGGCTTTTTTGCTTACAAGTTTTGTATCCCAACAAGACTCCCCTGCTAAAAAAAAAAAAAAAAAAACAAAAAACACAGAAACCATTCAGTGTTTCTGTTGGTTCTGTAATTTGTCTTTATTGGGTTGATATCACCATGTAAAGGATCCTAATGGTTAACAAGTAACCAATGAGTGATTCTAGATGTATCTAAAGGTGTTCTACAGGAAACTAGTGGTCTCAGTTGAAACCCTTAAGCCAATTCTCATTAGAAATCAAATCCATTAGGTTTTAATCCAAATTGTTTCCAATGGTCCTTTTTCAGCAGGGCAGACAGATACATTTCAACAGTCCTCCTGAAATATATCCTGTAAGTCTCTGTTGTCAAAATGTACTGACGTGTGTTCGTTCAGTCAGGAGGAAGTGAATCGGTGATTCATTTGATATTATGACTGAATCTTTGAGTCTCTTTTCACTGAAGTTTATTTCCTTTCTCTCCTGTAAATCAGAGTCTCAGTTTTGTCTTTTGCTTTACTCTTCAGTATGTTGTTAATTATTTTATTCTATTCACAAAACATTTTACACATGTTCAGCCACTGGTCACCTGTTATTATGATCCTTTACACTGTGATATCAACTCATTAAAAAAGCCAAATTACAAAATCATTAGGGACCAACAGAAACATTTTCTATGGGTTTTTTCAGCAGGGCAGTTTTAGGGAAACTTGAGTCTCTCTTTACCTATTTAGCTCTATCTACCTTTTCATTTGCACTCATATTGCATACTGTACATATGTTCTGTTTTTATGCTTGTTAGAATTGGTCATAATCACAACTGCACATACTATATAGTCCATAACATACAGCATATTTTCTACTCTTCTGTTGTTTGTGCTTTCTTTTAAATAGTGCGTAGTATTTATAAAGTTTGTATAGTAACTTGTAGTTCAGAGTCAGAATTTGACTGTGCAGTGTGGTTGTTTCTCTGAGCACCTGACAGCAAACTCTCGAATCTCGAACTGAAAGACCCAATCCCATTTCTTCTTTTCACCCCTACCCCTTGTTTTCGAGTGTCACCCTAACCCCTTGGAACCGAGTGGTTGAAATCTTGCCCTACAAAATGGGACAACCCTTAAAATAAAAAAATAAATAAATAAAAATTGCTTCATTAACAGGCTTCTAGCGGTGCTCTGTAGGCGACCCGGCCCGTTTTCAGTGATAGCAGAGAAGGGAAAAGTTCAGCAACCTCACTGCTGGGCTTAACTTACATTTAGGGCATCATATGCTTTCAAAGAGGGGGATATGATAATTATTTACTATCGCCCGCCGCTAATTTTTTGGTGATACGAAGCTGAAGTCAGCTATTCACCAGCTTCTTGTTCGAGTTTTCCCGTTCCACCTTTAATGGTGCAGCAGTTACATTCTGGCGCTTCAGTCGTCAATACTGCTGGACTATTTAAGGTGGAACGCGAAGGTTAGCTGGCTAGCTACCGAGACATTAGCATGCTATTAGCGATTTTTATGCTTGTTATGAAGAAAACAAACATAATACATTGAAACGACATTAAACTAAGATAATATAATGGTTACCGTAATTTTTAACAGAGAAAATACATTTGTGGGTTTCTTTGGTCGCTCACATGGCAATCTTGCCGATTTTTTCTTTTTTTTTTCTCATAACACTCCGTTTGGAGTGTGTCTCTGAAAAACCTCAGTTTGGAGGGCCATGTAGCCCTAACACTTTGCCCTACCCCTCCATCTCAACAAAAATTGGGACACCCTAACCCTAGACGTGATCGCGCAAAACTAAGGCTAAGGCTAAGGGCCAAGTGTTAGGGGCCAGGGGTGAAATGGGATTGGGCCAAAGTGTTCGCGTGCAGTCAGCAGCGACACACAGTACCGCCGGCGGCCAGCAGAGGCGCTGTGACGCTGAACTGAACTCACTACAGCGGTCAGAAACGCAGCGGAACACGAGGGTGAAACTCAAATGGCTCCATGCTCCCTATGTAGTGCACTTAAGAGGTAATGAAATAATGCCTTCTGTATTCACATAGTGCACTAATTATCCAAGACGCCCACTGAAATAAGCTGTATGTTTCTCTTACAGGCATTTAGTGAACTATTTGATTGTAAAAGTCATTATTTTTCTCACGTATGTAGTGCACTACGTAGGGAGTAGGGAGCCATTTGTGCTTCAGCCGAAAACTAATATTCCACAAACGAGTCAGCAGCAGTTGGAAGTGTGCAGTGAGGAAGGCTGAAACAAACTCAAAAGCTCCAAAGAACATAACTAACTTTGACATCTTTAACTGATGACTGAGAGTAACATAACGAATTAGAACTATGACTAAAGCCACGTCTGTGATAAACTCTGCAAATAAGTGCAGCGATCAAAAATTAAACTTTGTCTTTATTTTGTCTGTTCTCAGTGTTTTAATACAACCCAGAGCAGCAGTGTCAGACTGAATCATCTGTATAGAGACTGTATACATATATGTTTACTTACGTGTCATTATTTTATTCCTGAAGCTTAAAAGATTTTGGATAAAAGATCAAATTTACAGCTCAATGACTGAACTATGAGCATATTCAATGTTAGCTAAACTTTTATCTACTGTATTAACCAACACTATGTTTAGTGATAAATAAAGCTAAAAAAATAAATAAATAAGATCAATTAGCCCCATAATTAGCTTTAGCATTAGTTCAGCTTTTGTCACTAAAACCTCCTCCTACAATAAAAACCTGGCACTTTAACATTGAGCAACAGCAGGGAAATGTAAACATGCTTTCCAAAACACATTTTATATTAAGTCTATAAGTCTTAAGTTTATTTTAATTATTCAAATGTGTTAAATGTTCTCATGTGTTAGATTCTAAATGTTCCTTTGTGTTACTGAATATAGCCTGTCAGCACAAGTGTAGTGATTCAGTCGATTTCAAAAGAGTCGATTCTTCGACTCCAGCGCGTCTGGGAATCGGGGTCGATCTCTCTTGGCCAGTGATTCTGAGAGTCGAAATTCTTGAAGTCGACTTTTCGACTCTGTTTTCATCATCTGTTCGAGAGTCGTTTTGAAGAAGGAGTGTGTAACGCAGCAAGCAATCTGAGCAGCGAGTTTATTTAATTATCAACTTTAAACGCTGTGAGCACATATGAAGCCGATTCACCTCGCATTTGCCAGATTTTTATTCAAAATGTGTGACATTAAAAATGGCGCTGCAGATACAGTCTGGCTCCGGCGCACCGTTAAGGTACCTAGTGAATCATTTAAGGTGGAACGAAAAAGTTGAATAGGAAACCAACTTCAGCTTTGTGAATAGTGAAACAATATAAACATCCAGCCGCTCCGGACTGAAACTTTTGAGAAACTATTAATTTACCAGCCTTATTTGAATGTTCCATTCCACCTTAAATGGTGCTGCAGTTACACTGAAAAGTTGGCGAATACAAAACTAACATAAAGTTACCCCATTAAATGCATTAATTTACCTCAACAAATGCATTCTCAATAGTCATTAATTTACCTCAACAAATGCTTTAATTTATCTCAATAAATACATTAATTCACCTCAATAAATGCTCCTTAATCATAAAAACATTCTCTTGGAGTTGTTTAATAAGCAGCTAACAGCACAGCAGAGAAGCTGTTGAACGCGTCTCACTGGCTGATCTAACTTCATGTCCCAAACCACACACTTCTGTACTTCACCTACTACACTAATGAGTGCACTTCTAAAGGAATGTGCGCTATTTTTACACATTTAGTGAGCTGGTATGCGGTTCGGGACGCGGCGCTAGTAACACAGCGGGAAATCTCCATACTCAAATATATCAGTTCACACACTTTAAAAATTATTTTTTTAAAAAAGCGTGTTTTACTGCCTTTGCTGGATCAGTTTGTCTTCATCTTATTACAAACAGCCACAGCACTGCTGAGTGAACATGATGTTGCTACCAAAATGGTGGCCGCACAACTGTGACGTCATCGCAATTCTATAAGTTACTGAGGGAGGCGGGGCTTCCGAATTCTGATGTATCTTGTTTGTGATGCAATCAAGAGCCACGTCATAATCAGAATTTCTTGTAACCCAAATAAACTTTGCAATGAAAAGCAGCTTCCAGCCTGCAGGCTGAACTCGGGCTGGATCGCTTGCATATGGTCGTGGGCTGATCTGAGCACCGTCATGAATGACTCTGAGGTCCTGAAGAAGCGTGGGTACACGCTGGGCATCAGCCTGGGTGAAGGATCTTATGCCAAGGTCAAGTCTGCTTACTCGCAGCACCTCAAAACCAGCGTGGCCATAAAGATTATCAACAGGAAGACAGCACCACAGGACTTCCTGGAAAAGTTCCTGCCGCGAGAGATGGACATCCTGCCGTCACTGAACCACAGCAACATCGTGAAGACCTTCGAGATCTTCGACACGTCCCAGGGTAAGGTGTACATGGTGATGGAGCTCGCAGTTCAGGGGGACCTGCTGGAGCTGATCAAAGCCCGCGGAGCTCTGCCCGAAGACTTCTGCAGGAAACTATTCCGTCAGCTCTCACTCGCCATCCAGTTCATCCACAACCTGGACATCGCCCACCGAGATCTGAAATGCGAGAACCTGCTGCTGGATAAGGACTTCAACCTGAAGGTTTCAGATTTTGGGTTCAGCAAGAAGTTGGAGTACGAGGGCGACCAGATGGTCCTCAGCAGAACGTTCTGCGGTTCCATGGCTTACGCGGCTCCGGAGGTTCTGCACGGTTTCCCATACGACCCTAAAGTGTACGACGTGTGGAGCATGGGCGTGGTCCTGTTCATCATGATGTGCGGCTCCATGCCTTATGACGACTCCAACATTAAGAAGATGCTGAGGATTCAGAGGGAGCATCGCGTGGATTTCCCTCATTCTGCATCCGTCCCGTCGGAGTGCAAAGACCTCATCTGCAGGATGCTTCACCCCAACGTGGCCAGGCGGATCGAGATTTGCAGCATTTTGGAACACTCTTGGCTCCAGAAGAAATCCAAAGCGTCTGAGGGCATCAGAGCCAGACCATCAAAGGCCTGCCATAAAAACAGGAGCAAGGAGGAACCTAGAACTTCCAAACATGGCCAGGAGAACTCTGAGGAACCTACAGCTGAAGGATCAACACAGTCAACATCAAAATCCGGCCATAAAAACAGGAGAGAAGAGGAACCTAGAACCTCTAAATATGTCCAGGAGAACTCTGAGGAACCTAAAGCTGAAGGATCAACACAGTCAAAATTAAAAGCCTGCAATAAAAACAGGAGCAAGGAGGAACCTAGAACCTCCAAACATGGCCAGGAGAACTCTGAGGAACCTAAAGCTGAAGGATCAACACAGTCAACATCAAAATCCTGCCATAATAACAGGAGAGAAGAGGAACCCAGAACCTCCAAACATGACCAGGAGAACTCTGAGGAACCTGAAGCTGAGTCAGAAACAGAATCCTCTCCAAAGTCTACAGACAGAGCGGGTGGCTCTACGTAAGCAGAATTACCATCGTCCGCCAGCAGCAGCACTGAAGATTAGCCGATTAGCTTTAGCCACCTGTTCATTCGACTTGCGCTGCAAATAATTAAACAAACATCAGCAAAGTTTTGAAAAATCGCTCTTATTTTGAACCAAAACGTCTGCGCATTTATACACTGTACAAAATTATACAAACTCAAACATAATGAACATTCAGAGGGTTTTACAGCCTTTAGCTTTCACCCTTTTGGAGATTTAAAGTCACAGTCCAGGCTTTCCAAACGATTTTACTTTTAACCAAATAAAAGTCACCACACTGCTGCTCCAATATCAAAATGATTAATTCTCTATGCAGTGAAAATTGAACCAGACTCATACTGGAGCCACAGGACTGTGAAAAATAACTAAATATTGTTGATCAAGTCAATATATCTAAATTTTCTCATAATGAGAGAATAATATAAAATTAACCTACTCTGAGACATTTTTACTTGTTGTGTCATCTTAAGTCAAGTTCTAACTGCACTGGGGAATAACTTTCCTGAAGAAATTAAATCATTAAGTGTAAAACTACCTACTAAATAAGACAGTTTTACTGGCTACAATGACATAAAACAGGTAATAATGTCTATAAACAGGTAGAATATTGGGAAATAACAGTTATATTGACTGGATTTGCAGTGTTTAAGACGTGTGTGCTTTTCGTTTGAGTTTTAAGTCTCTGCCCTTCTTCACCAGCAGGGGGCGTTTAGTCCAGTTCACTGTTCAGCATGATCAGAAGTAATCGGACGCTTTCCTCCTCTTGGGCAGCTGCAGCAGGTCGTCGGTGATGGACGTGGGATCGTGCGCGGCGGGCGTTTTGGTTTTGCTGGGCGTGGGCGTTCCCGAGGGCGTCAGAGCACCACCGTGTGGAGTTTTAGAGCTGAGGCTGCGGTGAGAGGGCGAGGGAGTGTAGCTCGCCCGCAGCGCCTTATCCGTGTATTTACTGGATGACCTGTTTACCAGCCTCTGGAGCGCAGGCGACAACGCAGCCGGACTCAGACCTTTAGGGGTCAGACTGTCACAGAGAGAGAAATACGACACATAATCAACATCACTACAGGGGTGAAACACAGGCAGTCCATCTGCACTGATTTTGAAAAGGAATTATTTGACTATATATAATAATACTCAGTACTTTAGTTTAGTATGTGGTCATTTTTGATACAGTGGTACAGGATGTGCCCATGTTTTTGCCAAAATAAAATCATTACTCTATTTTAAAACAGACATTAAACAACCTGCTGTGTGAGATTTTAAACAGAATTAAGAACTGATTTGTGGTGAAATCTGAGATTCTCTGAATCGTAATTAAATGGAATCTCTGTGAATTTTGGGATTTACATCCTTCACAACATGAAAATGAACTCTGGTGCTTTTGCTCTTTCCAGTGTGTCTGTTCTTTCTGCAACAGAACGCTGTTAAAACAGAAGAGCGTTTGGTTCCTGTCTGCGCTGAGTGAAAGAGGTGATGAGGGAACACCCGAGAGTTACCTGGCCAGGTTCTCTGTCACTTTGCGCAGAGCTTCCTGCTTTTTCGCTCTGTTTTTGGCTGCGACTTCATTGGCCATTTTCAGCCCCAGACGCTCTCTCCTGCCGGGCTCTGGAATCTAGACACACACACACACACACACACGTTACTTGAGTGATTAATTCGGAACAAAACGAGACTGTTCAATGTTCTTAAAACTGCATCTCAGACTAAAACACAGCTTGTGCATTATTTACTGTTTTCACTGAAAAAACAGCAAACAGATCCTTAAATCTGTTCACCGTGTACAATTACGGTGATACAGTGTAGCTTAGTTCTGTACAATAAGCAGTATAAATAGTTGTGTATAGTTGCAGTATAGTTCACAGTAGAAAGTATAGCTTTACATATTAACAGTGTTCACATGATTCAGTGTACAGTTAAAGTATATATCAGAGTGTAGAGTACAGTGTGGTGTAACATTATAGTATATTACAGACAACAGTACGTTGTATAGTTCTAAACAGTTGTCGTGAATCAGGGATCAGGTAAGTGAATAAGGTTGAGGGGTTGAGGGGGTGTGAATGACCTTGAATGACGGGCCGTGGCTCCTCTCTATGATCGGCGTTTCTGACCCGTCCAGCCGGAATGGAGTGGACTCGATCTCACCCCATGTCATCAACGGAGACTCGGACACTCCTACAGTACCATGACAACATCATCATCACCATCACCACCTTCATCATCATCATCTTCACGCATAAACATCTTCACACATTCATAGAAATCGGTGAATTAATCTCTGTTAAGTCTCACTGTTAAGTTTCACTCTGAGTGCTTAAGTGCTAATCAGTGTTCTGAGTGTGCTGTAATGCAGAACCAGTCTGAGCTGTGACTGTCCTGATCACTCAGGATTAATTACTGATACTGTTTTACACATGAGCCCTAAATTTAACCCTTTAGAGTAACGCAGTGCATCTGTGTACTGACCCGGCGCAGGTGAGGGCGCCCCCACAAACCCGTAACCGTTCACTTTGGGAGACTCGTGAGGGAGGAGCTCTTTACCATCCGGACCAACTTTCCCCAATTTGAACTAAATACAGCAAAACAAACAAACAAACAAACAAACAAACATCAGCCATGCTGCAGATCAGCTTTACAAACAACTACACACTTATTTAAACTGCAGAGGATCTTTTAAAGATTTCAAGATAATTTTGCTAAGATTTAGAGATTAATACATATTTTTAAAATCCCTTCATGGTGAAGGAATACATACAGAGCGCTGTGGAGCAAAAGAGACCCCCCCCCAAAAAAATGAAAATTATTGTGTGAGGTGTGGGCAGAGTTACCTGTGCGTTCAGAGCGGCAGCCTGCTGGATCTGGGATTTATTTAGAGCTTTAGAGAATGGGTCCACATCGAACCGCGTGTTCTTATAGGCGACCTCGCGTGGCTTCTTAAACACCGTGTCGTCCTTCACACCTTCAAAGGAACACGAACGAACACACACACACACACACTTCTCAATTATTTCTCAATTTTTTTCGCTGGACTGATTGGTTGGATTCTTTTTTTATTGCCACATGTCGTGGTAACTGTATCCGATGCATTAAGATTGAACTTGACAAAGCACAAACATACAACATAACACACACATACAGGAAACGATATACAACACATTGTGTGAGTGGATCCACAGATAATTACATAGTAATTTCATCTGTGTGTTCTCACAGATGCTGTACATCTTACAGAGAGACCGTTACGATATTCACCACTCAGACGAGTTTAGTGACATGGCTGGTACAGACAGTTCTCTGGATGAGAGGAATTATTCTGTAATTATTCTCTTTGCTCGCTTAAGAGAGCACTGAGTATAAATAAAGAGTCAGCTGCAGGAAGTGATGTTCCAATTCCTCTGAAGCTTTACAGACAATTCTTTACAATTTATTACGAGTTTGGAGATCTATATTTCTGTACCAAACTGTAAGAGATGACTTAAGAACACTCTCCACAATAATGGAGGTATAAAACTGGCCCAGCAGATCTCTTCTTACTTTTTTAATTGTCTTAAAAAAGAACAACCTTTGTTATTTTTTTTATATGATCAGAATTGAAGGCCTGCACAGTTGTTTTTTAAAATCTGTGAAAAATACATATTTCAGCAATTGTATATATTACATATTTCAGTTACCTTTTAATTTTTTCCCAAAAAAACTAAAATAAATGGAGAGTTTTGTATTTTCTTTTTTCTGCAGCCCTTTTCTGCTCTGCTGTGTGGGCATGGACCCCAGTGGACTGACTGACAGCCTCAGTGTCAAATTTAAAATAGAAATAACAGAACAGAAATGTGGATGGCGAGCACAGGCAGACCATAACTGCTGCACCAGTTAAGGTGAAACGGAATAATTAGAACAAAAGCTGAATCCTGTTGTGCTCTTCTGTCTTATCGTCTCCACAAAACAACAGGAAATTCAGACGTTAAGTGTGCGTGTTTTCTAAACGTGAGGATTTTAAAGTTTGTATAGCGAACATCCAGTTTCGATCGCTGACTGAAACTGTTTTGATTCAGTCTGTTTTCGGTCAGCTTTGACTGCAGCATTAAATGAGCCACAGAGAAGAAGCACCATCATTTAATCACATTAAGAGCAGTAGTGGTGGTACAGAGGAGGGCCATCCAAACTGATCACTCATATTTATTTTCAATTAAGGATGCATCGATTCGGGAATTCTGATGCATTTTTTCATGTACATATCTGCAAATCTGATACATAAACATTCATAAAATGTAGAAATTGGGACGAAGATCTGAATTATTATCACAGAAAAATTTAAAATTTATTTGTGTAGAGTCATTAATGCAGTATCACTCATCAGGTTATCATCATTTGACCTATTTCTAATCGTGTGGTGGTGCTGTTTACCTTCAGGATAGTACATCAGAGCGTTTTTTGCCTTGTACTCCCACGTCTCCACTCCAGCCTTTGAACACTCCAGCGCCTGCTTCTCCGACGACGGTAGAGCCAGGTTCTCCTCGCGACGCTACAGCAGACAGAACAGAGAATCCACAGTTAAACTACAACAAAGCAGGAGAACCTCAGATACAGAAACACAGGAAACAAACATCTGCATGAACACTGAACTGCAAACACACGACTCACACCTGTCTGAACTCATCCTCTGCCTCGTACAGCCAGGCGTGCTTCAGCTTCTCTTTGTCTTTCGCCAGAGCCATTATCTGCTCAAAGGATGCGTTATCTTCACTTGTGTTTTTAGCTAGAAAACGATCCAAAGAAGGAAGCTCCTTCTCTTCTTCTTTTGCGCCGTCTTTACTTCCTAAAACAGCAAAGAAACAACAGACATCTGACACCAGACTCAACCATTAACTGACAAACACACCATCAGCAGAACACTTTACTGCACAGCACAGACTAAATCACACATCACTAATATAACAGCTCAATCACTAATATAACAGCACAATCACTAATATAACAGCTCAATCACTAATATAAAAGCTCAATCGCTAACGTAACAGCTCAATATTACAGCTCAATCACAAAGATAACAGCTCAATCGCTAAAAGAACAGTTCAATCGCTAAGCTAAATGCTCAATCAGTAAGTTAATAACTAGGTTGCTAAGCTAAATGTGTAAACTGCTAAGACAATAGTTAAATTACTAAGCTAACAGTTCACTTGCTAAAAGCTACAAGTTCAATCAGTAAGCTACTAGTTAAACAGCTAAGCTAACGGTCAAGTTACTGAGATAAAGTATATTGTATCATAATAAAGTGCTTCATGTTTTAAGTATATCTTGTAAAGTTTATAATAGCAATAAAATCAATAATACATTGTAAAAATAAGGGCATTGATATTATACAAAATAAACTTTAATAAAATTAAGTAATTTGCACTAATGATTAAATTGGTCTAACTGTTGTAGGAGATTTAAAAAATTATTGATCGCGTACCGTCCTCTGTGGTTCTGGGTTTGCTGTGTGAAGCAGATGGAGAAACTGCACGGCCGTCAGGCGTCTCAAACGTAGATGGAGTCACATCTGAGGAAACAAACAAACAAACAACTCTCAACACAGTTCTACAATCTCAGGGAACACAAAATATAAAAATAAAAGTCTCTGCTTTAATAACTTCTCTTAAAGGGGACAATTCACCCAAAACAGATAGTCCCCAAAAAAGCGTATAATTTTCTATTTTCCACTATTTTCTCCTCATCAATATTACATATAAAACTCAGAAGGCACGTTTAGGTTCACTGGTGGTTTTGGATAGTAAAAAAAAATGTCTATATTTGTGTTGTAATCATTACCACCACTTCTTGAACCATTTTACACCCAACTTCTCTGAATTACTCTGTTTACACTTCACACATTCAATTATGGAGGCATTCTGTTTGATTTCTACACTGGGTGCGGTTACTCACAGGGCACGTATGTGCGTGGTGTATATTTGGCCATAGCGGAGCCGTATTTGATGGCGATCTCGCGCATTCTCTCCAGATCTCCGCTCTCCTCTGCCTCCAGATAATCCTTCTGTGCCTGCAGCTTGGACACATCTGGGAAGAAATCCCTTTGAATGATTTTCTCCAGATTCTGTGCATAAAAAGGAAAACATAATTTAGAATAGAGGCAGTTTTTACAGTAAAAATGTAAATAGAGAGTTAAACAGATAACATCAATAGTGGTTTATTCACTCCATATCAATAAATACAACTCAACACAGTTTATCATGGAATTTAAAAGTCATTTCGTAAGACACATAAAGTGACAGAAAATGTGGTTCAGGTGGATGTGTCTACCAGGTTACGTCTGTTTGTAAAATCTTACGGGGAATTTTGGAGTTTCCACTGTTTCTGCATCAACACTGATCACGGATACCTTAAAAACATATCTGAGCCTTACATGGTGCAGCCTCAGACGCCAGAATGTAATCGCTGCACCATTTAAAGTGGAACGGGGAATTCGAATAAGGCAACTTCATCCTCGTTCAGAAGAGAGAAGTGAATACAGCAGCTGTACACTCTCTATATGTGTCTATATGAATGTCTAAAAGTGTGTATGTGTATATATTTATGTTTGTTACCTGTATATATTGCTCCTCCTGTAGTATTTTGCGCTGTTTCTCATTCTTCTCTGCAGGTTTCTCAGAGAAACTCACCACAGCTCCAGAGCTGGACTCCATAATCCACTCACAGCTTTATCTACACCACAATAAACTACTCAGCATAAACTGAGCGCTGATGATGTTTCTGATTAATCTGACTCTGATTAATTCTCAGCTGACTGTTGTTGTCCTCTGTCAATTCGCCTCAAATTCCGCAATATTTCTCTCCTTTCTGACTTACATGAGCCCCGAACTCTACACTACACTCTTGACGTTAATGATAAATATTACATAAACCCCAAATAAAGCATATTTTATTTCTGTTTTAGTTTTTTTTTTCAGAAAAATATAAACAAACGGCAACCGAACGTGTTAACCTCCGCAGTCAGGCGCTTCTTCCGCTCTGTGTGGTTGCGTGTTTCCGGTTTCTGCAAGACGAGCAGAGGGACTTTTAAAATTATTCTTATTAGTAACGTTATTCGTATTATTACGCAATAAGTGTTCAAACTATAATAGCGATCTACTGAGCTTCGTAGCAACGAAATAAAAGGACATCTTGTTGTTCCTGTGTCAAAGTCATAAAAAAAGTTTAAGAATTTTTTTGTATAAAATAAGCAAAGGAACTGACTTTTATTCTACAAATTATTAAATAGTGTTTGTAGTTTATAACACATATGAAAAAGAGGAACTGCCTGACTTTTATTCCATAAAATATTTTTAAAAATAGTTTTGCAATTTGAAAAACAAATTAAAAAGGAATGGTCTAACTTTTATTCTATACAATATAAAAAATAATATTTTTATACAACTTATATTTTTATTCTAAAAATGATTTATAAATTACAAAACTGCCCTCAAACAAATAAAGAGGAACTGTCTGGCTCTTATTCTATACAGGATTAAAGAGGGTATTGTAATTTATACAACAAATAAAAAGGAGAAACTTTTATTCAATAAATTATTTAAAATTATACACTGCCATTTAAGACATCAACATTCGATGGTGAACATAAAAAAAGTTTGTAAAGAGTATTTTTAGGCTTAAATTTATCACTCCAAAGTTAACGATTAACACAGTGTATAAAAAAACTTCTTAAAATGTAGTTTATATGTTCATATTTAAACATTAATATATGTTTTATTAGTAGAAGCTTGCTTTGGCTAAAGATCTTATTTTTAATCATTAAGACTGAATTCTCCAGCTTCTTATTCTAATTCAGTACGGAAGATTCGAAGACTAGTGTTGCTAAAATTACTTCTCACAGCACACACTGATTTATTGAAGTTTTCATAAAAATGTTTGCCTGATTTTGTCATGAATGAGCCAAAATAAGCAGGAAAAGTCGTGATCTGACCAACCAGAACGTCCTTTATTTGCACACTCTGAATAAACACCATGTAGCAGGATCTCCATTTCCCAAAAAAGCTGAAAGATCATTTCAGAAAGAAAAGGCAAGGAGAGCCGCTCCCCGAGTCGGGCCCTTTCACAGCGACAGAGGGGAGAAAAGCATCACACCAGTTTAACATTCAGTTACGAATAAAAATCCATCCATGGAACGTCGGACTTTCTGAAGATAAATATTCAGCAGCGACTCGCTGCAGCTCTAACGGGCCAACGGTAAACAGACTGAGTGAAGAACAGAGTGATGAAGTGTCTCAGCGTTTTCCTCTTGACTGACTCACACTGCGCTGCTCAGCGCATCTTTATTTTTAGTGTAAAATCGTAAATTTTGGGTTAAAATGACCAATAAAAGTCCGTCAGACAGAGTGTTTACGTTTTCACAGCTGAGAACGGAGGTGACAGTGCTGCTGCTGCTGAAAGTCATCTCATTTTGTCCGTCCGTGCCGCGACTTCCCGTGTCTGTGCCGTGACTTCCTACGGGGCTCCCGAGGCAATTCCTGCCCACCTGGCGGGAAAGCCGGGGCTCCACCCCTCCAAGGCTCCTCAAAGCTGTACCGGGGGAGGAAGGTGGGGTACGGCGTGGGGGCGCAGTAACGGCCCTGACGGAAACTCTGATCCACTGGTCTGTGGGGCCACGGGGCAGGAGGTGGGGGCAGCAACATGGGGTCTCCGTCTGGTCCGAACCTCAGGTGCCGGTTTGCTTCTCTCGGCTGAAACGGCCTGAAGAGGAGAAACACAGACAGCAGTTAGAAAAACTTTCACACACATACAGCACAGTCCTGTCAGTGCTGACCGGCTCTGCTCCAACTCTGCACCTTCTGCCGGTCACTCATCACCTGTGGGCACTTCTGAGTACCAGCTGACTGCTGGTTACAATGGTTTCACTGATGCTAAGCAAACGACACAACAATCGTTCGTCTGTAAAAGTAATCCCTGTGTTTAATCACCGTATGCAGTGGCTGTGAGACGTAAACTGTGTCCGGCCTTTGCCTTCGCTGCTGTCTTTCTGTGGTGAGAGCACCGCCACCATCTTTAGGAGGAACATCTAGGAAAAAAAGGGGGTCTACTGTTTCACGGTGGGGGAGATAAAACACACACCACCCTGCTCAGTAGGTTGTTTGCAAATGAGATCATGTCACTGCGTTGCTGTGGCACGAACTGCAGATGTCAAGTAAAGGTTTATTTATATAGCTCTTGTTACAACAGGCGTCATCGCAAAGCAGCTTTACAGAAAAATCTGGGTCTGACCCCCCATGAACGTATCAAAGGTGACACAGGCAATGAAAAAACTCCCTAAAAGCAAGAGGAAGAAACCTTGAGAGGAACCAAAACTCAAAAGGGGAATCCATCCTCCTCTGGTCCACACCGGATAGCAAACAATAACACAAGATTAAATAGTTCAAGTCTGTGCAGCATCAGGAGGGTCAGTTCATGCAGGTGAGGTTTGCACAGCATAATACAGCAGGAAACTCCATGGTGGTCAAAAAAGTCCAGAAGGCTGGTGAGCAGTGGGCACACGATCAAGGCAGAAGAAGCAATGGTAACAGATGGAGGGCAGAAAGTGATATTCTACACAGGAAGCTGTCACAAGCTCTGGAAATGTCTGTGGTTTGTGTTGTTTATGGTGCTCAAATCGATCTAACAGAGAAACCACGAGGAGCTTTTATCCAGTACCAAAAGCTGATGTTCACGAGGGAAAAAAATGGGCGGTCTATGTCCCTGCCCACCTGTCTGTATGTCTGCCTGCTTCTCTCTCTGTCTGTCAGTCATTCTGCCTGTCTGACCTCACCCTGAGCAGATGTGGATGCCGACCTACATTATGTGGTTATGTTGGGGTGGTCCTCTCCTGCTGAAGTAGGGGGGGTTGGGGGGGGGGTTGGTCTCTCTGGTCTGGATGAAGACCCCTGCATCGCCCCACCCTGAACCGGCTCCTGGTCAGGTTCTTCCATCCCCTCATTACTGTAGAACATCAAAAGAGCTTTCATTTTACTAAAATCAGGAGCTGCACACTGACCACGTCACTGACAGCATTAGACACGTTAGAACTGTATCTTCATATTGAAGAACCAAATAAATAACACTCAATACTCTGCATCTGTAACTGCTGTAGGCTGAGTGTGTGAGTTTAAACTGCTGTAGCGTGCATTCAGAATGTTAGTGTTGTTAAGTAAGTAAATAATTCAATCAATAAACAAACAAATATCTGCAGTGTTAGTAAACGAAGGTGGGTGATGTTACCTGCGCTTAGGGCCGGAATTTAGATCGTCCAGGTAATTTTGTCTCTCTATAGCGTGACCCCGCGACCTGTTAAACACTGAAACAGTCGAGCAGAGAAAAAACTCCTATCATCTTCAATAAAGAGCAAAGCTGCCAAAGAGATTTCAATAACTCATTCACTCACAGTCGATGGCCTCATGAGGATCAACACCGTCCACATCAATCAGATACCTATGATTAAAAAACACGGGTCATTAAAGAGCTTAAATTAAAAACAAACAGCGCTGAACTTCAACCGTCCAACAGCTTACCTGCACACAAGGTAGCCTGTCCGGTTCAAACCGTGAGTGCAATGAACCCCAATCAGTTTATCTGTAAACAAAAACAAACAATGTGTGCAGTGGAATTTATAAATCTGTATGTTTGTGTCAGTCGCACTCAGCCAGCAGATGCTCTTCACTTTCTTATTTATCATAACTATGTTGTGATTATGTCTAATAGTTATGCCATGGTCTAAAAATAAATTTCACTATCATTCACATGGTATCAAAAGATTGTGTCAGAACTTCAATTAGTACAACAGTGACTATATGCTTTGATATTACATTATAATCCAGCTGCTTCACTTTAAGGGTGCGTGTGTGTATATACATATGTGTATTTATGTGTGTATATACACACACATTTATGTACACACACACACACTATGTGTGTGTGTGTGTGTGTGTGTGTGTGTGTGTGTGTGTGTGTGTGTGTATATATATATATATATATATAAAATTTTATATATCTGTAACAATACATTATTCAAAAAATGAAGATAAATTACTTTAAAACTAAAAAAAACAGAAAGGGACTGCCAAAATAAATAATAAATGAACATTATTTCCTCTTTATTATTATTTATATTACATAAATAATAAATGAACAGATAAAAGCATTCCTATTACAAACAGAATACAAAACTGAAATAAATATTCTTTATGAAACAAAACATCAAATTTTCTGACTTTCCCTTAAAATTAAGATCCCCCTGAAATTAACCTCTTTTTAATGAATGATTTTTTTGAGGTAATTCACATTTTCAGCAATTTAATCTCATCTGCAGCTGCACATAGTGGCCCATTTTATTTACAGCTAGTTTATTAATGCAGTACAGAGTAAAACAGAACATAAGAACACTTTTTTATCCATTCGTGTAAATTTGTCTTTAGGCAGACAGTTCAGGGTGGATAACACACATACAGAATAACTACAGCTCAGTCGACACAACTGCACACGCTTTATTAAGATTACGGACAAAACTTGATTGTTCGTCGTGAGATTTTAAGAGAAAGTGAACGATTTCTCAGCTACCAATTCCGTGAGATCTTACAAATAATACAACAGAGCATGCTTTCCTGAATATATTGTGTATATCATCAGTGCTTGTAGACACTGACCAACTGGATGCTTATAAAGAGAACATCATTCTGTTTAGCTGGATTTAGTACCAAATATTACATTAAAAAAATTACCGTGTTCATAGTTTTTGAAATGTAGCTTTACTGGCTCTTTTTTCTCTATTACAACTGATGAGATGTCTGAAAAAATAAATATTGTGACATATTGTGTATTGTGAAAATTGCCTGAAATATCACGATATAATATTTTTTGCCATATCGCCCAGCTCTAGCTTCCGTTTCAGTGTTTTTTCATTTATGTCATTAAAACTGTGTTGTATCGTATCAATGAGAGTGTAAATTCGTAAATCAATATTAGACTCTACAGACTCCATGGAAGTCTGAAATGAATCCACTGTGAGTTTAAATATAAAGGTAGAAAAACTCGCCAAGGAAAGTCTCGGAGCTCTAAGGATTAACATGCGGCATCATTTAAAAGACTGACTAAATATTCTACCTTTCTGAGATTATCAGTGAGATAAAACTGTAGATTTAAAAGTGCTTAATCAGGGAGGATCAGCAGAGTGAACGTGTCTGCGTATGTGTTTCGTTCTGAGCTGTTCCTGTTGACGAACACTATAGTTTAAATATTTCACATTTCTGAGGCAGCGCTGCAGCTTCAGGCAGCCTTATCATAACAGGGTGGACCTGAGTGACCGCCTTAAGGGCAGTGATTTTGATGAGTGATTTTTCACACTGTGCTGACAGATCCATCACGCTACGTTCCTCTGTGAGTAAAAATACTCTCTAGATCAGATGATCCACACTGAGACCAGCACACACTCACCATTATTTTCATTGTCACAAAGAAACCTTCTCACAGCCTTCTTAAAGCTCAGAATGGTGGCATCGCTCGGCACTTCATGACCCGCAGTGAAAATCTTCAGATAGTGCCACGAGTCCGGCAAGTCCTGCATAAACAAGCACAAAAAAAACAAAAAAACAAAAACTAATCACACCAAATCCTGAATAAATAAACTCAGGCTGAGCCCCTAAATTCAGGTTCTGTGATAAATCAGCCCCAAACAGAGCAGCTGCATAAAGACTGTATTTTACTCTGTGCAGTGGAGCTGTGTGACAAATTCACGATGAAACGTTCATACTGTGTAAAAAGCTGCTGCCGTTTTCAAACGGTGTTGAAAAGTCAAATAAATAAAAAATGAGAGCTTTGAGGTTCTGTTCTGTCAGTACTGGTGTGACTGGATGAGTCAATAAGTAATAACTCCACTCTACCATATCTGTGTGCTCAGTCACTTTACTTTTACTTTCATTTCTCTATGATTTACCAGACTAGGCTTAAAAGGAACTCCACTGATTTTTCAAAATCCCTGCATAATTACATGGTTAAGATGTAAACAGCATAATTCCGAGTGGTTTAGTGTCAAACGCTCCGTTCGAAACTTGCCGAGTCACAGTTGTTCACAGTGGTGGTGATGGGAACTAGACGTCCGCCTCTAAAAGCTCCCTCACAGAAAGTTATTACATAAAATGGTTATGAATTCACTGCCTGATGACTGAAACAATGTTTTATGATTGTTTTGAGAACTTAAAATCTATTCATGGAGGGATACATGCAGGGTGCTGTGAGGCAAAATAGTCCCCAAAGAAAACTTATTATTTGATATGTTCCACTATTTTCCCATCATCAGCATTCCATATAAAACTCAGAATACAAGTGTAGGTTCACTGGTGGTTTTGGATGGTAGAATGTTTATATTTGTGTTGTAGTCATGGCGACCCCTGGTTCCTATCACCACCACTGTAAAGAAATCTGAAGAATTTCACACCAAACCACTCTGTTTACATCCCACACACTCAATTATGGAGGAATTTTGAGAAACTGGTGGAATTCCCCTTTAATCCCTTTGTGGGAGTGTTGAATGTACTCCAGAGCTTTGAGAGGTTCTACAAAGACCTTAGAAGTGCTGAGCAGTCAAGTAAGCCCTGGACCCCCAGACTGAACCCAGGTGTGAGGGGTCCCAGGTGTGTGCTAACCTGTGGTTTGTAGTAACGGGTGGTGAAGGTGAGGTCAATGATGAGTCCGAGTTCCTGACCCTGCTTCTCCAACATGTGCAGAAGATCGAATGGACCAAAGGCCTCAGACTGACACAGACAGTTTCTCAGAGACTGAAAGAGAAATAGGTCAGACTGAAAGACAGAACATAGACGTTTGGAGCACTGTTTTAACAGAAAACGTAAAACGGTTACAGACTAATGCAAAAATGATTACAATACGATGGCGTTTCAAAATTTTAGTACAAAGCTGTAAAAAGAGAAGATGTTACGAGTGTCCAAAATGATCAGAACAAAGCTGTACATCTTCTTTTACAGCCGGCCCCGTCACAACCAGCCCTGTTACAGCCGTCAAAATGTTTGGGGCTGCGTGTTGCCAACGTGTGCAGAATGACTCGCACCTGTTTTAAAGGGACTTTAAAGGCGATGAAGCGAGTTCCAGGAATCCTCTTCCCCACTGCACTGTATTCAGTCCATCTAAAACACACACAGGGCTCTGAAACTACATACACACATCATTATCACTGAATATGCAGCACTACACATTACAACTGCTCACCTGTCCGGAATTTTCTTATGTGAAGGCATAATCACAGCCCACAGCTGCAGCTGTCAATCAAACAAATAAACAAACAGACAGACAGACAAACAAACAAACAGAAACTTAAACTCCGACAAGACAAACTCAGTTTCTTTAAAGACAGGCGAAGCTTTTTAATTACAATTATCCGTTCCACCTTAAAAGGCGCCGCAGCTGCATTCTGTTCTCCCTACCTTCAGAACGTAATTCCTGTGCCTTTTAAGGTGGAACTTCAGCTTCGTGGAAAAACACCCTCCGTGAATTAGGGGGTCAGAAGAAATCTGAATTATGTTTAAACCATTATGAATCCCCCTCAGGCTGCTTTACTTTCCTGAAATAATGATATTAATTGTACATATTTCTGTCTCCGCTCTCAGTATCAGACCTGCAGCTGTGGTAGCCGTTAGCCGTTTTGCTAACCGCTAAACCTCCTCATTCTGAGCTGCAGCCCTTTAACACAGTTTTACAAACACACACGAACAGCGATTATAATCACACAGACTAAAAGCCATAAAGACTTGCGCGCCGTTTAACTTAATAATTAATGTAATAATTTAATCAGAGCGGTTGAAACGCTGAATGATGAAAACTACTAAACTCACCCAGCCGGAACCTCCACGAGTCCAGTGACGTCACGCCGCCGGGTACAGAAACAGCACACAACGCCACCTGCCGGACACCGACATAAACATAAACACACACTCACACACACACACACACACACGTACGTGTGCGTGTGTGTGTGTGTGTGTGTGTGTGTGTGTATATATATATATATATATATATATATATATTTATATATATATATATATGTATATGTATATCTATCTACACCTCAGTGCACTCTATACATTTATATTTTACACTTTACATAAATAACTGTATACATCAAGCAGCCTGTTCCTTTTTTTTGTGTCCTTTAATATATGATTTGTTTCCATACAAACCATTAAATATGTAAAATAACCGTAAATTATAATAAAAACATAAATATTTGCACTTTCCTCGGGTTGTAGTGTTGTCAGTGTGTAGCATTTAGTTTGTACAAAAACTTATTAAAAAATTTAGAAGTATATATCCCAAAAAATAACAGTCACAAAGTAAACATAAACACAACATTGCAAACATGTAAACAGAAAAGGCACCCTTAAAAACCTGCAGGAATTAAGGCCTAATTTGTTCCTCTAATATACATCAGATAACTGATTAAATTCCATTAATTCCGCACTGTGACGTCTGAGCTACTTAAACTCTTCCTGCTGAAATCTGAGAGGAAGAAACAAAATGAGACGATAAAAACCCCTTTTCTGCATGTAACACAATCACCCCATCCTAAAGGCCTCGTCCTTTATCCCCAAACTCTGTTTCCTCCTGCGTCTTATTTCCTGCAAAGTTCTGTCCCTTCATTTCTTCTTTCTTCATTCCTTCGTTTCTCTCTGTAAGATTTATCTGTTATATAACATGTACGTGTCCGAAAGCTCCTGTTCTTCCCACAGTCTATAAAGGGGTAAAAGTCTGTGGTTAGGCGGCTGATGATGCAGGGCATTTCCTTTTTGCCCTGCTGCTCTCCACCCCGGGTGTTAAAGTGGTGGGTGATGTGGTGGCTAATTTGGGTCAGCAGGCGGGTTACTTCCAACTCCGAAACACCATCATTCAGTAACTAACAGAATGTCTGCATGAAAGACAAATCCCCAGAGCCTATATATACACACATGCTGAGCTAAAAGCCTTTTAATAGAAGAAAACAATTCACTCCAAACACCTCAGTTAAGTTCTCTGTTGGTCCACAATAAAATAGGGACCTGACCAAGAGAAGACTAACTAACTTAGTTAAAAGGAGAACAAGACCCCTGACTAAGAGTAAAGTAAGTCCCCTGATCAAGAGTAAAGTAAGACCCCTGATCAAGAGTAAAGTAAGTCCCCTGATCAAGAGTGAAATAAGACCCCTGGTAAAGAGTCAAATAAGTCCCCCGGTCAAGGGTAAAAAGTCCCCTGATCAAGAATAAAGTAAGACGCCTGGTCAAGAGTCAAATAAGTCCCCTAGGCAAAAGTAAAGTAAGATCCTAGGTCAAAAGTCAAATATGCCCCCAAGTCAAGTGTAAAGTAAGTTTCCTGATAAAGAGTAAAGTAAGACCCCTGATCAAGAGTCAAATAAGTTCCCTGATCAAGAGTCAAATAAGTCCCCTGGTTAAAAGTAAAGTAAGTCCCTTGATCAAGAGTAAAGTAAGTTCCATGATCAAGAGTAAAGTAAGTACCCTGATCAAGAGTAAAGTATGACACCTGGTCAAGAGTAAAGTAAGTCTTCCAATCAAGAGTAAAGTAAGTCTTTAATCAAGAGTAAAGTAAGTACCCTGATCAAGAGTAAAGTAAGTCCCCTGATAAAGAGTAAAAAAGGACCCCTGGTCAAGAGTCAAATACGTTCCCTAGTCAAGAGTAAAGTAAGTCCCCTGGTCAAGAGTAAAATAAGTCCCCTGGTCAAGAGTAAAATAAGTCCCCTGGACAAAAGTAAAGTAAGCCCCCTGATCAAGAGTAATTTAAGACCCCTGGTCAAGAGTCAACTAAATTCCCCAGTCAAGAGTAAAGAAGGTTCCCTGATCAAGAGTAAAGTAAGATCCTGGTCAAGAGCAAAGTAAGACCCTGGTCAAGTGTCAAATAAGTCCCCAGGTCAAGAGTAAAGTAACTCCCCTGATTAAGAGTAAAGTAGAACCCCTAGTCAAGAGTAAAGTAAATCCCCTGATTAAGAGTATAGTAGAACCCCTGGTCAAGAGTCAAGTAAGCCCCTCGGTCAAGAGTAAAGTAAGACCCCTGGTCAAGAGTAAAATAAGACCCTTGGCCAAGAATAAAGTAAGTGCCCTGATTAAGAGAAAAATAAGTCCCCTGATCAACAGTAAAGTAACTCCCCAGATCAAGAGTAAAGTATGTGCCCTGATAAAGAGTAAAGTAAGACACCTGGAGAGAGTGAGAAAGAGAAAGAGAGAGAGACTTTTTTGACTTTTGATGGTCCTTTATTGAACCAGCTCTTTTTTGACACATTGTGTCATCTTAAATGATACTGAAATAAAATATATCATTAAAAAATACAATAACACTTTATAAAAAGGTAAAAACAAAAGGATATACATAAAAATACAGTTTTGGCTCATCTGAACTTAGGAGCAAAGCAGAGCTCACCTTCGCACATGGAGCACAACGCCTCACCACAGCATCACACTACTTCAAAAGCCTCCAGAGAGAGTCCTTGTGGCATAGCAGTCAGTACTATGTGCCACCTTGTTTTTACGACTGACATATATCGCCATTTTCACTTGCCGAAGGGTGAAGTTAATCAGTTGGCACTTAGACTTCTCTCTCTTGACGTACTTAAAACCAAGCATAAAAGTCTGGAGTGTAAAACCATTCTTCAAAACATCAAATAGAGAACACAACCTAAAACAATGCATGAAAGCATCAAATATAGTTTATTTTGAGGACAAAATAGACACGGTGGTAAAATCTCAGGATTTAAAACAGAAATAAAAGTGTTAACTGAGACAATACCATATAAAATTCTCCACTGCAGGTCAGCTACTTTAGGTTAATGGTGGCTTCACATCCTCACTCAGCTTAAAAACATCATGAGAGACAGAAAGAGAGAGCGGGAGAGAAACAGAGAGAAAGAGGGAGAGAGAGACAGAGGAAAAAAGGCAGAGAGCGAGAGAGAGGCAGAGAAAGAGACAGAATAAAGGGAGAGAGAGAGAGAGAGAGAGAGAGAGAGAAAGAAAGAGAGGGAGAGAGAGAGAGAGAGAGAGAGAGAGAGGGAGAGAGAGAGTGAATGAATGATTAAATAAAGGAAGGAATTATATTAATAAATGAATTAAGTGGATGAATGAAAGGTCCAGCAGGAGGAAATGAAGTAAGAGATGAAGAGTTTTATGATTTCCCAACCCCCCAACCCACCGGCACTTCACCCTTCACCCACCAGTGGAAGTTCCCATGTATGGAGCAGCTCGCGCTCTTGTGTAACACGCGGCTATAAAGCACGCGCCCCGCACATACCTATGCACACACCTGCACACAGGGTCGCGCGCTGACTTTATTCGCTCTTTCGTTTCTTTATTATTTGTTCATTGTTGATTTCGGTCTGAGATGTGTTCTTCTAGCGGGAGTCGCGCGCTGATCGTGTCGGTGTCGAGCTTTTATCCAGACGTGGAGTTGAGCGCGCGCCCGGGGACTGCGCGAGACACGTGGAAACTGCACCGAGCGCTCTGCTCACGGGGCTTCAGCACACGCATCCTCAACGACCCCGATGCCGAGGAGATTCACGAGGCGTTTAAATCAGGTAACATTCATTCATCGGTTGGTCGCACAAACTCACACAAACTCACACAAACTCACACAAACTCACACAAACTCATATAAACTCACACAAACTCACACAAACTCATATAAACTCACACAAACTCCCAAAACTCATATAAACTCACACAAACTCACACAAACTCATATAAACTCACACAAACTCATATACACTCACACAAACTCACAAACTCATATAAACTCACACAAACTCACGCAAACTCATATAAACTCATATAAACTCACACAAACTCATATAAACTCACACAAACTCACACAAACTCATATAAACTCACACAAACTCCCAAAACTCATATAAACTCACACAAACTCATATACACTCACACAAACTCACAAACTCATATAAACTCACACAAACTCACGCAAACTCATATAAACTCACACAAACTCATATACACTCTGACTGAACATGATCAGTTATTGATGAGTAGTAAGGGTTTGAAATTCTCTATGTGTTGGATTTACTTACAAAAATTTTTTTTGCCCTAGATTATTATGTAGATAAAGCGAGACTGCACTGTAAAAATTACCCTTTTTTCTCCCTAAAAAATTAAAGTGCATTTTTATGGTGCAGTCTCTAAAACAAATACTTAATTTGTTGTACATACAAAATAAATTTTACAAGTAAAGTCTGCTTAGTTTTACAAATGACTCATTTTTATGTGTAACTCAAAATTTTGAGTTAATTGAACTTCAAATAATAAGTTAACAAATGTATAGCTAGATTAGTTTAATCTTACAAGATTTGTGAAGTAAAAACAGACACAAACAAAAAAAATAACAAAAAGCAAAAAACAGTTAACAGTAAAACTTTTTTTTTTTGAACGCTGTGCATTTACTGTAATTCTATTTTAATGTAAATAAGTCAACAACCATTAAAATAAACATGACTGTCTATGAAACAAAGATGATCATTTGTTTGTCATTAAATTTCACAGAACTGACAGGGAAAATATTTTTTTTACGGTGAAGTCATGAACCAAACCTGTGTTTCTTTAACTTACATATTCATAACTTTACTGACAAACAGCAAATTCTGACTGCTGTGTTTATGTTTATTTGTGATTATTCTGATGTTATACAGTATTTTTACTGTATTTATGTTTATTCTCATGTTGTACAGAGTTCTCACTGATAAAACACACAGTCCAGATAAAGCTCAGGGGACTTTTGCACATCACTGTATATTGACCTGTATGTGCAGACAGAGATCTGTGATTTATTAGAGTTTGATTATAGAATTATTACAGTTCTGTATTACAGGGCATTCTGTGACAGTGAGACTCGGTTCTTCACTCACACATTTCTGAAAGAACTCAACATAAAAAGCAGAAAGTAAACCACCTACCTGAGAATATACTTTACTATAAATAAAATATAAAATCAACAAACAGCTCTGAACACAAACGAAACTGAACTGAAAGAAATCAGCTCAAACGTTAACTCTGAACTATAATGAGGTTTGAGGAGTTGAGTAACGTTTTTATGACGTTGTTTACGGGAGCTGAAGTCCGTGTTTGTTCAAGGAGCAGCTTTACAGCTCCATTAATAACAGCAGCAGATGAGCGTATCAGTGTGTCAGTGTGATGGAACAGTGAACTGCTGATGTTGGTCATCTTCTAGTCCTCCATTAATGACCAATTTCTGACCTCAGAGCTGCTCTCCACTGAATACAGTACCACTGCTGTGCTGAAAGTGCAGCTTTAAAAGCCATAATAAAGTGGCAAGTTAGTGGAAGCACAAGGTGTGTGTTTCTAATAAAGTGGCCAGGGAGTGTGTTAAACTCCATGTGACCGTGTAAGTCTGAACGTTGTGCATGCTGTAACAGGGTGGATGTCCTAACAGGGCTGATGTGAGGTGAAGTGGCAGCTCTGTGACTCACAATCCGTCCAAGCAGACATGATTAATGCAGTTAGACGTGAGTACATGGGTTCAGCTGATTAGGTAATGCTCACTGAAACTATGAGCAGCGGGAATGTCCTGAACCTGCATAAACGACCTCCAGCTGCTCATTTATGAGAAATCAGTGATGCCCTGCTGCTGTGGAGCGAACCTTCAGCCAGCAGCGGTGCTGCTAACCTCAGGGTTTCTGTAAGTATGTCCATCACTGAGTGAATGTGTGTTCCTCCTGTGCAGAGAGCGAGCAGGCAGTGGACGGCTGTTTTGTGGGAGTGATCTCCAGCCACGGTGAAGAAGGTTTGGTGTTCGGAGCAGACGGGCGTCCGGTCCAGCTCTCCAAAATCTACAGCTACTTTGGAGGCCCTACGATGGCAGCAAAAAACAAACTGTTCCTCATCCAGGTGAGTTCAGATACTAGAACAGGAGTTACGTCCATATGAAGGTGGGAATTCGACTGCATCAATTTGGCTATCGATTAATGATGATAGAAATGGTGTCAAAAGCAGGGGGTCCTGGGGGGTCCCTCTAATGAACTTCTTGGCTTCTAATTATAAATAAGCAGCCAATTTTCAAATGTAAAAATTCAATAATCTTTATTCCACAACTGTGTAAATTGTTCCTTGAGTAATATTTTTGTGTTCAGGGTTTGTTCAAAGATAATTCTGAATTGTAAGTGAATCAAATTAAAATCTTGATGGAATTTAAGAAATCGCGATTCGTGGAATCATTTCTTAAAGAACTGTACTCGAATTGCTGTGAGATTACAGCTCTGGCTTGAGCCAATAAAGTCCTGAAAGTCAGAGCTGAGAATTCAGAGAATGAACTGAAGGGCAGATGTCTAAGAGAATGTCATCTCGGAGCAGAAACGCGACATGTGAATGAATGTTCAGATGGCAGTGTGTAATTATTGTGTTTGTGTAGGCGTGTCGGGGACACCTACTGGATGATGGGGTTGAGATCGAGACAGACTCTGTAGGCTGTGAAGACAGTGGAATGTCTGAGTGCGCCTCTGTCCCGCCCAACACTGTGGTCATGTACGCTACAGCTCCAGGTAACAAATTAAATCTTTTTATTTAATACACTTTTTTGTGTATTGTGGAAATTTGTCTTGAGCTATTACACAAACAAGCACAATAAAACATAAATACATATAAAGCATTAACCGTCCACATGGTCATGCATGCAGTCACACAGCCAAACACTGGTCACTGTATGGTCTTATACTATGTAATAAATATGAGAGGAAAAGCTTCACTGCTTCACAATCCTTTTCCTACAAACCATAACATATACATCTGTACTGGAGCAGGAATAGCTTTCTCAGGGGAATTGTGAAGTGCAATGTGTGACATTTGATTGGCTAACTATTGGTTTGGACAATTACTGGATTCATAATCAGGGGACTTACTTTACTTTTGACTGGGGATGTGCTTTACTCTTAACCAGGGGTCATACTTTGCACTTCACCAGAGGACTTGCTTTAATCTTGTCCAGGGGAATTACTTGATTAGGGGACTTACTTTACTCTTGACAATGGGTCTTACTTTACTCTTGATCAGTGGACTTGCTTTACTCTGGATCAGGGCTCTGACTTTACTGCTGATCAGGTGACTTACTTTACTCTTGGTCATGGAAGGTACTTTACTCGTGATCAGGTAGCTTACTTTACTCTTGATAAGGGGACTTACTTTACCTTCAAACACAGGATTTACTTTATTCTTGACCCAGGGGACTTTCTTTACCCTTAAATGGGGAACTTTACTCTTGATCGAGGGAGGTACTTCGTTCTTGATCTGGGGTCTTACTTTACTCTTGGTCAGGCAACTTGCTGTCCTTTTAACTATGTTAGTTAGTCTTCTCTTGGTCCTATTTTATTGTGGACCAACAGTGAACTTAACTGAGGTGTTTGGAGTGAATTGTTTTGTCCCATTAAAAGCCTTTTAGCTCAACATGTGTATATGTATTTTTTAGGCTACGGCGCCTTCATGAACCGGATGGGATCCATCTTCCTGCAGACATTCTGTAAGTTACTGGAAGATGGTGGGGCAGAGCTGGAGGTGACCCGCCTGCTGACCCAAATTAGCCACCACATTGCCCACCATTTCAGTGCCCGGGGTGGAGAGCTGCAGGGCAGAAAGGAAATGCCCTGCATCATCAGCCGCCTAACCACAGACTTTTACCCCTTTATAGACTGTGGGAAGAACAGGAGCTTTCGACTGTCGGCCACAGAGCTCCTGGATCATCCTTATACAATCCGCAAAAACTCCATCAGCTGATCCTACACAACCCACAAAACTCTAAAGGTCTTACAGCCAGAACACTGCAGGCAGTGGATTCATACAGCAGTGGTAACAGAGCTGTATGAATCACACACTTACTGTAAAATATGCAGAGTTTAAGACTTGAACGACATAATGAGTTTACAGATGTGAACTTGAATGACAGTGAATATTTACACATGGCGCACAACCTGAGGTGGTCAATAATAAGCGTACATTTATGTTACACTCATATAGTTATTGTTCCATATGAGATAATGAGCAGAATAACACAATGTTTCTCTACATGAGTCAGAGGGAAATGAGCAGGTTTAGGGAATGCTTTGGGATTTTTGTGTGAATTTCACTTTTTGTTACTTCCTAATGCGGACACGTTCAGTTCATGTTATATAACAGATAAATCTTACAGAGAGAAACGAAGGAATGAAGGAATGAAGGGACAGAACTTTGCAGGAAATAAGACACAGGAGGAGACAGAGTTTGGGGATAAAGGACGAGACTTTTAGGATGGGGTGATAGTATTGCGTGCAGAAAAAAGATTTTTATCGTCTCGGTCTGTTTCTTCCTCTCAGATTTCAGCAGGCAGGGTTTGACTACTTCTCAGACGTCACAGTGTGGAATTAATGGAATTTAATCAGTTATCTGATGTATATTAGAGGAACAACTTTGACCTGAATCTCTGCAGACGGATGGTTTTTTTTTAAGGACTTCTTTTCTGTCTTTATGTTTGCTGAGTTTTTGTTTATGTTTTCTTTATGACTGTTGTCTTTTGGGGATGTATTCTTCTAAATTTTTGTTTAACCTTTCATACAAACTAAATGCTACACACTGACAACATTACAACCCGAGGAAAGTGCAAATGTTTGTTTTTTTTAATTAATATTTATTTTACATATTTAATGGTTTGTATGGAAATACACCATAAATTAAAGGGCTAAAAAAATTAGGAATGTAAGGTAGACAGTTAATTGTGTAAAGTGTAAAATAGGAGTGTGTGGAGTGCAATGAGGAGTATGACATAATAAATATATTACAGTGTCAGCTGAGTCATTATTGCTTTATTACTGTTTAATAATTGACTGATTAGTTCCGCTAGAGCTGAACTGCAGATTCAGAGATGAACTGAAACTGAACTGGGTGTGCGCGTGTGTGTGAGAGACACTCAGGAAGCAGAACAGTGTGTACAGAGTGTAAGTTCAGTGTGTAACTTCCCAAATGAGCACTGTGTAAATAGTCACGTCTGGTTGAAACACACACACACACACACACACCTGTAATCAGCTGAAATGACTGTGTCTGTGTGTGTGTGTGCCTGTGTGTGTGTGTGTGTGCAGGGTGTAACTTCGGGTGTAACAGGATGTTTCCATGTTGTAATCAAACCTCTACACAAGAATTCCAACATGAAAATCCAATAGTTGGTATAATACAGTTAATGTGGAAATAATGTAGCACAATACCGTATAACATACTATTACATAATTTACTATGATGTAATGTCAGTAATGCAGGAGGAAATATTACCACTAGTCAGAACTTCAACAGTGATTGACTATTTCTCCTGGGACTTTTAACTGATCTTAGACTTTAGACTAAAATCCTTTTGCTTTGCGTGACTCTATACCTTAATTATGTTTATTTTTTTTAAACCAATGACTGAACATTCAATTTTGTCATGACCAAAACAATCATAACTCTACCCAAACTTTACCAAATGTTTCAGTAGTGACTGTTTCGGTAGTGACAGTGCATGACTAGCAAACACAGCTTCGAACAGCTGTACACACATAATATCATCATATTTTTCATTAAAACACTAAAAAGTACTGGACTGCCGAAAATATGACAATTCCTAAAGTTCCACACTGATTTTCAGACTTTGGGACACATTTACTTCAGAACAGCAGAGCTAAATGTCTGTTTTTCTTCACTCACCCATACAGAAAAAATATATTCCAAATGTATTTATCAAATATGTTTGCAATGTATGGAAATGGCCAAAAAACGTATTTGTTAAATACATTTTTAAAATGCATTTATTTGTGTTTGTTATTATATTAGTTCAGTTGTGTGTAGTGGTAATAAAGGTTACAGTAACTAAACGGTACTTACTTCTGTGATCTGCATTGTTCTTTATGTTAACCATGTCTGTATGCAGTAAGACACTCACACACAATGTATTTCACATAAACAAGACATCAAATCATAACTGCATTTTCACAGAGTATCAATACCTACAACACTCACTTTTGTCATGTTAAAGGTTCATTTGATCATACTTAAATTTAAGATACTGGAATACAAATTTATTTTAAAAGGTATCGAACAGTGAAGCGCATTAGACAGGATTTTTGTTGCTTTCATACATTTTTAAATGTATTCAATAAACTTTACATACATTTATTTTTGTATGGTACATCTCTCTGTAATATTTCCCCATACATTTAAAAATAAATGGACTGGACTAATTCTGAATACTGACTTGACAGCATTACTGCTACTGAGTGCTGATATAACATTAGTATAAATAGTAAAAACATTTTGTGCAATTCTAGAGTTGCTGTCATTGCTGGTGCACTTCCTGTCTCTCATTTTCCTAAAAACTGAATCTTTAAATTAAAAATGTTAAATGTAAAATGTGAGATGTAAAATCTTGTCCTGCTCTTCTACAGCAGCTCAGTGGCTCCACCTAGTGGAGTCTGCTTACTGCAACACAATAATATCCCAAACTCATAACATTCAAACTGATCAAATACAAAACAACAAACAGGAATTTTCAAACAAATAAACAAATAAATAAATACACAAACGCAGTTCCTCCTTTGACAGCACTACAGGATGTTTATTAGCTACAATGTGACACACTGTTAATAAACATACCCAGAACAAGAGAAATAACCGCTACACAATCAAACCTACAACTACTAACTGTGTTTTCTTAAAAAAGAGAACTTCCACACGGTTTTATACAAGTAGAAACGTTTAGAAAAGTGTAGAAAAAAGGCAACTATTTAGAAAAAAAACACATTTTTGTTTCAAAGAGGTAAAACAGAGATGAAGATCAAATATTGACCAATAATTTTTTTTCATACTGATATAAAAAAATGTGCTCTAAAGTGTATAAAAGGTGAGAAAGTGATGAACATCTGAAAGTCATAATAGTACAGAACACAATCAGTCAGTTTGTCTGGTGACCAATGAGAGGGGCTGCGTCTGCAGCAGTGCATGATGGGAGATCAGCGCTGCCTGGTGGAAGGGAGCAGAGCGGAAGAGGCTGGATGATGATGACAATGATGATGATGATGATGATGATGAAGATGCAGGTGGTTTAGTGTTCGGGGAGCAGTGCGAGTGTGGTGAGCGCGGTCTGGTGGTAAGCGAGAGCGGCTGCGCCTGTTCAGAGTGCGTGGGCGCTGGAGCGGCTGGTGAGGCCAGACAGACGGACGGCGTGTCCGGAGAGTCCAGCATGCTGCTGAGAGACGATGCTGGACTGTCACACATCTTCTCCACCGCCGGCATTGACACACACACCTTCTTCTGCTGCGGAGAGAACTCACCTGCACAGAGACACAGAAAACATTAGAACCTGAACCAGAACCAGAACCTCCACCTTCACCTTCACTCACAGTAACAAGACCGTATCAGTGTAGCCTTCAGTCATCACAGCTGGAAAAGCTTTGAACCTACAAACTTCTGTGCATCTGATTCAACAAACTTTCATTTGACGTAGAAACAAGCAGGTTTGAGTGTCACACACCGAACACAAAGCTAAAAGCATGGAAATGCGGAAAATTCAGTGCAATTTTTTCACATCAAAACTAAACACACCAGACATGGATCTGAACTTCATGTTGTTCATGCTACAAAAAAAAAGGGGCAGTGGGTGTTACGAACTCTTTCACTCACAGCTCCCATCTCCGTGACTGATCTGATTTTAGAGACGCATCTCCACATTCTGAAAAAAGTGAAAGTAGCATAAAGATCTTCATCACTTAATAAAGCATAAAGAACTTCACCTATCACGAGACGAGAGCAGTTTCTGTTTCTGTTTGAATGTTCACAGAAGACAAACCTGACTTGCTGCTAGATTTCTCACCTTGTTATGTTTTAGCTTTACGATGACTTTACTGTTTCTATGGTGATGCATCGATTTTTTCAGGTAGAGCAGGAGTAAATATTTTTTAATACTTGCCAATACTGATTCTGATACCACACTTAGTACTTACTTAGAATGAACTAGGTGTTGGTGTAAATGAGTGTAATGTACCTTAACAGTTAAATAATTAAATCTATCTGATTTTAAATTAAGTGCGTTAGCTAGCAGTGCTGCATTAGTGATCTTTGATCGAGTAGCGTTGCAGTGGAGAAGAGCGGGTTTTGCTCCCCCGTCAGAAAAGCTCTTCTGTACAGCCGTAAGTAAAATACATGGGACAATTTTCAGTTGGGTCTTTCTAGATTTCCTTTTGCTTCCAACCAAAAATCAAAATGTGATTTTACAACAGACAGCACTAAACCTAATAAACAGCAAAGTCATAAAGAAGTGAATTAAGTGATGTAGTGTGTCTGATTCTCACCCTCCACAATGTTATCAGCTTTATCTTCTCTCTTTCTTTTTTTCCTCCTCCCCTGCAGAGAAACACAGAACAGTTTTAAACATAAACGCAGGTTTTACACACATAAAAACAAACAGAGCCTGAAACACAGCGTTCCGAGTGCTGCAGCAGGGGGCGCTATAGGCACAGACCGGCAGTTTAGAGAGTCTCGCTCAGACACATCACTCATACAAATATATGAAACATCTTCACCTCTTTAACAAGACAGAACCAACCCAGCAGCTCTCTCTCCTGTTAGAGCTGCACAACACGGCAAAAATAACATCAATCAGTTCAGAAAAGCAGAACTTCATGTAATTTATCACAATTATGATGAATTGTGTGCTCCCTTGTGTATGTTGCTTTATTCACAGGTCTGTGATTGGCCACACAGGGGCGCCCTCCTGTATAAGAGGTCACTGAGCCACCAACTTGGTAGACGTTCAGGGCTCTTTCTCCTCTGACCTGACCTGGAAGAACAGCTGTCCATACCAGCCCGGCAAACTTCGCTCCTCTCTAATCCGCTTCACTTCGATTGTTAAAATTGTAAAAACTTTTCTAGACGGGTGCCTTTTCGTTCTGGTTAGCTTTTCTCCTCACTTTCAGTCCTAAGTTAAGATCTGACAGGTCAAGATCAGAGTTTGCGAAATTTGTATTACAGAAGCAAATCTAATCTCCAGTTAGGAAAGTTAACCTATTTTTTAAAACAGCATAAATGTGACATCACCAATGACATCATACAAAACAATTCGCCTTTTTGTTGGACGATTTATATCAAACAGAACAAGTCATGATATGTTATAACGAGGCAAAAGACGTCCATATAGACATATAATTAGCACACTAAACCACGGATGCACATCCTCTCTCTGCTCCTTCATTCTGGACGATCTTTAGGCAAATGAACTGAGTGGTGACCAATAAGAAAAGTGATAAGTGGTGCGGTAACCGACTGTGTTGTCTGCAGTCACACAGTGAGATTTAACACAGGAACACTCACAGAGCTAGAGATATAACAGCTGATAAAACACATTTGTATTACATTAAATAATTGTTTTAATTAAAAACACAAGATCAGGCTGCATTGGAGTTCAGAACTGTTTTAGCGATGCACCCCAAAAGCAGCCGGAGGTGTTGAGGAACTGACTCAGTTCACTGAAAACATGGAGTTGCTGCAGGTTCTGAAAACTATATAAATTATTCTTCTTAAACCCACTTATGCAGTTTTGACAAAGATTCTGACATTCACCAATGTTTTCTTATTTGGGATTTGTTCTTAGGTAAGCACAGAATCTACACACACTCAAGAGCACAAAGGTGAGAACAGTCCTGCACTTTAAGAACACGTCACAAACCTGACGCAGACTTCAAGAACAAACTCAGGAGGATGTTGGTGAACGAGGCCCAGTGATTATATTATGTATTAACTGTGAGAGACTCTGTTTTCTGCTG